AGAGCAATGTGCTCGGCTTGGCCAACTGCACCTTGGGTGCCAGTTTCGCGTTCAATGTCGCAAACAGCCCAAAAAATATTTTTTGGTCGTCGTCGTCGAAGAGGTTGATCCCCAGATCCAGTTTGGCTGGTAGCGACATTGCGAAATCTGGGATTGGCAAGCTTGATCGTGAAACTTGCACCCAAGGTGCAGTTGGCCAAGCCGAGCACACTGCTCTAATAAAAACCCCACGTTTCATTGTAAAGTTTGGAGATACAGGCACCTTTATGTTTGTAAGCATGATGCTATATGGGAAGTGGTCTTCGTTCAATGTCAAGTCGCTGGACCCTGGCAGAGCAAAAGATGCAGAGGGACCTCTTTGTGTAACTCAGCTACTTTGCATGACTGGAAGGATGGAAGGATAATACTATATACTGTTGACAAAATCCCGTACATTGCGAGTTAACAGCCATTTCTTCACAATAGCCACTGTTGTCCACTCTATGACATGTGAGCGATTCTCCTGCTTCAGACATTCATTTCCATGATTGGATTATGTTGATCCGAGTTGATTTGACCGAGATACAGCCAAAGACAGATTACATCAATCCACACATCTAACCATGCTCTATGTTGCTCAACTGAAGTAACCTTGTATGAGCGTAGCTCAGCCAAATCAACTCGGATCAACATAATCCAATCATGGAAATGAATGTCTGAAGCAGGAGCATCGTTCCACTGTCATAGAATGGGCAACATTGCCGATTGTGAGGAAATGGCTGTTAGCTCGCAATGTATGGGATATTGTCAATAGTATACAGTATCATCCTTCCATCCTTCCAGTCATGCAAAGTAGCTGAGTTACACAAAGAGGTCCCTCTGCATCTTTTGCTCTGCCAGGGTCCAGCGACTTGACATTGAACGAAGACCATCTTTCATATAGTATCACGCATACATCATACGTAAAACATAAAGTTGCCTGTACCTCAAAACTTTACAATGAAGCATGGGGTCTTTATGAGAACAAACCTGCTCGGCTTGGCCAACAGCACCTTGTGTGGTAGTGTCACGATCGACGTGGCCAATCCGAGATTTCGCAAATGTCGCGACCAGCCAAATTGGAATCGGGTCGACCTCTTGAAGTTTTTTTCGACGACGAGCAAAAAAATATTTTTTGGCTGGTAGCGACATTGGCCAAAAGTGGGAATGGCCACGATGAACTTCATACTTTGACACAAGATCGCTTTGACCCCGTCGAGCAACTCTGTTCTATTAAAGACCCCATGGTCGATTGTAAAGTTTTGAGATACAGGCACCTTCATGTTTTACATATGCTTTCAGCGTGATGCTATATGAAAGGTGGTCTTTGTTCAATGTCAAGTTGATAGACCCGGATGCAGAGGGCCGTGTTTGTGTAACAAAGCAAACGGGCGAGGCTTCAGAGCCAATGCTATTGGTGTAGAGTGCATAATAAAGATGATGATGTTGAGGCTGAGGGAATCTGATTGCTGCGGGTGGGTGAGGCCATTACAATCACTCCACCACATCCGGCAAATTGGCTCACACGCTAACTCATTATGAATAACAACCTTATGGCAGGTTCCCATCACTGCTGCGGTAAGTAGTCATTGCCAGGCACATGGTTACGCCGCGGGTCCCAAGGGAACCCCCTTATACGGGGTGCTGCGGCAGTGCATGAAAGACATATATATAGACGATCAACCAGAAACACTACAAACACGCTCACGTATTTTCTTTTGTTTCTTTATTCCTTTCTCTTCTATGCCTACTTCACTCTACGCTCTACCTTTTGCCGAATCCAAGTCCACTGTTGACCATGACACGGATGCGGGCGTCAATGTGTGGGTGAATGACCTTGATGACTTTCCACCGCTTTCGCTCAAGCCAGCATCGGCACCTTGTTCTAATTCGCCATCCAGTTCATCTACTACGACGACTACTTGCAGCAACAAGGACAAGGGATTACGGATACATCGAGAATGGGAAGTTGTGAAAGGAATCGAGTTCTCCAGCCACACTGAGGATGATTGGGAGGATATCGACTACAGCACGACTGTGCCACAAGGATCCTTTGCTTCCATGGCTGCCAAAGCATGTGTGGATCATGATCAAGCTATTCCCATGGACAAGTTTCTTGTATGGCCAAAACGACGACAGCGCCATGTTGTACAGCAAGAACGATCAGTGGATGACGACGTTGACGATGATGATGCATGTGATGATCTTGCCACTTTTATGTATGAAGCACATAAATCACAATCACGCAAGGCTTGTCGAAGAATACCATATATGCAGCAACGACGACGACAGCTATTTGATGTGATCATACGTCGACATGTACAAACGTTGTCTCAGGAACAAGCTCAATACAAGACCCGCCGTGAGAAGGATGAGCGAGATATTGCAGCAATTGAGAAGATGCGTCAAAGAGCAAATGAACAACACCATGCTCTCACCTTTAATTCGTTACCTACGCCACAAACCAACAAAATGGCTCTCTATCGTTCTTTGCTCATTTACGAGCTTCGTCATCGTGGCCTTATTCCTCCAGATGTCAAGTCTCCAATTCGACACAAACCACAAAGGACGACTAGCAACACAAAGAGAAAGAACAAGCAGGAGCTGGATGATGATCAAGTGCTTCAAAAGCTGATTGATAATGGTCAAATGCCTCATTATGACTACGATCACATCGACAATCAACGTATCCTTGGTATTTTGGCGAGTGGCATTCACCTACAGGTCAATGGGAACAAAAAGATCAACACCAAAAACTCACGCGAGGTGCTGGATTACGTGATATCACATTTTGCAGAGCAAGATTACTGCTTCCGTTACTATAATCGTGACACCTATTACATCTATCGGCGGATCCTCTTGAATCTTTTCGAAGACGACCGTAAGAAGTTTGTGGAGGCGGAGAAGCAGCTCAATACGGCTATGGCATCTGATAATAGCGCACCCTTACGAGCCATGTTTCGAACACTATCCAGAGATTGCTTTACACCCCGCGATAGAAACATGAGAAAACAGCTCATAGCACATCATTTTGATCAGTATAAGCAAATGTCCCAAAACTTATCTCAGCAACAATAAATTGCTTATCATTCCTACTGCTGCAACCTACCAATGTATTATGGAGGATATCATCATCAACTCTTGTTTGAATGGATGGGTCTAATGGCAACAAGTTGGTCTGGTTTATGATGATATTGGGATTGTTGTTATCAAAGGAGAGGGTTTATCAACGATGTTGTCGAGCAATACTGATTGAAAATTGTGCAATCCGGCGCTTTGGGAACACAAGTGATCTTGCAGTTGTTGGGTCCGAATGGCACCATGACATTGTGTAACGCTGTTTGCAGAGAGACACAGCAACCCCATCTCGATCTCGATTATGCTCACTGTTCACGTATCTCATCAAGGTGAGAAATGCAAACCTGATGGTAGTACCACAAAAGCATTGGTCTAATATCGCAAGAATGACACCATCTTGCTCATGTAGGTATAAAAGAGAGAGGATACGTTGACGACAAAGGAGGAGTAGTGAAAGCTTCATTGTCCTTGGCATCATACATAACAAATATTATCCTCATGGCCGATACCAAGACCACCACCCCTGATACCGTTTCCATCAAGGATTCCGTTTTGCTTGATACACAACCATCCAAGGCATCATCCGTTACCATCACAACAGCTGAGATAAAAGATCCACGGCTCAAGGATGAGATGTATGATAGCAAGCTGGAGTGGACAGAAAAAGAAGAGAACGAGGTGCGGCGGATATTGGATATTCGTCTAATGCCGTTCATCTTACTCATGTCGTTCGTGCTCAATATGGATCGCACCAATATATGTATGTACTCTTTTGAGTTGTATTAAAACCTTTACTAATGACGGTTCTTTGAATCCAGCAAACGCTATTTCCGATAACCTTGCAGAAGATCTTGGCTTTAACAATGATGGCGTCAATCTCAGTATTCTTGTTTATTCTATCATCTTCACCATTTTCACCTTGCCTTCCAATCCAATTGCCAAAAGAATCGGCGCTCATTTATGGATCCCCATTCTTATGAATTCATGGGCTATCGTCACTTGGGCACATGCATTGATCCACGTACGTAGTAGTAAATCTTTTGCTCGGTGATGTATACTAATGCATACACGTATCTAGGATTTTGATGCATTCATGGCTGTACGTGTTTTGATTGCTGTCACTGAAGCTGGATTCATCCCTGCATGCCTCACCTACTTAACGGGATGGTACAAGACCAAGGAACTCGCCACACGACTTGCCTACTTTTGGGGTATCCAATCCTTTGCATCTGCATTTTCCGGATTAATCTCCTTTGGCGTGTTTCGGATGGCAGGTATTGGTGGTCTTGAGGGCTGGAAATGGTTGTTCCTGCTGGACGGGATCTTGACCCATATTGTTGGTGTTATTGCCTTGTAAGTTGAACATTTTGGATCACTCATGAGACATGTCCTTTATACTCATCATCCATTTTTAGTTGGTATCTTCCAGCCAAGGCAGGAAAGACACGAGGATGGTTTACTGAAAGACAAGCTAAGATTGCAGCAACACGTGTTATTCGTGATGATCTTAGCAAAACGGATCAACACGCACCCATCACTTGGGATGATGTCAAGGAAGCGCTTTTGGATACCAAGATCTGGACTCATTTAATCACCACATTCATTGCGTATGTTACTCTAATGCAACAACTTTTGATGGGTATACGTTGTTAACACGACTTTTTAGAATGATGCCTGGTACACCAATCTCTACGTATTTACCAAGCATTATCCGTGATGGTGGATTTTCCGTTACTACAGCCAACTTGTTGACCATCCCATCGCACATTATTGGTCTTATATTCTCAATCATTATTGCAGCAAGCTCGGATCGCTATGGTGAAGTATGCGTTCACGCCCTTATTGGTGTTGTTTGGCAAGCAGCTGGTTATGCAGCCTTATGGGGAATGCCAGTGGATGCGAGTCGTTGGAGCAAGTTTGCAGCAGCCACTGTTACAGCAGCAGCACCTAGTTGGCACGGCATGCACATTGCCTACATGTCAGCCAATTTGTCACCCGCTGGTAAACGTGCACTCGCACTTGGTGCCATTATTGGTTCAGCCAACATTTGTGGCGTACCTGGGTCACAAATCTATAGTAAGTTCCCACCATGGTTGGCATGGCAACATTGATATTTATCATCATCACCTCCTATCACATAGGCGCATCGGATGCTCCAAGGTATCTACGTGGCAACATGATTTGCGTCGTTCTCAACATTGTGGCTGCTTTCCTCTTTTTGTTTCAACGATTCCGATACGATCTCACAAATCGATGGCGCAACCGCAAGTGGAACAACATGTCGGAGGAACAAAAATTGCATTACCTCAAGACCACAAAGCACAAGGGAAGCAATCGTCTCGATTACCGATTCAGAATTTAGTCATCTATCATTGTAGCAATACTTAATCTCGTTCGTACTTGTATAATAATATCTCTTTTAAGCTCTGATTGTTCAGCTGTGCTGACTTGAATACCTTTGTTGGCCTGTCATTGTGTGATCATCATTGTACAACGTGGTCCGTGCGACTTTTTTTTCTTTTGACAATCGTATGGGTACAAGTCATCGTTGGCTCCATTATCCGATCCCCAATCAATTGGCTTGCCATTTGAGCAATGGGGGTACTAGAAAATGATTGAGCTTGGTATTGCTAATACCCCATCTGCTACATATAGGTATAAGACAATCCTCCTTCCACCGTTGCCAGGCAACAAGAAGTATGCTTGGAAACCCGTTAAAACACGGCACCCACGAGGTTGCCATGATGTTATTTGCAATATAGTTGAGAGAGAAGCATTACAAGATGCTAAGGAGGATGTTCAATAAGCTATGGTCGATGTAGCTCCGAGTACAAGTGCTATCATCATACCTCGTTCTCCTAGCAACGACCTTCTATTTGGAACATTTTTTATTGCCGCCGACTAAAGTACGCTTGTTTCTTGTCGTCAAAAGCTTACGTTGTGATGAGCGATCATAAGGAACTTTATTCAATACCTCCCTGAAAGCCATAGTTGCACTCACAGCAGCCGGCAAATACGCTGCATCTCATGTTTTAAAGTACACATTACCACGCTGGTAGAGGATGATGAAGTCCATGTGGCTCTTGTAGATGGTATACACAGCATTCTTTGACGTGATATCTGAACATCCGAAACATTTTGTGGGGGAGCAGCATTCTGGGTTACAATATTTATGCAGAGCCAGATAATTTAGGCCGTGCATTTCCTTTTTCAGGCATAGTCTATCAGATTCGACTTCTTAAAACTTCGAAGATCAACCTCATGGTGATGATGACGATGATGATATGGTAAAGTATCATGTCAACGATCGAATACGCCTCTTCCCAACCTACTGGATAGCAGCTAGCTACACTGAATGATCCTGAAAGCTACATCATCCCAACACAACATTGAGCTGCTGGTATCCAGGTGCAGCAAAGAGAGAAGAAGCCGCTATATTTCGTTTACACAAGACCAATTCAAACTTGTATATTGGAGCAGCAGCATTACGTCAGATTTTCATCAACCATGTTGCCAAGGACAAAGGGTCCAGGGTCTCCTAAATGTGTGCTATAGTCACGCCATCTTTTTTTAACGCTGCATCCATACATAGTAGTAGTACTATCATTGGCTCAAGTAGCGATGCGTATTGTTCCGGTGGGCTCTTGCTACTTTGTGTGTAATGGAAATAAAGCATTATCCCCTTGATTGATTACGTGATGCAAACTCGGAAGAAATTCAGCCAACTGGTACGGCTTATGGTAATCTGTACTGCCCTGAAACATCCGCCCGGCAGCCAGTCAAAGTAAATTTCATGACATAGTGAAACCAAGATGCTTCAAAAAGTTGGGAAAGAATTCCCGAAACGGTAACAGCTGTATGCATGGAAAAAAAGAAGGTCGTGCTGGAGGGCGATCTTTTGTCCCAAACCTACAGGGTGTATATAAAGCGACAATGCATCAAATAGCCCAAGCACCGATTTATACATTTCCCTCCCCCTTTCTTTCTTCCTCATTTTTCGTTTACATTCACCCTCATTGTTCATCCCTCTCCTTCCTCCCCGTGACAATTTCTTTGTTATTCGGCAATATGGTGTCGCCAATGCAAAGTCTACTTTCCGACCCAAAATTACTGCAAGATTTTAAAACCTTCCTTGACGAACACTCTCATGGCGATGATCTTAAAAATGATTTGATCTTTGTGGAAGCCATGACACAGCTCCATCATGAAAGCGATTCGAAAAAGATTGAGTCATTGATGCATAGGTAAAATACAGAGCAACAATGGTAATTTACTTTATGGTTGAGCTCATTGTGTGGTTGTTAAAATAGAATCTACAAGACCTTCCTTGCCCCTGATGCAACTTTGCCACTCCCCCATGTCTCTACAGGCAAGCAAGTAAAGCGTGATTTACGATCGCTCGCTTGGAGCATCCTGGGTCAAGAAGATGTCACCGATGTTCTCAAGGATACTGAAGACCAAGTGGAAACCAAAATGGTAAGCATGATCCCTAAGCATTTAAGAAAGATGCTCATTTACAATGAATTTAGATGCACATGATCAAAGAATTTGAGCAATACAAGGGAATCAATATCAGGTAAGAACCATGCCTTCATAATAGTAGAATGCCATTGCTCATGTTCTGGTTATCATAGTCAATCGTTAAAGTCAACAGAATTGCACCCCTATCAAGTACGAGTCGTCATCGTTGGTGGTGGATTTACAGTAAGCAACATTGTCTGCTTCTTTTTTACATGTCGAGATTTTTAAAGTTGGATTCATGATCATTAGGGATTTACTGTTGCATCCATCTTGGATCGTATGCCCTTATTTCACGTCACGTTGATTGACACAAAAGGTAAGCAGCGTGCAGGAATGTGCTGCTTTGTTGTGAAACCGTTGCAGCTAATGATGGTAATGATGATGATAGCTTGCTTCGAATACACTCCTGGGATCGTTAAACGCATTGTTCATCCCGAAGACAATGAATCAGATGCTTTACGAGTACGCCATGATTCCTATGTACGCAACGGCAGAGTCATTATTGGTTACGCTGAAGGCATTTGTAACAATGCAACCTCCATTCGTGTTAATGGTGAAAAGGTAAGCTGATGATGCATGCATGCATGCATGCAAACAATAAGAAAAACAGCTGATTTGTATTATGTATATAGATCTTTTTTGAATACCTCTTGATTGCCACTGGCAGCTCCTATACCTCGGATCTCAAGTCCACCGATCCTTCTTATATTTACCGATTATCTGGTTTACATCAAGTGAGCCATGATTTAGCCAAAGCCAAGCGCGTTTTGATTGTGGGTGGCGGCCTAGTGGGTTGTGAACTAGCCATTGAGATTGCCGAAACATGGCCTGAAAAGCATATCACCCTGGTGGAATCGCATCCTATCCTGGTCTATCGAGCAAAACAACCAGAGCAAGACAAAGTTAGGGCATTCCTAAGCGATGAACTTGGCGTGGAAGTCGTATGTGATGAGCGCATCACCGATGTGGGTGAAGGCGAGTATATGGGTACCAGCGGACGCATGTACAAGGATTACGACAAGGTGTTCATGGCAACCGGTACACGTCCACAAGGCCGTCTTTTGCTCAGTGGCAGCAGCCATCTCGATTCCTGTGTCGATTCCTATGGTCGTATCATGGTCAAGCCAACATTGCAAATCGATCATCCTGAATACACGCATATTTTTGCTGGTGGTGATGTGACAAACGTCAAAGAGGAAAAGACCGGTTATGCTGCTACACTTGCTGGTGTGTGTATTGCTCGTAATATTTGCCGTATGTGCAAAGGCAAGAAACCCCTTCAGCAAGGCGCCAAAGGTACACTACCAGCACCTGATCAACCCTTGTCCAGCTTGCTCGCTGATATGAATGAAAACCATCGAAGGCGTAAGTTTATAAATAGGTCGTCATTACAAACATGATATTGACGGATGTACTTTTGATAGGGAAAAGCATGGACAAGATCAAAAAGTATCTTGGATTCCTCAACCCGACATGGGCAGCACTCAAATGCTATGACGAACAAGAATATCTGCAAATGGTTCAAGGCGAATCATCAAGTCCCATAACACAGCCTTTTGGCCGTTTACCTCGTACCCTTTGTAAACATCCTACCTCTCGTAACCGCTTCATGAAATCTGCATCCTTCCTTTGTCTTGATAGAGAAAATTTACATCCTAATAGAGATTGCAAGTAACGTTCTATGTATGTTGAATTGTGTACTTTATTGAATGAAAAGTGGTGGTGGTGGTGGTGAAAATAGTGAATGCTGGGATGAGTATGATTACTTTTAAAGGATGCAAAAATAAAATGGGGGGGGGCGTGCGTGGTGAGATAACTACAAATCGTCGTAACTGGTCAATGCACGACCGACCGGCGGTTGGGTATTGAGATCTTCTCCTAAAGCATACATGTTAGCGCACTGGTGATGATGATGGATGTCCCTCCCCCCTTTTTATCCAAGTATACCTGGTGCAGCAAGGGACAGCATATCCCGACTTGCTGGATAACTCTGCATTTCTTCTTTTGCGAGATTCCCATCTATTTGGAATTCCCGTGTTAATATGGAAATGTTCCATTTTTTGTTACCAAATCCTTTACCTTCATCCGTCCAAGGCACATTTCCGAAACCGACTTGATTACGCTCCGGTATTTTCGCCCGGTTGACTATGAGTGGATGATTAAATTCTCAGCTTCAACTTTTACATGAAACAACAACTTACCTTTGATATTTCTCGAACCCAATAGAACACCATGCATGCCTTGGATGGCATCAAGAGCACTGGTTTTATCCTCATAGGTGACAAATGCATAGCTATGAAAGGTCTCATTAGCGTTCCCATCATCATCATCGAGTCGATCCTTTGTTGTATGACATACTCTTTTCCTTCCACCATCTTGATTTCACGTATGGATCCATAGCGAGAAAAGGCTCGTTCAAGACCATCTCGAGACACGCCTTCCAAATCACCAATATAGACCTTTGTAGAGTAAAATTCGGTGTCAATGTATCTTCCTGCATGGTCGTACGTCTAAATAACATGAGTGTAAGTCATCATTCCCATTGCTCCTTGTAACTACTTACATCTCGAGAACGGCCACGATAGTGATAACGTGAATCACGGTGATAGGAGGGTCGTCGTCTTCTGCTGCTGCTGCGATAGTAATCATCATCATCGCTCTCAGAACCGGAATAGCCGTATCGTGATGAGGATCGATGATAGCTACGTCTTCGGCTGGTGCTACGACGTCGACGGCTGCTACTACGATGTCGACTTGAACTACGTCGTCGTCGATAAGGTGATGATTCTCTGTGGCGTGATCGGTGACGACGACGTGCATAACGATCCTCCTCATAGTCGTCTATATCATCTTCATCATCATACTCGCCTTCCTCTCTGGTGGCAGGATCACGTTCACTCTTGAACTTTTGTCGTCGACGTTTGACTCTTCCAAATTCATCAAGTTCCTCTTCTTCATCCTCGCTTTCTTCCACTCGTCGTTTCTCGGCTTGGTTGACACTACAAAACGTCGATTTAGACTTTTTCGTCTTTGGCACAATGTTCTTTTTCAACACTCACGGTTGTTCGTCTTTGCAAGTCGCCTCCTTGACGTTGTCACTATCCTTGGTCTAAATCGTGTGTTAGAAGAGTTGCCATTGAATAAAGAAACCAAGTCAATCGCACTTACCGAATGCATTTAACAAACTTTTTTTTGTGTGTGTGCTGGAAAGCGCTCTCTGTCACTTGCTGCATATTCCGTTACAACCCAAAAATGCTCGTGACTGTTTGATCTCGGACATTCCCTCATCTGACAACATTTTTCCTCGTACGATCATATAGAAATAGAATCTGAACTTTATTCACACTATTACATCTCCTCGAGCTCATCATCCGTTGCCATGAGATCTTCTTCAGGGAAATCACCGACAGTGACCTTGGAGGGTCGAACAAAAGCACCATATTTGGGAGGACATGTAAAGTAACGCACACCTTGAACGCTGCCGTCATTCTTGCCCAATGGCTCATCGTATTGAATGCCTACCCATAATCCAGATTGGAATTCGGTGGTGCCTATCATAATCCCCATTTAGCTATGCATCATACACACGCACACACACAATGAATGTAGATACAAGACTTACCCAAAAATCGAATACATCCACGACGCTTCACCTCTGAATCTGCTGATAATTGTACTTCACATCGATCACCCAATTTCATCTTGCTAAATGCTTCCTCATTTTGCTTTTCAAAGGCTTCCATTTGTTCGGCTGCTTCTTTTGAGAATCGTCCTAGCTTGTTGCGCTCTTTGAATGCACGTACAGTGTCTATAGAATGAGGAGGAAAAAATAAGCATCACGTAGTCAAAGGGATCACACCACTCTATCATCCTACCTGTTCGTTGCTTGTATTCATCCTCAGTAAGCTCAAACTTTTCAACAAGAGAAACATCCGTATACTGATTCTTGACGCGATGTGGATTGGTATCAACAACCTACAACAACATGGACATGTCAATAAAAGCAAAGGGATGTCATTTTCTCGGTATCACTCACGTGCAAACGCATGTAATCTTCGATAGGGTATGAACCAAGCATTCGACTATCGTCATCAATGGCACCAACGAGGGAATCGCCTTGGTAAAGACTCAATTGTGCAGTGTCAGGAGGAATGCCAGTAATAGGCTCAAGTTTATACTAGTCAATGGTGTAAGCCAAAGCATTCAAGTCATGAGCACATGAAGCGAACCTTGAGTTCTTGAATGGTCCATCCCTTGTCGAGACGTCTTTCAGCATTGATATTCTCGGGTGTGGTGACGATGACAGTAACGATTGACATTTGGTGTGGATTGGTGAAAGGAAGACACGTGTCTTGCCAACCCCGCCAACATCCACGTTCATGCGCACATTCTCTGCTCCTTAGCAACGTCACATGATTGCAGCTTTGATTTCCTTCTAGACAACTTTATTCAACAACAAATCTTACACACGTCGCTCAATGGCACTTTGGATCATGCCTACAGCAGATGGTTCATATTCTCGAAGCACAACTTTGTCATTCTCGATAAATGTGTTGCCTTGGACAAACACCTTTCGAGGTTGTTTGTTACGGATGACGATATCACGAATCTCCGTCCAGCTATCAGGTACGCTTGTGGCATCCAAATAAAACTTGGTACCTTCCACTTCATCGGCTGTAGCCTTGTAGATTTGCAACTTGGCCAAAAAGTCGGCTACTGCAGGAGCTGCCACTGATCTGATCTTTGAGCGATCCATTCTTAATTCAAGACCGTATTCGCCTGTACGTTCAATGGTGACAAAGCCTTGACCTGCCTTTAGCATTTGATTGAAGATGGCATAGCGTGCTTGCATATGGGCTTGACCCCACTATATAGAGATACATGAATAAAGGATGATCATTCATTGTCACATATATACACACAACATACCTTTTTAGCTTCAGGATTATAGAATTCGAGGGCGGTGAGACCAGCTCTAGCCATGTTGAGGTACATGACAAATAACACGTCCTCAGCATCCTGGCCCTTGAATCCGAAAATGTCAAGAATGCTTTGTTCCTTGCTTAGCACCAACGCAATACATTCAGCACGGCATTCTTCATAGGACGAAGCAATGGCCTTGAATATGGAATTGAATGTTTGACCAGGCTTGTACCAGGATGTCACAGGCTTGTTTGTCAATGGATGAATTGTTTCTTCAGGCACAAAGTTCCGCTTGCCATTGGCATCCTCGATGAATAGCTTGCCAGTGCCATGACCAAGTTCATGGGTACCCACTTGCACCTCGAATGACAAGTTGCGGTATTTGCGATACACTTCAAGATCACTGGGTGCGACAAAGGGGAATTTCTCGTTGGGCGATGAGGCTGAGATCACGTTGCCAAGGGAGACGTTCTTTGATCCAAGGACCTGAGTAATGTTGGTATAGTTGGGGATGTTGATACCCGAAGGGACACCACTGGTTGCAAAGGCCAATACTTCCAACGATGTAAAATCAGGCTTGTTGATGGCATCACGTTCAAAGGTAGGAGGCCAAGGAAGGTAGGATACAAATTCAGGAGCACGATCCACCAAGCTGGCAAACTTTACGGTTTGGTCCTTGTTCACCATAGCCACAAATCCTTCCCACTCAGCACGCACACCTTGTGGATCACGATACGTCTCGATGAAACCAATGTTGCTTTCCACCGTGGGACCAATATCCTTGAGCCAATGACGTTGGGATTCCATATGCGCCTCAATTGAACCCGTGGTGAAGGATTCATAGTACGCTTCAAGCATCTCTGTTTGGTGCTCGTTGGCTGTGTAACCAGCGGCCATGCGGATATTGTCGGCCACCTTGCGCATCTCCTCTTGATAATCGCCAAAGCATACCTCCAAAGCAGTACCATTGGGCAATGTATGTTGCTGTGGCTCGGCTACCTGTCCTGATGCCACCGTCAATCGGAATCCATCCTTGGTCTTGAAAAGTCTATTCTCTCGCTCTCTTCGTTAGTACAATACACATACACAATGAAATGAGTCCCCTATTTACCTTGTATTGAAGGGCTCAATCTTGGCCTTTTCAAGATACTCTTGAACCATATGGATCTCATCTTTGGTGATGTCACTCGAATAATAGCCCGTGAGATGACCTTGATCAGGGAAACCCAACAAGTTGCGCTCGACCGGCTCGGTGCTGTACATTTCATCCTTGACCTTGGCAAACAATTCAACAGCTTTGGTGGATCCACTTGCTGCCACAATCTTTTGTACGTCCTCAGCTGATACTCGGGGGATAAACTTCTCATCACCAAACGATTTGTAATTGCTCAAATTGCCGAGAAATTGACCAGAGTATTGCAAAAAGTCCTGGAAAGCTTCAGATGACACGCCACTAATACAATCGATAAATAAGTCGTACTCAATACACATACACACGCGCACACATACCTCTTGGCTTCAAGTTCCTTGATATCTACTAGGCCATGGTTGCCATTGCCAAAGACGTTCAAAATAAGGTCATAGATACCAACAGCATGGGGGTTGGTCTGGTCGATAATGATGCGAGTGCCTTCGAATGAGGCGCGGGACATGTAGTGGGCATAGTGCTTTTCGCGATCGGAGAGCGATTCAAAGTAGGGTTTAGCTTCGAGGCGTGAATAGGGAGTCTCTTTTTCAGCAAAGTATTGTGACATGAGGGATCGTGTGAAAAGTAAAGAGGGGGAGGAAGGGAAACGAGGACGATAACGTTTGACAGAAGCAGCGAGACCTGCACGCGCCGCCTGATACATGAGTTGAAATATATAGAAAAAAGTGGTGGGGGATGAGGAGGCGGGCCGAAAGTGAAAAAGAAAGTGCTCCTTAGCAACGGAAAAGGAAATTTGTTGCTCTAAAGGATGTTGCTGTGTCAACAAAAGCAATCCTTTCTTTGCTCTTTCTTACTCGCTCGCGCTCTTGGTCTGACTTGAGAGCTTACATCCAATGTTCAATACACGCTTCATTGCTCGACATACAAATCAAGTAGTTTTATATCTAACTGGGTTATCTGATCCTTGTTGCATAACAACCCCAGTATCACAAACAAACTAAATGACCGAATAATCGGACCCAGTAACAAAGGGCACGTTGCTACTCTGCTTATTACTGCTTGGAATGTTAAGAACGTCATACGACAGCTACCGACATTCTATAAAGTAGTTGTCCTCCTATAACCTTGCATCATTAAGACCATGATGGCAAAGTGAACCGAAAATAAAGTGGGCCACGACCAACCATGGGGTGGTACTAAATGTTACTCTTTCTTCTCATTCACAACCACCTGTCATATTGTTAACATGAAACCATCCTCATTATGCAAAAGGCACGCCTTTGGCAAATTTAACCATGATAGTTTAGCAAATAATACACCAATAGTATGGATTCCCAGGTCAAACTCTGGGGCCCGTGATACCAGGTATTGCCCATGGCGTGGAAAATATATGCATCGAGGTGACACTGATTAGGTAATATCATCGAGACAATGTCAAGGGAGTGAGAAGGATGGCAGTAATGACCTTGATGAAGCGGGTTGAGTTGCTCGCTTCGCTCGTACACTTTTGATTTCTCGCTGGATGTGGAAACCTCTTTCTATCCATAAGCAAATACACCTCAATCCCACCACGACAAGTCATCATGTCCATCCATTTTCGAGACCATACCGATTCACCTTTTGTGGTTTAGACTTTGTAAGAGAGAGATTCGTTTCAAAGCATGTTGTTTATATATAGAGCAATTTCGGATGGTATGAAGAAAAGAAGACTATATTTACAAAGCAACAATTCTAATGAACTAGCAAACAATTCTCGCATACAAAATGATTAAACATGATGACAAGATGGTAGTGAATGGTGCATGTAGAAACCAGCGGTATGAAATGGATTCAACTGATGGTATAAAAACGAGAGGAACAACTCCATATTTATCGCTTCTTGGATGCACTGGTTTTAGGCTTGTTGTATACATGACACTAGAGATAGGATGATGATGAGGACCATGATCATTGAGATGTTCATTTTCTTCCCTTACCTTATGTGCATGGCGATACCATAATACGCTATTCTTTCGCTTTACATTGCTTACGGGTACCCATTGACGACATTGATGACAGAGACCTTCCACCAAATCTTGATCCACCCATCGCGTCTCCAATGGTTTGACAAAGGGCTGGCCCGAAACGGAAGAAATGCCATGATAGAATTGCTTGTGGTACCTGAGATTTCATTGTTAGCAAAAGCATTCATTCTCTTTCCATCACCACATCACATACCAAAATGCGCTATTCTTGAGTTGTAACCATTTACCAGGCGAGCACGTGTCACACAATCCCTCCTTGGATTGACCATTGTATCGCACCCATTGAGGCGTATATTGATCCCCATCAAATCGCAACTTTTGTCTTCGTGGTCGTGCTTCAGGATCAGTGCGTGCAGCTTCCACATCCCTTGGCGACATGGCTGGGAAATCCTTATCACCAGGTTCCACGACTTCCCCTTCATCATCATCAAACTTTGTTCGTTTCCTTCGTGATGTCTTGTTGGATGATGTGGTAGTTGTTGTACGAGCCACAGGGATTGCTGTTGTACCAGCTGGTGACATGGGATGCATGGCACCATGAGGATGTTGTGTTGTCATACCAGGTTGTTGTTGTTGTTGTTGTTGTTGATAGTAATAGGGATGGACTGGTGGTGGTGGCATGGTCGTGGTCGCGGTGGAACGATAACCTTGCTGCATATACCCTTCTCCTGGATACTCTCGTTTTTGTCCAAGGGTTGATTGTGGAAAAGAAGGTGGTGGTGGTTGATGTTGTGGCGGCATACCAGCGTAAGGTGGTGGTGGAGGTGGTGGTAAGGGATACTTGATGCTTGTATTATTGTAAAGAGCAGGAGCACGAGGAGGGGATGGTGATGATGTATGTGGTGATACCTTGGGATATTGCAATACTGATGCTGGTGATGTGGATGATGGATGTTGGATAAATTCAAGCAGTTGTGCATATTCACCAGTGGAAGAAGTGTCATTGTTCAACATTGTGCCATCATTTGTCCATGTCAATTTGGAAGTTGTTTCATCCACGGGTTGTCCTGGGGTGTTTACACCATCCACGGATCCAATCTCTGATAGGAAATCAATACGGCCATTGTTGAAAAGTGATCGTGTTTCTGGCAAATCATTCCAATCCATGCCCACACAATAGGAATGGCGTCGCATTGCTGTATCCGTATCAATCGTCAATTCAGATCCATCATTCGAAATCCAAGAGTTTTTGGGTTGAGTCACCGAAGCATCATCCTGCCATGGCGTGGATCCTGCATACGATATATAGGGTACACAAAGAAAATTTATGCGCATAAGAAAAGGAGCATACATATAAAGACCCCACCCCCTTTTTACACTCACACCTTTTTTTCCCTCCTTACCTTTATCATCATCAGGCGGTGATGTTCTTTCGACTGGGGGGATTCGGTTAAAGTTGGCCAGTAACATTGCAGCTTCAATAGAATTACGATGTTGTTGCAGCCCGAGTTGCTGAGCTTGAGCATTACTACTACTCATACTGCTACTGCTGATACCGGTAGTGGGGCCGCCGCCCATGCCATAAGGTAATCCCAAAACAGCAGGGCTACTCTTACGCTTGTCAAATCGATTCATCAACATGATGGGATTCACGGCTTCGTCCATATCATCATTGCCATCACTGCCAGGTGTCAATAATTGTTGTTCATTGGTGGGTTGTTGTGCCGCGCTTGTCGCAAACGCCTGTGATACATGATTCATGGTTGCCATAGAAGTAGTGGACGTGGATACGCCTATATTCGAATCGCCATTCTCAAGTATGGTGGGTAATGCAGGACGAGACATTGCTGTTAACTTTGGTGACGTGGCTGCATTAGTGTTGGGGAATGAGTGTGATTCGATAAATGAGGTGTTGGTATTGTTGTGGTGGTAGTGTGTGGAAGAAGAGGAGGTTGCTTGGTGCGTGTCTTGAGCGCGTGGGTGTATGAATTCTTGTACATCCATATCCGAATGAGGAAAGTGATATTGTTGTTATGATGTGGTTGTTAGCTGAGAAATGAGAGTGAAAGAGAGAGTGTGTGTGTGAGTAGTAAGCTTATAGTACAATTCTCGGGGAAGAATATGAGAGAGAGAAAGCCTCGTATAATGGAATTAGGTGGGGGATTATCTTGAGAGAGAGTGCGCACAGCAACAGCAGGCTCCCAAGGAAATGAGAGATGGCATGAAGGCTTGTGACTGGTTGGATCTCGCATACTTTAGCTTCACACGCCCAGAATAAGAACACAGGAATCGGGAACGTCGTTTGTGAATGGTCGAGTGTGTAGTGCATTCAAAGGGGGACAAGGTTACTCGGCCTAATCCATAGACCCATGTTTCAAACTTGCCGAAACAATGCAAATCCATACCCCACTGGGTTTCGGGTTCAAACCGGGGAGATCACTAGTACGATGTAATCCTCGTAAAAAGTGATTTATTAAGCTCTAAAGGTAAAAAGCTATTTTGATCATTCACCTTTTTCCCTTCTCTCATCTTGCATAAAAAAGGAGACACGCACACTGATCAACACGTATATGCAAGTCTGTGTTGATTTGCATCACCGCCAATAAATGATCCCATTGTTTCAAATGCGGAGATTGCATTGGTGCAATTGCATACGGCGCTTCTGAGATAATGATCCTTCTAAGTTTAGCTCTACTTTTACCCTTGATACAGTGCATCCAAGGAAACCAATGTCGTACCCAATCAAAGTCATTTCTTTTGTGGGAGTCAAAGTCGCCTTGCCAAGGACCTTGGGCTCGAAAATGTACATGTTCTTGTTGCTGTAAAAGATGGATCATGTGGAAACGTCGTTGATGAAAATGGTTGTCATGGACCCATGCTTACCTTGTTGTTATAAAAGCCAAAGAAGATGAAGATCGCGTGAGATTGGTTATCCAGGATAAGGCGAGGGTTTTCGATTTGAAGATCCCAAAGATGTATGCATGCATCAAGTAAATGAGAGATGGTGCGAGCTTGTTATACGAATCCACATTTTTGGACAAATTCGGTTTATATGGCACTTGGCAGGAATCGAACCAATTGAGTGGCTCACCTTTGGATGGAGCTCGTTTGCAGATATCCTGCTTCTCTATATGCTGCTTCAAATAGTCAAGTTGATGAAAGCAAGATAGGCATGCAACAAGTTATTGCTTGATACATTCACCATGCTTGGTACCTTGTTCCACGTTCACAAACATGACCTTGTTAGCGTTCTTGTGCTTTGATCTAGACTCTTCCCTGGAAGGTGATGTAAAGTTTACCTCATTACGAGAATCAAATATCACAATGACCATTACAACTATGAGAGCAGGATAACAATGGAACTCTAAGAATGATAACAAACATTAGATACAATCCAAAAATTTAGGCTTGGGAGATGTAAGCAATGAAAAGAGTAAAACAGTGTGTGGTTGTTATGGTGCGTGGCAACGGCCTTCTTATCATCGGTGCATGGGCGTGTGAATCCCTGTGCTCACAAGGTGCATGAATTGACAAAATGATTCAAAGCGCCTTGGTGTGATAATGCTCTTGTCCATTCAAATGGTAAAGCAAAAAATAGTGGTGTAACACGTACAGCGATACCCATTTGGCTGCAAGACGCTGATAGGTGGGTATTGATAAGCCTATGTTTCATGCACGTGATAAGTAGAATACTTGTATATTTGTAAAATGAAATGGAATCAGCGATAACGAGGGCCGTTGTACAGAAACAACGGCTTGTTGGCTGTTGTGCAACTAATGTCAGGTACACATGGTAGGCCAATCCTTTCACATTTGGAAGGGTCAGTCAAGCAAAATAGAAATATTGACACTCTGAGTCGTCGTGGAATTCTCTTTTTATCCTTTTTCAGCGAAAAATGACAAAAGATAGTGCCTATTGTCTATATTTATCTTCTCAGCCTTGTGATAACAGCTAATCAGTAAAACCATACATCGCACCCTATGGCATGGGATGCATCCCCCGATACATGCTGTGCATATGATTTCTGAGATTTATACATAAGGTCCATATATGAGCTGCTGCTACATCATGTGTAATGCTCCATGGACCCAAAGGTCGAAAAGCCGCAAGTACTGTAATGTGGGTGTGGGGATATCTTCAATATCTTTGTGTTACATCAAACCGAGAAAGCACTTGCCTATTTGTGTTTCCTTACAATTATACGTTTACCACAGCTTTTGGAAACTCCATTAACAAATGTGTCAATCGAGATGATGGGCATAGATAATGTATAGAATACATTAGGTAATCGGATGGAAAAAACATGTTATTGAAAACAGCCACGAAGATGTTGCTATTGACGATGCTAAGGAGGAGCATGTGTTGTGAGCTATGTGTCACAAGGTAAGCATGGCAACAAAGAAGCACTGGAAGCTATCATTTCCTTTGCTCGGAATATTGGATCCTTCTGGTGGTTCCACTATTTGGCTGCAGTAAGAATGCATTTCTTTTCTCGCCTGTGGTCTAACGTTTGAGCTTCTTGTTCCCTTTTGCATATACATTTTTCTTCTTCATAGTGATGAGTGACAACAATGATAATACCGTAACCATAGGACGGGCACCGCTGCCACCCATATCACATCTTTTACATAATCCTACGCACCACCAATCACCGCCATCCACTAAACCAATCCAACAGCAACATCCTCGTTCCTTTTCTTCACAAGATGCTTTATCATCGCTACCTCCACTTCAAGGCAACGATCCACCGGCTCGACGCTCTCATGTATATGACACCCATTATGCAGTAGCCCCCTGGCGAAAGATGTCTTTTGATCAACATCCTATCATTGACCCATATCGACGACATCAAGAGGATGAGGAACAAGAAGAACAACAACAACAAGAAACCTCTACCTATTCAAATCCCCCACCACAAAGACACACTCGCTCATTATCAATGACATCAGCCCCACCGGCATCCTCTTGGATGGCTGATGAAGCAACAACAATGAAGCATCATCGCACAGAAGAAAAAGACATGTTGGTTTCTCGTACTCAGGTGGTATTTGACGCATCCGGTCAACCGATTTTAAAACGTAAAAGGGGTCGACCCCCAAGCAAGCACAACACGTGGCAAGGAGGCTGGGTATTTCTTGCACCTACCGTATGGACAGTGCAATCATGTCCTCAACCACCTGCACCACCCCCCTCATCCAATATGGATCCATCATCATCATCATCCACCAAAAGCGATATGCACGATTCAATGACAGCATTCACAAGCTCAGATCTTGATATGGTTTTACCTATGCCTAGGAAAAAGCGTGGTCGTAAACCAAAGCACAATTTGGCTGGCCATTCGTGCTTTGTATGGCGAGACATCCCCACTCAACAATCCATTAAGAAAACCACATCATTGTAGGAAAAATGTATAGCAAGAGTTTATATAGTTTTATCACTGTCTCACATCCGCAATCACCCGGAAAACCATGTATTAAATCTCTCTCTCTCTCTTTCTTTCTTTTCGGGACCTGATTCTCTTTTCCGACATCTTGTCGCATTATACCTTTCTTTTTCTCTTTATATTCACAACCGATGCTAAGATCCCTTTGTTGTCAGGCTCGACGCCACTATTCTTCTTCTGCTTCTACAAGCTCAGTGCCCCTTGCATTCACTAAATACCCGGCACCACAGCCCACTTCCAACTCGCCCCTTCTTGTATGTCATGGATTATTTGGCTCCAAACAAAACTGGCGTTCACTCGGCAAGAGCATGAGCACTCGTTTATCTCGCGATGTGTACACATTGGTATGTAAAATGAAGGGAGGCTTGGCAACCCATGGTGGAACTTCTAACTAGAATGGGGGTAGGATCTACGCAATCACGGCGAATCGCCCCATGCCGATGAACACACCTACCATGCTATGGCTGGTGATCTTGTTTCGTTTATATCCGACCATGAGCTCGAGAAGCCTATTTTACTCGGTCATTCTATGTAAGAGAGAGAAAAAGGGTTGTATGAAAGTAAATGGTATTGATGATGATGGACATCCTACATAGGGGTGGTAAAACAGTGATGGCGACGTCTTTGTTACATCCATCTCTTGTGGAAAAACTGGTGGTGGTTGACATTGCACCCTTTGCACTCCCTTTATCGAATGACTTTGGCACCTATGTGGATGCGATGCGAGAGATTGATCATGCAGGATTCAAGAAACAAAGCGATGCAGATGCTGTGCTTGCCACATTCGAAAAGGATATTGGCGTACGACAATTTCTATTGACCAATCTCAAAAAACGACCCGAAGATGGCGTGTACAAGTTCCGTGTGCCTTATGAGACGCTCGGTGCTGCACTTGGCAACATGGGCGATTTCTCAAAGGAATTCTCATCCGCTCAGTACTCAGGTCCTACCCTATTCATTGCAGGTGGAAAGAGCTCCTATGGTAAACCAATCGAGCAACGACTTGGTGAAGTCAAGACCATGTTCCCTGATAGCCGTCTTGAAGTTGTCGAAGGTGCAGGTCACTGGGGTAAGTCTGTTGTTTGGTTGTATGTAAATGAAGGAAGGAAAGATGCTAATATGGGGGGTTACCATTACTAGTGCATGCTGAGAAACCGGAACCATTCATGAAGCTCATCGTTGATTTCATTGGAACAACAAAGTAGACGCAGTTAGAGGATTGAATATAGATATTTAGAGACCACATAGCAAATGAAAATGAAAAGCTTGACTACCACATGATTGATGCAGAGGATGGATGCTGTATATGGATGCATATCAAACAATGACAGCAACGAATCACTAGCACAAATTCGGAAGCTTGGATATGTACGTCTTTGAGACCATGCTTATACTTCCTTACTCCTTTTATCCGATACCACTGTGTATGTGCATAATGAGGTATCAGTGTCTTTGTTTGGTGACACAAGCATACGCATTGTAGAGGTATAATTAACCATGCTTGTGGTTCATTCATGCTGCCATGTTCGATATAGCCAAAATACCTATAATAAAAGTAGCAGACCAGGGGTCCTTTGATAAACTAATAGGCGAGGCTGTTTTGAAAAAGAAATGGGTTTATAATAGCCAAGTAATGAGGTGCGTGGACCACTAGTAGTCAAACAATGAAAACCTGCTGCCGCCACTTGTACCTTTGTCACTTCGCGTTCAATTCATTTTGCCAACTCACGCAATCTCTCTTTATCGCACCTGATCATGCTACTCGTTCATGTATGCTTTATCGATTGCTACATGTAATGGCTTATCACGTTTGACGCTGGTGTTCTTGCCTGACCTATTCTTTTGATATCCACTTTTATGCTTATGGCATGCCGGCCAATAAACACGAAAGCTGCGGCAGGCCGATGAAAAGATAAGGCTGTCATTAAGAGCTCGATTTGTGATTGGAGATGTGCTGCTTTTGATATTTCTTGGCAGCAACTAGAGTCGCTATATACTGCATAAACAAGTTTATTTCTATTGACTATTTCTAACGATGACAGGGCAACGATTAAGATCTTGGTGATCTAGGATAAGCTAATAGAATTTTCATGCAGATCAATACAGCACTTTTGGATGCAGGAGAAGGAGGACAAGGAGGAGGATCGACATTGAATGTGGTGATACAAGAACCCATGGAGAACAATAAGATGTTGAATGCAGGTACAACGTTGAAGAGGATCAAGGGTGGCACCATCAGGCAAAACGGCATTCAATGATGATGATGATGACGCCAAGACAGCGGAGCAAGAAGTGGAATGTCAACACACCATGCATAGGCGTTCATAGTTACCCACCAAAAACGGTAAGGGATAAAGCCTTGATGCACAAATCCAATATCATGGATCCTCGACGCACGTGGTAGAGAAATGGCCTCACTGCAGCAAAAAAAAGAGAGATGCGTGTGCGGGCGATCAATCCATCCCATCCAAGCGATAATGCGTAATGTGCTGTATGTCTGTCTTGTTTGTGAAACCAGGCGGGAAACAGGAAGAGCGGGAACCCTTTACTTTGCTCTCTCTTTTTTTTTTCTTCTTCTTCTCTTGTCTCTTGACGACCTTGACTTGCAACAACAACAACCCACGCTTTGTCTCTCAACATGCACGGCATGGCCGACGAAAAGAAAAGAAAGTTCAAGATTCGCATTCGGCCATCAAAGAGAAACTACATTGGTCTCTTTTTCTCACTTGTCGGCTTCTTGTTGATCCTCTTATGTCTCGTCGGTAGTCGCACAGCCAGCGGCAAAGGTCTCCATTTTGCACGATTGATCGAACGACCTGCGGGTCCATTGACCATTTACATTGGGTGGCAAGGCTATTGCGTTGAACAAGGCAGCACGAGCAATGTGGAATGCAGCACTGACGATGGAGTCATGATGATGCCGTTTGGTAAATGGGGGCGTAGTGGTGGTGGTAGTAATACTGTCGCATAGCAACAACCGACTTATGTTATATATTTGATAGATGTGAATATAGCCGAAAAGTTCAATGAGACGTATCCACACCTCTTTGCCGATCCAGTTGAGCAAGATCCAGATTTGAACCCGGATGCACAACCGAATCCTCCTCATAATCCAAAGATTTATGCAGGATCCATTCTGTGTCTCTTGAGTGGTGGTGCAGCAACCGTCGTCGGCCTAGCATGGTGGATCTATTATCCTCAATTCCAGGACAAGAATTACTCACGTGGTTTTCTCGCATGGATGGCAGCCGTTTTATCCTTATTACTCGTTGCACAATCAGCTGTCATGTATCAAAACGGCATTGAACAACTCAACCTCGTTTATCCACACTTGGAAGCCATCGAAGGTCCTAATCTCGCCCTCGTTGGTGTCGCATTCGCTTGCTATATCATCGCTGGCTATACCTATTTGCATGGTTTATTCAAGACAGATGATGAAGAAGCAGCTCTTGGTGATGGCTATAATCCATTGTAGACTCTTTACTCATTACAACAACAGCAACATCATTCTATATTCCCCTTGTGATGCATCATCATTTCCTCCCCCCCCCCGGTTCCATTGTCATCCAACATCAACACAACATAGTCATTTTATTATCAACACCACCACCGTACATGTGTCAACATTGTCATTTATAAGAATACACGCGCAACAGTATACTAGAGCCATCGGCTGCATACGTACAATAATAGGGAGAGAGTGAGTGTTTGCACGTGATGTAACAAACATTGAAAAAACTTGTCATGATCGCATGCCGCTATGTACTAACGTAATGGCCCTGTTTTTCTCAAAAAGGGTGGACCCTGCTTTTCGTTTTATGCTCTCACAGCGCAAAACTAGTTGCCGGGATACCGGTTCATCATCACATGAATATGCATGCATGTAGTAGTAATAAAAATGAACGTCCATCATCTTGGGTTTGAAAAGCGAAATTCTTTTATTGTTTTATTGCCAAACGCGATCATATAACATGTGAAAAAAAGAAAGAATGATACATGTGTGTGTGTGATTTTGAATATGAAAAAAGACAGCCTTGAATGTTGAAAAGCCTGTAAGCGAGGAAACGTTTAGAACCGTTGGATGAACACAACCAATCACTTGGAAAGTTGGGCAGAAGGGAATTCATCACGCGATGAACAATGATGGTAATACGACATGGTTGCGGGAGGAGGAAGCAACAAAGAAGCTGCTGATGTTGTTGTTGTTGTTGGGGCTGATTGTTGTTGTTGACGTTGTGTGTCATTGTGAGTGAGCGTACCATGAGTGAGCTTCAAAGGAGGAGGTGGCATGACAAAGGCTGCTGCAGCCTTCATACTTGTCGTCGTCGTCGTTGAGTTGTTGATACGCGAGAATGTCGGCTTCATTTGATACTCTTGTAGTAGTGGTCGTTAGTATTTGCAAATGGCACAAAGTTTTATCACTTCTTACCTGCATGATGCATCGATGATGATGAATGCCCTCGAGTCTTTTCATTCATTGGAGGTGATGCCATCATATCCTCACGGTGTTGACGAGAAGCACCAACTGTAGTACCGAGAAAACGCGATGGATCTTGTTCAAGTAAAGGATACAAGGCTTGTTCGATGCGGAATTTGGCAGCCAGTTGTTCTGCATGTGCAAGTGGGATCCTGATTATCATGAGTTGCAAGAAAAACTTTTTTGTTTTGGGGGTAAAAAAGAAAAAGAGATAGCTTACCATACACCCTTCAGGGACATGGGCCCAACTTTTACGACAATACGACCTTTGGCGTTTTTCAGGATGCCATCTCGTTTACCACGCGAAATGCCCACCACATTCAAAAGCTTAGTTCCGTTGACCATGTTGTTATCTATACAAGTGTGAGCGTGTGCGTGTGTGAGAGGAGATCATGCAGAAAAATATACACACGCCCCTTCTTTTACGATTCCACTGGGTCGGTTTTTCGTTACTACATACCTGCACGGCGTGTGACGCATATGCCCTTGGCATCCACCATATAGCATGCAGTCTTTTCTTCTTCCCAGGTGGTCGTTGTCAACCGGTTATGTCTCAAAGCAAATCGACACGAGGATGATCTACTATTACCAACAGCGTTCTTGATTTTCCCAGTAGAAGCATGTTGTTGTTGAAGCGTGGTGTCATCACCACCCATCAAAGTGGTATGGCCTTTGTTGTTATTGCTACCACAAGACACTGCCATGTTTGTAGAAGAAGACCAAGGACTTGTGCTGCTGCTACTGTTGCTGCTGCTATTGTTGCCGCCAGCACCAAGAATGATGGATGAAGTTGGAGATGGAAGTTGTTGTTGTTGTTGTGATGATGGGTGTTGATGAGGAGTGATGGATGCAAGTGAAGGTGGTGGAGGAGGTGCAGCATCAAAAGTTGGAGCATTGTTGGATGCTTCTGGATACATGTAATAGTTTTGATAAACGCTTTCGAGCATGACTCTATAATGGGGGAGATTGATGGGACCCCCAATAAACAGTATGCAAAATGAGCTCAACATGCACGTATCTATTTACCATGATAAAGATGCAGCTTACCTTGTTGTTTGATATAAAATGGTGTGTGTATGTGTGTGTGCACGATCTTCAAAAAGAAAGAAAGAAAAAGAGCAAAGAAGAAAGAAAACAGGAAACGCCCTTTTTAAGCAGCAATTATATATAGTCCTTCTAAACATGTACAGTCATTGTTTATTCTTGCAGCAACCACTTTTTGTTCCCTTCTATTACCTTTGGGCCATCAAATCAATGCATAGGGTGCAGTATTAATACCATCATGGACATGACGGTGTAGCGAAAAGCAGTACAACGAATCCTTGTATAGATCAAGTTCCATTAGGATGTCGCCGCCGCCGCTGAAAGTAACCTTATGGGCTCATGATCTATTAACCCAATGTTGCAAACGAAGAATACATAGCAGTGACATTCTGCTGATTTAGAACGTATTACCAGGAGAGTGTTGGTTTGGGTGTATCATGCCGCAACTTTTTCTTGACGTATGCAGAGATGTTCTTTTGTTGTCATGTTTGATCTTATTTTATCATACATACATACCTCCTCGTGTGATCACGCATTTTGTTTGCTGTTGTGTAGTCCACCACCAATGCTCGAAAAAGGCAATGCAAGATCACTATTTCTGTTATCAAAATTAGCTACTTGCCCTTCAATAGCAACCATGTCTATAATCTCCATCCTATAAATGACGACAACCATTCATGATAAACGACTTTTACTATGATCGATCTGGAAACAACAACCACATGGTGCATGTGGATATGCACATGTCATCATCCCACGTGATGATCGGTGATGCGAAGACGGATGTTGTTATTCAAGCAGTAATAAGAGTTTTATTGCACTAAGCATATGTAATCATTGATGATGATAGGTAGTAGGCGATGATGTTCTAATAGTAGGATCGACTGACTGATGCATCTTCCAAGTTGACATTATGCGCTTTGAGATACTCCGCCTAGTTGCAAGCTTTTTTTGGCTGCTCTTCCAGGAACGATTCATTTCTCTTTCCCACTTTTCTGCTGTTGTTCACTATGACTGTTGCGTTACCTGACGGCGACAAGGCAGGCCTGTTCCCATCCAATATACCCACCCAAAGCCAGTCGACAACTTCCATTCCATCAGGCACAGCTACTCAAACCAATGGTACCGAAAAGGATGAAATCTGGTCGTCCATTCTCAAGGGCGTCGCATCCTCCAAAATGGTCCCTACCAAAAACGTCCTTGTGTTAGGTAACTTCACTCTATCTATCTATAAACGCCATTCCTTACTCATTGTCGTTGTTGTTGCACCTGTAGGTGACTCGAGCTGTGGCAAGTCGACACTGATTCACTATCTCAAGCACGATCCGGGTCCGCTTGCTCCCAAACCTACGACTGATGATGTAGCCGCTGCTTCTTCTTTTGGTGTCAATCCTCCTAGTTACGCGCACGTGTCTGTTGACAATCTCGACGAGGATGTGACCAATACACTTGCCTTGGGATATACGTTTGCCGATGTGCACGATGAGGATAATGAAGGTGAGTCGTCCACAAGGCAGCAACGGCGTGCGTGCGTGCATGTTATAGTAAACATATTCCGATATAGCCATTGCTCGTCTCGGCATGTATCAACTTGGTTTATCTGCACCCGAGTACCTCCCTTTACTTCGATTTGCACTCAACTCGGAAACATTGGCCGATTCTATGGTGATCATTGCACTCGACTGGACGCGTCCTTGGAAGTTTTTGGAATCATTTCAACGTTGGATCCAAGTATTGCAACAAGTCATTGATGATATCTGTAAACAAGGCAGTGCTGGTGAATCATGGAGTCGAGGAAAAGCGGTGGTAGATGAATTGCGTGAAAAAGGTAAGAGGATGATGCATGATCTCTATCTATACGTTACTGACATGTCGATCCTAGTGGAACATTATCTGCAAACCTATACTGAACCTGCACAAAACACGCTCAATGGTTACACCATGGTTGCTTCCACTTCTACAAGCTCGGTTCCTTCAACACCTGTTGTTTCGACTCCTTTGGTCACTACGACTACTCAAGCTGATCAAGTCACCCTTCCACTCACACAAGGTTGTCTTACTACCAATCTTGGTGTTCCTATCGTCATTGTTTGCTGCAAGGTAAGTTATCTTTCTTTCTCATGAGATGGTATCAAGGCTAACTTACATTATGATAGAGCGATGTTCTCAACATGTTGGAGCAAACGCAAGATTACAAGGAAGAGCAGTTCGATTACATTCAACAAACCTTGCGTTGTGTATGCATGAAGTGTAAGTAGGGGGAGATTCTTTTGGTTTTGGAGCGGGCATAAATCTAATTTCTGGATGACACACACACACATGTAGATGGTGCTGCTATGTTTTACACCTCCACTTTGCATCCATACACCTTCCACAACTTGAGACAGTACATTTTGCATCGCTTGCTTACGACCAACACCAAGGCATATCCATTTAATCTCAAGGCTCAAGTGATTGAACGTGACTCTGTGCTTGTACCAGCAGGATGGGATTCATGGGGCAAAATTCGGGTGTTGCGAGAAGGATTCGATTGTGAGGAGGTGCACCAAGAATGGGATGCCGATATGGAAGCTATTATGGATCGTCAACAACCTGGTGCTCATGGTGCTCGTGGTGTGTATGAAGAAGTGATACCCGATCCAGAAACAGTGGAACAACCTCTTAATATATCCCCTCCCGTCACTTGTGAGGATGAACAAGTCTTTTTCGAACGTCATCATGAAACCTTGCGACCTGCAAGACGTCCAGAAGGTACAACGAATAAGGCACGATCTGGCAGCATATCAGCACGTCCCAGTGTGGTGGGTCCTATCAACATGTCACAGGCATCGATTGAATTGGTGGATAATGCAGATGCTGCAGGACGATCACTACGACACAAGGTATGGTAGTCTATCTACATAGGCGGCATGAACAATACATGGCTCATTGTGTATATGTATTAGGATTCATTCTCCAAGGCACAAGGTGCAAGGTCGTCTCCACAAGTGGATCCTATTCAAACATCAGTGGATGGTGCTGGAGCAGGTGCAGGTGCTGGCAATTCTGTTCATGGCAACGATATGGCATCCAATCAAGCTATTGCTAGCTTCTTTCAATCATTGCTGCAACGCAAGACAACAGGATCAGGTGGTGGATCGCCTACTGCAACAACACCAGGTATGGGTTTACCCATGGGTGAACAAACAGGCACCGGTCGACGAAACACCATTAGCAAAAAGGAAGTGCATCGTGAATTGGATCGCATGCGTCAATTTGTAAACAAGCAATGAATAATCCAAGATATCTTTTTTTTCTGTTCTCCCCCCCCAACACCCTTTTATACATATATAAAACATGCCAATACCAGCGATTTATGAAACTTGTATCATGTTCTCATGAATGTAACAGGGGTGTGTGTATTGATTGATGATCAACATTTGCTTTAATATACGAGTCAAACGCGTAGCAACAGGCCTGTGTAACTCTTCAAACATGACGATCTCGCCCAATAATCCCAAAACATGAGCCACTGAATGTCCATACAAGCATCCTTTCACCTTTTTTGTATCTTGATCCTCACCAAAGACAACCGTTGCTTCGATTAAAAGTGGTATACATCACAGTAACCATAGCAACCACCGTAAAAACGATTACCCGGAGATGATGGAGCAAAAGATAACACTCCTATGGAGGGAGGTTAATTAGCCCCTACTGGGACTCGAACCCAGAATCGCCGGTTTAGAAGACCGGCGCCTTAGTCCAATTGGGCCATAAGGGCGTCGCTAATTTCGAAAATTAGCAAGAACATGATAAAGAAAAAAATTTCCTGAAAATTTTTTGAACGAAGACGCCATTGTTATTGATATCAACGTGCAGCGGAGGAGTTTATGAACATGATGGTTGACTCGCATGAGCGATATGGGAAGGATGGGTTGTGGAATTTGAATGAAAAGGTGTTTTGGGAGGATGTCGGAGTGGTAATAGCGGCAAACAGGAGGTGCATGAAAACTGTGAAGCTATTGATTTGGGAAAAAGCAACAGCCTTTTATTTGCTTCTTTGTTCTTCAGCTATCTTTGTCTACTCACTTTTACTCACAACTACCCATTCGGTAATGGACAGCTCAATGGTCGCATGACACATTCGACATTGCATGTGCATTGGAGTTTTCAGCAGCTCGGATCGTCATTGCCTCCATACATGATACAACTCTCCTCTTTTTCTTTCTGCAAACAATGTTGTGGTGGATGTGTCATACATGTGGGTGTAAGCATTATCCATGAGCGTCCTAAGGTGGGGTCCTGGGTATGATAAGAGGCTCATCATTATCAAGTGGCAGCAGCACCACCTTTGATTCATTCTTCAGCAGCTATCCCATCATCTTGTAAAGCAATGCTGTCCCGAGGTCCGAGCAAATGACAGATTTCAACATGTGAATGCTACTGCAAGGAGCCATGTATCGCCGACAACCTTTTGCTAATATGGTAATATTGAATCTTACAGTGGTCGATGCGAAACAATTGTCAGATCATAATACTACAACAAGCGGTCGTCGATGGAAGAGATTTTAGGGTTACTTTCAGGTGCTTTCTAAAGGTGAGTCGATAAAAGTTTTATAATTGTGGATCCCATCTAATCACAAGGATCGCTTTTAGGGTTGTATGCTTAAACTACTTGTTGTTATTAGAGTGCTAAATGGCGGATGAAATAAAAAAGCACTTATTGTGTTACGTAAATACGAAGCACCGACGAGGAGAAGGGGCAATAGGGTGGATATTGAACAACAACATTGTAAAAGATCGTACGTGAGGAGAGGAGGCTGGGGGACAGGAGATCTTTAAAAGTATCAAAATGTATCATCTGCTGATGCATGATGTGTGTAAATGTCTTTTGCCAAGCGGAAAGTACAAAAAGGAAGGAGCAATAATGTTGTATACAGGGTTCAATTGTTTCAAGTGAAGAACAGCAGCCAAAAAAATGGGAGGATATAAAGTAGGGATGTTGTGCGAGGATAAAAAAAGGGATTGATTTTCTTTCTTGCTATTTTCTTTAAGAGACCAAGATGCCAGGATCACCGCCTTTATTACCACAGCAGCAGCAAGAAGGCACCACTCCTACTAGTAGTAGCTCCAATAGCAGCACAACAATGCCCATTCCTATCCGGGTGCCAAACAATGCACATCCAAATTATGGCACAACATCATCATCGATGGTAGTAGCCGAGACACCTTATTTCAGTGCTCGAGAAGATTCGGATTTCATGTCAAGGCTTGGATCATTTGCACAATCCTATTCAAGGGCGTCCGTTCTTTTTATGGCCGAGAATATCCCAACATCCCAACAACATCATCATCATGAAGAGAGTATGGTGGAGCGATCCCCATTATTAGATGAAGAACAACAAGGTCCATTTGAAAGGTAAAAATGAACAACAACAAGGGACGAGGATAATGAAAAGCTTATCTCGATGGTAGTTGTAGCAACAAACAACACAACCCATTGGGGCTGGAACGCTCGGTATCACAGCAAACCTATCACAGCATTCACCTGACGCCATCTACTGAAGGCATGATGGCTCCTACTACTACTACAGCAGCAACACAAACACATACGCGATCGCTGTATCGACCTGATACTGTAGCTTCGGTGATTTCGCAACAATTCAAAACCGATGACAATACCCCGTTGCCCAAATCCAACTTTATCCAGTCAGTGTTCAATGCCATGAATGTCCTTATAGGCGTGGGAATTCTTGCCTTTCCCCTAGCGTTTCGATATGCAGGGTGGTTGTTTGGCACCTTGATCTTTACGTTTTGTGCCATTGGCACCAACTACACAGCCAAGCTGCTTGTGCGCTGTTTGGATGCAGTGCCTGGTGCCACCACCTATGGTGATATCGGGATGGCAGCCTTTGGTGAACGTGGACGTACTTTTATTGGCAGCGTCTTTTTCGTAGAACTTGCCACCATGGCGTATGTATAATAATGGTATGATGTGTGATGACTTTATTCATCTATTCTACTATGTAGCGTGGCTATGATTACTTTACTTGGCGATGGACTTCAAGCCGTATACCCAAACATGGACCTTGTTACATCTCGATTACTCTGCTTTTGTCTGATGACTCCGTTTGAGTTTTTCCCTCTAAGGCATTTATCCATGGCAAGTCTTCTTGGGATCGTGAGCTGTGCTAGTCTTGTACTGGTAGTGCTTGTGGATGGATTTTGCAAACATGAGCATCCTGGTAGTCTTTGGGATCCAATGGTAAGGAAGAAAAAAGGGAACGATCTTTTTCAAATCTAATCGTATTATGATAGGCCACTGAATGGTTACCATCGGATTTATCAAAGATCCCTCTTAGTTTTGGGCTCATGATGGCAGGATTTGCGGGTCACGCCGTATTTCCTAGCATCTATCGCGACATGCAGGAACCCAAGCAATACGATCGTATGGTCAACATCACTTATGGCATCACTACAGCGGTCTATTTAACCATGGCTGCAGCTGGATACTTGATGTTTGGATCACAAACCATGCAAGAGGTAGGAAGCCATTTTACCTAAAAGTAAACCAGCAGTCAATAACGATTGTTGTTGTATGTAGATCACACAAAACCTTGCTGTGACACCAGGTTACAATCGCATGCTCAATTCGGTGGCGTTGTGGCTCGTGGTTGTGACACCCATTGCCAAGTTTGCATTGATCATGAACCCATTACATATTGCTTGGGAGTTATGGATAGCGGCTCGATCCAAGGTGGAGAGTTGGTTACATCATGGATCGGCTTATATATGGAAACAGCGTCTTCTTCGCTTTGTGAGTCGTATCCTTGTAACTGCTATTGCAGTGTACATTGCCATCGTGTTCCCTGGATTCGACCGTGTCATGGTACTACTTCTACCTCAAATTCATTCGTGTTTCGTCTCCATTTTCTCACACGTCGTTTTCTAGTCTTTATTAGGTGCTCTTTTTAGTTTCAGCATCTCTCTCATTTTCCCTTTGCTATGCTATCAACGACTCTACGCCTCATCGATCTCATCTAAAAAGACAATGATGCATATTGTTGCTCTAGTCATTGCCATTGGTATGGCATTCATGGGCACAGTGTGGAGTTTTGCACCCAACCTGTGATGGTAGCCAATGCTTTTCTTTTGCATGGGTCAACAAAAAAGTGATACTGTTAATAAAACTCCCGCACCCACATTAATAAAATACCCTCTCTTAACTACAAATTCATATCACAAATGCATCATGGCAAGAACTGCTGGGTGCCCTACGCTTCATGATGATGAAGAACAACATCACCACCATCATCATATCCATCAACATCCTACGCCAACAACATCAACAAGTTCAGCTGAAGATGTTCTATACCAACCCACGCCACAAATCCAAGTGAAGCCAACATCTTTTAATGATGATGATCAACAGCATAATGATATACCACCGAGTCAATATGATGTAACCAAGCGACGAGGATCACAAAGTGTACCACCGCCAGCACTAAAGTCGTCAACAAGTTGTCTTTCACCTCCAAGTGTACCGCGTCGTCCTCACTCGGTGAGGTTTTCACCTGAACCTCCCGAGGTATTTCATTATCCTGCAGCACCTCATGAAAAGACGCCCAAAGCCAAACTCTTTTTGCCATGGGAAGGAGATGCATGATGATGGGGTCGTGGTTGTGCAACCCAAGAATGACAGCAGCGCTCTATCCCCGATACAAATGTGCACACACACGTACACGCGTCATGGTGGCTGAGAGCCAACGAGGCAAAATTTTAAAAGGGGTGGAGCTCTTTGCCATGGATGGGATACGCAGGTTCTTTCCACAAAGGTAAATATTCGTTTCTCGATGGATTGATTTGAAAAGGCTCTATCGAAGCTTGTTGGGTGAATCATCACATGTCCCAGGAAGTCAAAGTGCAGCCGAGATACCTTCACTTTATCATCATCCATCCATTTGTTTTCTTTTGCTCAACGTAACAAAGTTTACTGATGAACGCGTTGTTATTGTTGATGTAGGTTCATCTACCCTAGGATTGATCTTTTGGATTGAATAAACCTTTTCTTTGTTTGAATACAATTGCTTTATGTATAGCATGTGTGTGTGTGTGTGTGTGTGTGTGTGTGCCTATATACCTACAACTATGATGTATCATGGGAAGAGGGGAGGAGAGAGCCATCGAAAAGTAAAGAAGGGCTGACAAATTCTCTCTCAAAAGTGAGTGAGTGAGTGTGTGTGTGTTAGTCAATGTCCAACAGGACCAATGAATGGAAATGAATGATGTATGATATAAAGGAACATAGACACTGACTGGCGCAGTACGCATAATCCATCGTCGCTTTTCCTCTTCCTTTTTTTCTTTTTCCTTTTTCCTTTCACCACTCCTTCCTTCACATGGCAGCCAAACATCATCCTGATCTTATCTTCTGTCGAAAACAACCCGGCATTGCCATTGGCCGCTTATGCGACAAGTGCGATGGTCGATGTGTCATTTGCGATAGGTAAAGAGAGAGAGAGAGATCCGTTCCCTTTTATTGAATGTATGTATACTGACATTGTCTTCTTTTCTAGTTACGTACGACCTGCTACCCTAGTACGCATTTGCGATGAGTGCAACTTTGGCTCGTTCCAAGGACGTTGTGTTGTTTGTGGTGGACCCGGTGTCGCTGATGCTTATTATTGCGTGGGATGCACTCGTTTGGAGAAGGATCGAGAAGGCTGTCCAAAGATTATCAACCTCGGCACATCGAAAACAGACTTGTTTTATGAACGCAAAAAGTTTGGATTCAAGAAACGGTAGCATCATCATCATCAACAATGTATATAATCTATGCGATCTCTCAATATATATCACTTGTTTCCCCCAATAATATGATGGATGTGGTGGTCTGTGCGTATTGTCTTTATAGCATGCAAGAATGAAGAAAGAGAGAGAGGGAGAGGGAGAAGGAGAGAAAGTGTGTGTGTGTGTGTGCGTGAGAGAGAGGGAGAAGAATAATGTGTGTGTTTCTGATACAAAGGCGTAATGGGATGATGAAGAAGGTATATGATAAAAAGGAAGAAAGCCTATCAGAATCGTATGACACCTGTGGATGCTGGCATCATTGTGTTGGGTGGTTGAGAAGCAAAAGATGTTGGCATTTGATGAGGGTTATAGACACCACCTGTGCCTGCCATGGTTACGCCTGTTGATGAGGGTGGTGGACCTGTTGCTCGTGGGTGATGATGATTACCGCCGCCACCGCCGCCGCCATTACCCATCATTTTCGTTTGTTGTGCCAATGGACAATCCTTATGTGCAAGTAACAACGTCTTTAGATTCACGATCTCTTCACGCATTGATTCCACTTGTGTTTGGAGTTGTTCATTCTCATTGGTCAGTAATTCCACCTTGGACTGCAGGTTGTTGAGCCACTGTTTTTTGCGTTGTCGACATTTCAGTGCAGCTATACATAGATGGATAAGACGTGAGTAAACAAGTGAGGGTGGAGGGGGGACACCCAAATGAATGAATGTGCTCTCACCTATTCGATTGCGTTCCAAAAAGTTTTTCCGTTTCTCATCATCCTCGATATGTTTAGCTGATTTCTTTTTAGTAGTGCGTTTGGCGGTGGTGGTGGTGGTGGTGGTCGTAGATGGAGCTGATTGTTGTTGTTGTTGTTGTTGTTGTTCTATAGCAATCGATAAGTTTCAGATGCAACAAAGAGGCAATGAATCTCTCTCCTATTTTACCTGAAGATTCTCGATGATGATGGTGATGATGATGATGCGATGAATGCGTATTTGGACCTGCTAGCATAGAAGGTGAAAGAGGGCCCGTGCGCAAGGTATTGGCTTCATGCTGTAATGGAGCGGGACTAGTGATGGATGACACAGGTGGAAGCACCGGCTTTGTTGTAGCCGTAGCACCGGAAAAGCTTTGTTCAAAGGGGTTGGGCTCTTGGTCGAGTTTCGAACTCGAATTCAAAGGAAGCACCGCCATCGGTGGGTCGTTAAGCACTACGTATCAATATGACATGTCAATATCCCATTCACACCCACTACTACTTTCTCCCTTGCGCCTCTTGTGGAGAGTAAAAAGGGGGGAAGAAGAAGAAGCGCTGTATTGAATCTCTCTCTCGCTCTCTTACCTTGATCCTCGGGCTGTGCCATTTGGGTCATTCAGGTGTCGTTGGTTGTTCAATGGTGGTTACTATCGTTACCATACCAAGGGTTGTTAGTCCAAAGTTAGGGTTGTTGATTTTGACGCCATGCGCATTTACCTCGATCGGAAAAGAAGAACAAGAGTGGAAGAAAAAGAAGGCAGCGTTGCTGTGTCGTTCAAATCTGGAAAAGGGCATTACGTCGTTTGTACTACAATCCATCCTTTTATGGTGAAGCATAATGCAAAACTCTCTATGCGCTTCTATCGCACACCCCACTCACTGTTTCATCTTTTTCCAAAACTCTTCATTCTCTCTCTCCCCCACCACCAATGATATTCGAAAGTAAATAAATGATAATAGCAATATTTGGAAAATGTCATGATAAACCTGTACAGGGCAAGCAAGCTAAAAAAAGAAAAAGAGCAATAGCATGTCGGATGGGAGATAGTGGTGGTGGTGGGGGGAAAATGCTGATTTGAGTGTGTGTGTGATGGGATGATAGATGAAGCGGATTTGTAGTGTGTGTTGTGTTGTGGTGCGTGTGGAGCAAAGTAGAAAAAAAATAATGTATGTTGGGGGTGTGTGGGCGGGGGGAGGTGATTTGAGTGAGTGCGTTGAGTGGTGAAAAGGTCATGTTTTGAATTGAATGGGACAGGCAGGTGTGTGCTGTGTGCTACTAGTGATCATTGTTCTCATAATCGGACGACACTGAACGTACGCTATTGATAGGTGACAAAGACCGGTGATAAGATTGCTGTTGTTCATAGGCTTCCATATCCTGGGCATGTTGTGCAGCAATATCCCGGAAATAGGCTTGTGCTTGTTCACCATAAGCAAGACTATTCGCCATGCCTTCGATCGCCATGCTGTTGGCAATGCTGCGTACCAAGGGACGTTCATACGATCGTGTTGATCCTATGGATCGCATCATACCCGAGTCATCAACGCCATCCATGCTGCCATTGTTGTAAGATGCCATTGGATCATCGGTAGTGCCTTCCATGACACCACCACTTGTACCATCATAATCACCAACATAATCACCAGCATCCATGTGGCCTTCGGGGTTGTCGTACAATTCCAGGTATCGCACAATCCATTGGTGTGACAAGAGCTCGTGAGCTGTAGGTCGTTTCATGGGGTTCCGCGTGAAGCATTTCTTTAAGAAATCAATACCATCGCTTGATAATTGAGAAGCATCCGGTAACGGTGGATGGCCAGTGACAACATGGTACATGACCGACCACTCATTTTCAAGCGTGCTCCAAGGTCGCCGTCCCGTTGCCATTTGAACAATACAACATCCAAGAGACCATATATCCATCGATCCTTTTCGTCCAGTGTCTCCTCCTGTGATCACTTCAGGTGCCTACATTCAATCCCCAATCCATTATCACCTGCATCTCATATACATACTTGTATACTTACCATATACATTGGCGTACCAGCAAGGCTGTTGACATTCATGTTCATTGTAGTGCGACCCATTGTCTTTTGGCCCTTGGCAAGAATCTTGGCGGCACCAAAGTCAGATAATTTCAATTGACCTTGAGAATCAATCAAGATATCTATGTATTATGTGCGTGTCAATATGACTCTTTCTCATCATCCCACATCATTTTTAAACTTACTATCGGGTTTGATATCACGATGGACAATATTGTTTTCATGTAGATACTTGAGACCACTGAGCAACTCGTGGGCATACTTCATGATGTACACCTCGTCTTCTATTCGACCGCCATGATCCAATAAAGATCCCAAACTGCCATTCTCGCAATATTCCATGAAAATGTAAACCTTGTCCCGGTGCACTTCCTATACAAAGAGTGAATGATCGTGTCATGGGTTGTTCCCTTCCTCCTCCCCCCTTAGCCACCAAACTTACCATGCCATAGTATTGAACAATGTTAGCATGGTTGAGCATTTCCATGACCTTCATTTCCTCCTTGATGGCTTTATGCAAAGCAGATAAAGAACTTGAATCAGGGAATCGGATTTCCTTGACAGCCATGACCGATGATGTGTCGAGGTTGATAGCAAGATAGACGGATCCAAATGTACCAGCACCAATGAAGCGACCTTGTTGCCAACGGAAAGAAATATTGGAGGATGAAGGTGCCAAAAAGACGAGGGACTGATCTTCTGGCTTTTGATCGTCAAGGATCTTGCCAACGATTTTGCGTTCTTGCTCTTCATGATTGCGTTTTTGCTCCAATTCCTGGATCTTTCGCATCCAAACATCCCGAATATAGGTCACACCACCTGATGCAGATGCTGTGTCACTTGAAGCACCAAATGTGGAGCTGGTGGCAATGGTTTCCTTATCAATGGCACGTTTGGTGGCACCCGTGGCTGTCATGTACTGATTACGCTTGGCTGTAACACCTCGTTTACGTTGTTGCTCTTCCTTGGCTTGCAATTCATGTGTCCAACGCGTACCCAGCACATCAAAGTGGGATATCAGCAATGCAATACATCGTGCCACCTTACTTTGGAGCTTGGTAAATTCAGTCTCATTCAGCGCGAGGACCTTGGCACCATGGGTCATGACATGGCCAAATTCAAGTGCTGCTACAGCCCATCGAAACGTTTTTCGGTCACTGGGAGCACAATCATCAGTGATAAACGAGATCCAATCAATGGCGAGTCGAGCAAGTTTGCGATCCAGTTGCATTTGGACTGCCAACACAAGCGAACGGGCTGCACGTAAACCAAAATCACTTGCAAAGCTGAAGCATTCTTCCACCAATTCTTGACACCCAAGGCCAATGGTTTGTTCTCGAATGGTAGCCACGCTTTCAATAGCCGAGTTTGCCAACTTGAAAACAGTCATTTTGATCTTGTACAACTCCTTGTTAATGCGTGGAATATGGGCACGTTGCTCTTTTTGGATGGTGATGCCCGAACTTTGAACAGCTCTCCAAAAGACCGCCTTGACCGATTGCAATCCATTGGCATCGCCTGTGACAAGTCGAGCACGTCGAGGACGCATACCCAAATTGATGGCAGGCACCGAAGGTAATTCAATGACTTGACCCGTCCACATGATATTTTGCCAAGGTGTCAACACCACAATGTAGTCCTCTTGCTCCATGGTCGATCCTGGTGTGCCTGGTGTGACGGGCGAGCTCTTATCACCGGCAAAGCACGTTCGAATAAGTCGTCGAATGGTATCCTCTCGACCATACAAGGATGGCGATGCAATAATATAGGTGCGCTCCCCTTCAAAGGTGCCAGTAAGGACCAAAATGTGACCCGAATCCACCAAACAATCAATCAACTTTTCAAGGCTGTCACCATCCACCACATATTCAGCAGCATTTTCAAATTGGCCCGTAAAGAACCTAGAGATGCCATCACGTTATTATTTCATATATCCATCCATCCATAGCCCCACAACTTACCTTGCAAATTGCAATAGTTTACGTGCACGCATACGCATGTTATGCAACAACTTGGTATACTTGACTTCAATACCTCCATCCACAGATTCAGGTGGCAGCTTGAGATTGGAGATATAATCTTGCATCACATCACCCAGTAATCGATTGGTCAATTGACTATACATGTATATGTATAAATACGTATGTACGAATGGATACACCCTCCCCTCAACCTACCAAAACTGCACAGCGCATTCTTCATCAGCCTTGTCCACCACTTGGCATACGGTACGCGTGAAGAATTCCCATTCCTTTTCCATGACTTCGCACTCACGAAAGCTGTTTTCACGTTCGAGATCCAGCTTCCAAGTGATAAGCTTGAAATAAAAGCGCATTGATTCCATGAGCACCTCATCATAATCCTCATCAATGAATTCATCGGAGCGTAATCGCCATCCAGGTGCCGGATGTGCAAGGTCTTCATATTGTTTCTTAACACGGCAAGCGAGAGAAACCAATCCACGATAATCATCCATCATGGCATCCACCATTTGTTTAGGAGGCGCATTGAGACGTCCCTTGTATTCAAGTCGTAGCTTGAGAGCTTCTTCAACGAGGGATGTGGGAAATACAGCCAATTGACGAAGTTGATTGATAAAGGGTGGTAGATTCATCTCGTCAAACAAGTTGTTGTTGACAATCATGGTGCGTTTGGATTTCACCAAGAGTAAATTGAGAGCTGACAAGGTGCGTTTATCAAAGGTATCCTGAAGTGCTGATTCTTTGAGAATACGTTCAACAAAGGATGGATCCGTCGGCTGTTGTTGTTTGGGTGTTGTTGTTGTGTTGCTATTGCTGGTGGCTGTGGTTGTTGTTGTGTTGTTGTTGGTATCATCAGGGATATCATGTTGTTTACGTGCAATCTGCAAATCCTTGCTGCCTGTCCAATCACTGAGAATCTTGTACTGCATATATAAGCTACGAGTGATGGTACACCATGCATTCAATGCATCCAAGCGTGCTTGAAACTCGGCTTCGCCATAGCGTGGATTGGCTACGATCATATCGGCTCGTGTGGAATACAATGACTCGATGCGATCCACACTCTTGAGCACCTCTGCCACTTGTTCAAGGGCTACATCTTCACGTGTCAATACGTTTTCTTCATCTTCAGCAGTCGTTGTCGTCGATGTTGGCATGGTGACTCGAAAAGCCATCACAGCATCAATCACACTGTTGATCTCTCGTCGTCCTTCCTCGAGATACTTTTGTTCCTGAGCAATCGTACGACCACGTAATAAGGCTCGCAATGATAACCAAATCTCTTGAATGGGCTTTTTGGGTTTCATCTGATCTGACGTGGATAATCGCTTCTTTTCTGATTTGAGCACTTCGCCAAGTAGCACAGACTGTAACATTTGCTGCCACTCAAGTCGCTCGTGCTTGATCTCGGGTGCTGCAGCTGCCAACGCTTGCTCGTGTGCATACAAAGAAAAGTCATCGTCGTCATCCAGATCACTGCTGCTCTCATCGCTGTAAGGATACTCGTCATTGAACTGAGAAGGCTGAGCTGATTCATGTGCACCTGGTACATAGTGATTGGGCATATTGTATGGCCATGCCATGGGATCATGTTGAGCCGAAGTCATTGTCGTTGTTGCTGCTGCTGTCTCGTTACCCACTACAGTTTCCTGATTGCCATTGGGTTGTTGTTGTTGTTGTTGTTGTTGTTGGTGCATGTCGTTGGATTCAAGGTGGTGGTGGTGAAGCTGTTGCTCTGGTGGCGGTGGTGGTGGTGGGTCATGGTAATTGTTGAGCCTTGGGTGGTTGTCGTTTTCTTGGTGGTCCTCGGCCCAACGAACTTGTCGTACACCTGTCATGGCGAATCACACAGAATACTGCAAGTGAATGGAAGTGTAAAAGACGATGCCAGTGATAGGCCAGTGCAAGAATGTTCACGTAGACGAATGGTGTGTGAGTTGTTGGCAGTAAAGAGGTGTAGAAAAGGAAGAGAGCAGTGCCGGTGTTGCGTATGTGGTATTTGTGTGTGTCAAATGGAAAAGGCGTTTTGGCAGCTGTTAGGAGTTACATGTACCATCCTTCCTAATTGAATTCCAGCAATCCTTTAAACTCTCCCACACAACACGCCCCATGATACTACTCTTGTATTGTTTATGCATCAATTAGTTCCATTATTAAAGATGTCTTCTCTCTTGTTGTCTCTTCTCTGCCATTCTTCATTTTAACTTTGATATCATGCGTGCTATCCTTTGGGTCATCCAAAGTTGTTTCGTGCTGCTGCTGCTGATGCATGGTATTTTTCTTTCATCTTGGCGTAACACGAGTTTCAGGTTGACCCCTTCTATCATTTTCAGGTTTGGTGCTGTTGCTGCTGCTGCTGCTTCCCCATATCACTTTCACTTTTACCTGTTAGGCCTATAACGTATCATCATGCTTTCAGCAATGAACACTAGGATTGCCGCCCTTGTCTTTACGGGTCCTTTCTTCGAAAAAGGGAATGCTCATTTATTATGCAACGGCAATCAATCACGCCAAGGCTCTTTTTGTGTAGGTGACCCAACAATCTATCAACTCGTCACCATTCCCAGCACTCTTTGTGATCACGGAAATACCCACGCCCAGCATTCATATAAAACCATGTTGGCGCCATCCATCTTTTCTCGCATCTTGTCGCCCTTTGATTGATGACATCTTCAAAGCCCAAATTGACGCGAGATGGTCTTATTTTGTGGACTCATTTGTGATGGCCTTTAGCCTTTCATTAGGTAAAGCATCATTATCACCTTTAAGAGTGCCCGAGAAAAGAAGATCGACGTTGACTTGAAGCACTGTTGTAATGCTGAAGCGAACGCAGGTTGGCTCCTTTTGGGTATTACCATTCATCATGATGCAATTGTTTGAATATTACTATGCATACGATGTTGTATCCAGCATGGCAAGAATCATTAGCGAGATCAACTTGGGGACACGTTACTACTAAGGTATACAACTCATCGCCTCCTGTGTAAAGGATTTGGTTGATCCATCATGATGACTTATCATATCTTCAGCAAAGGTGCTTTTGTATGCATTGGTCCTTTTCGTTCTAATAAAGACACCATGTTTTGCTCCATCTTTGACATAGTAAACTTTGTTGCACCAGTGGTGGTAAAGTACCAGTAGTAGTAGGACGCCAAAGTGGGAGCGGGGGTAATGGGATTAAGTCGCATTGTTATGCATGGGCTGTTGTGTAACCTTTAACTGGTCAAGGGAACAACACTGATGGTGTCACCTTGGTCGGGAAACAAAGGTGGTGAAAGAAAACAAGGTCCCTTGATGGCTTCTTTTTGATCTCGTGAACAGGCGAAAACAACGAATAAAGGAACACAATGAGCATTCTCACATAAATTGTCGGCAATACACGTGTGTTCGCTCACTCGGCCACTCACCGCTCATTATGCCGATGACCGTTTTTGTTATATTTGCTACACATCTACTTGCCAAATATGCACAATCAACAGCTATCACGCACACACAGCCATCATTGCCTTTTCTCTAATTTTATCGATACGTAGAAGCAATCCCCATTTTCTTTTGACAAATTGTTGGCGAACCAAGAAAACACTGCTTTCAACAAAAGTATGGATTAGATCTATTTGGAGCCCTCCTCCTATATGATGATGATGATGATGATAGCAAATGGTCGCAGCTGCCTTGTCAATAGGGTTGGCTCTAAAATTAAACTTTGGCGGTATAGTAGTAGGCATGCTGATCATATAAGAGGAAGCCGTTTCCCCCCCCCACCTCGCTCTCTTAATGGGCTTTGCTTAAGTACTGTAACATCATCTAACGCTGATACAATGCTGGTAATCCTTCCCAAGGACTTTATTGGTTTAACGTTCAATGCAATTCATGTATACGTCCACCCTCTCTCTCTCTCTCCACAAATTTGTCATCAATGCATGAAACCACAGGTTTTTAGAGTAAACAACACATGGCGAGAAAAGGTAGATGTCTTTTTTTTTGGGGGGGGGAATGGTGATATGTATATATGTATAAAGAGAAAGAGAGACAAAGAGAGAGCGAAAGAAGATGCAGTTATTAAGGATGCTTAGACGATTTCCCGACCGAACTCGTCAAAATCAATGTGAAAGAATCGATGCCGTAATGCTTCTCTTGCTGTGATACGTTTGTTGGGATCATAGGTGAGCATTTTTTGTACCAGATCCAAAAAGGCGAGGTTGGTGCGTGTTCGTGGTAGAATGGTGCTTTTCAATGACTTTAGACTCTTGACGTACTTTTGGCTTTGAGGAGTCGTATCCGAGGCAGGATAGTTGAGCCGGCCATTTCTGAAATATTTTGATGCATCCGGACTATAAGAAATATGCATTAGCGATGTAAAGTCTTCTCTCCTCCTGCCAATGGGACATTGAATACTTGCCTTGCGTTTTGAACGAGTCGAGCGGGTATCTTTCCTAGAACCATTTCCATCATGGCAAGATGTTCAAGGTTGTCATGTGTTTGAAATAATGCCTCGCCTGTGAAAAATTCAACAAGAATGCAACCAATCGACCATACGTCACATGGATACGACCAACCTAATCCTATACATTGTCATCCCCCACATCCCATTAGCCAATCCTGGTCATAGATGGACCCTTCCTTCTCTCCTCCTTGCTTACCAAGTATGATCTCCGGTGCCCGATAATGTCGTGTAGAGACAACAGAAGAATGGTAATCATCCTCAAAAGTAGCCGATCCAAAATCGATCAGGATGATCTCTGTGTCATGTAATACCCTTACTTTGCCGTTCTATATAAAGCGAGAAAGGGAGCACAAACTTAGTGTGTGTGTTCCATCCCCCCCACATGTACATTCCTCTTTTCTTCTTACCTTTGTGCGGTTTGTAGGCACTTCGCTGTATTTATGATTCTTGAGTAGGATGTTTTCAGGTTTCAGATCGGTATGGATGACTTTGAGCTCATGGGTGACTAAAAGAGAAAGGGCGTGTGTATGTTAGAGAGGCATTGACATTTCCATCCCTATCACGCACGTCCTGATACTTACATGCAACACTGGTAAGCAGCTGTTTGGCAAAATGCTGAATATGGCTAATGGGAAATGGTTCAAAGTGATTGGCCTTGAGAAAGTCAAACACCGATTGGTCTAGTAACTCAAACACCATGCACACATGGTTGCAGTATTCGAACCAGTCAAGTAGATGGATGCATTGGCTATGTTAAATGTGAGCATCGATACAAGCGGTTGTAATAGCAAAGCAAGCAACATACTTAAAGTTGAGTGAATCACGATCCTTGAGCGTGTCGAGTACGCGGATTTCTGTTTGGCTGGCTTCTTTGTATTTTGGAATGGCTCGGATAATCTTGATAGCCACCGAACATCGCCGGACATGATCATAGCATTTGACTACTTTGCCATAAGTACCCTGCCCCAATGTCTCGTGGATTTGATCTAAACATGGGAGAATGGATGATGAGTTATCTTTTTGTCGGGAAAGATGATGATGATGGAAAAGAGACTTACATCGATCCGTTAAAAAGTCACCCTGTCGAACGATAAAATGGCCATCCTTATCAGCAAGTGATCGTGGTCGCTATATATAAAGACACAGACAACGTTATAATGTTGTTCGAGACCCCATCGATAATCCAGCTCTTACCTCAAAAGTGTTGTTTGATGAAGTGATGTTGGTCGTGGTTGTGGTTGTGTGAGTGGAATTGGGTACCACGGCTGCTGCTGCTGCTGTCGCCGCCGCATCAGCTGCAGTAGTGGTAGTAGCAGTAGCAGTAGTAGTTGTATTAGCGATTGTGCTTGTGGGATAATATGGCGATATGGGTGGTGCTGGAACACCCGTAACTATTGCATGCGGGATTACATTCATGAGATCTCTTACTCTTATTCTTTCCCCACCACCACCTCCCATATCAATCACACACACACACACCCACACACACACATCCATCCAAGCCTCCTTCTTCTCTTTTAACGCGATTCTTTTCTTACTTACCAACATTGTTCAGGGCGTTTAGAGTTGGTACTGGTTGTGGATAATGCCTCCGCCTTCGTTTGTTGGTGGCCAAGAAATGATTGTTATTGGGTATCGTACTGGTAGACATGGTGGACTCGTTATTATTGTGAGCTGGTCGTTGCCGTTTGGACGAGGACCGAGGAGCCATAGTGGTGTTATTGAACGCTGAGGGTGTGGGAGGTGCAGGGGCTGGCACCACCGTATAGCTTGCATTGGCATGCGACTTGTTCGTTGTCGTTGTCGTTGTCGTAGTCGCCTGATCGGGAGGTGGAGTATCCTCAATCACGATAATCTCTTTGGGGTAGCCATTCTTGTAAAACTCGGCTTCCCAGTTGGATCCACGGTTCCTTTTGGTGGATAAGATGGCACTGGTCATTACCGTTGCAAAAGAGAGAAAGGGTTGCGTGTCGACAAGCTGTGTGAGTGAGTGAGTGAGTGAGTGAGGTGAAAAAGTGAAAGGGAAACAAGAAACGTGGGAGGAGTGTGAGTGAGTGTGCGCAAAGAGAAAAGGGTTATGTGAGTGTGTGGTTTTAGGTGTGGAGTTATGCAGAACACAGGAAAAAAGAGAGACAACGAACGATAAAAAAGAGCGAGCAGAAAAACACACAAGCAATGATAGGATGAGTTTTTGTTAGGCGCTGTGAACGTTTGCAAAAAGGTAAATGACGTTACGTGAAGGAGAATTAAAAAAGATAACAAGAGAATCACAAAGCGTTTGGAGGGAGGAGAGAAGGGAAAGGTTTGGTTGTTATAATGGGCCCTCACTCTCTCTCGTTGGTTTCTGATTCACACTCTCTTTGTTGCCGACCACCGACTTACTACCCACATATAAAACATCCACACACGCACACACACAGCACACACAATCTCCATTTATGTCTTGCACCCAATCCCCGAGGATCCCGCTCTCTCTCTTTCATCATCATCATTCAACCCATCATTGCCCATGGATCATTGTAAGTTGTTGTTGTTGTTGTCATGAAAAGCAAAGGTTATGGAGGTGCAAATAAACAATGCCCGTCCTTTGTTATGCGTGATGCATGTCACTCTCTTTTTATCATTCATCTGCAAAATCCCCTCCTCACGATGTAACGGGTTTCCTTTAAATGTCTAACCACCACAACCACCACTACCACTCATTACCAAACCCCTTCTTGGAAAGTGGCCTCTCTCTCTCTCTCTCTTTTTTTTTCTCCTGTTGTTTTATAAACCCCCAAATCACCCGTTAATCACTCATTCACTCACACATACGGTCACGGACCATCCATTGAGCGTGCATCGGTGGGTGAACTTTTCATGCAAGCATTGGGCTTGTGCTGCTGGTGACTAAATGAGATGATGATGATGATGATGATGACAGCTACTACTGCTACTACTACGTAGCATGAGCACCTGCTAAAGGGTCGGTCATTCTTGTCATGTGGATTTACCCGATAAGGTGCATCATGCTGGAATGATGATAGTAGCCATTAGGTGTGTGTGGTTCGGAGAAGATCAATATATGGGAGAGAGGGTTAGCGGGGTGATGGGTATGTTTTGGGGGACAATTTGTGGATCATTTATAATGATATCAAGCCGCTTTGTGTGTCAGAATCTCGGAATTCGATGACGTTACGATTATCATTTTGCCGCTTGACGCTGAGCATTATCGTGAAAAGCAAAGAAGAAGTGAAAAGAAAAAAAAGTAGTAAGATGCATCTTCGTAACCAAACAGCAGCACAAAGATAAGCATGATGGCTGCTGCTGCAGCAAGTTGCCTACGAATGGCTGCTTGATCCGGCGTCGCCAAGTCATCTGATTTCTTATTGGTGATGCACTGACAAAGCCCCCATGTGATCATTTGCCATGGCAACGGTTGTCCCCCCAACAGCAAAAAATGGTTGCCATTGACAACGCCCTTACTAGTAGTGAGATCAGGATGAATAAAGTAAAAAGATAAACTTTGTTTTAATAGTGTTCAAAATGCACGGATCTATACAATAGAATGGGGGATATGAAGCAGCTGCTGGAAAATGATGATATTAGAAAGGGGGGGCATATTCATAGAGGAAGTACTAGTAAAAGTGGTGGAGAAGGTATTCATAAAAGAAACATAGATACGAGAAAAAGAACATAAAAGAATAATGGTGGATGTGCGTGTGTGTGTGTGTGTTAGAGGATATTCATAAATGGATGATGAGGTTGATGATGATGACGATGAAAATGATCAAGAAAAGCAAATACGATAAATGATGCAATAGTTGGGAGGAGGTGGAGGATGGGTGTCTTTACAGGTTGCGATAACGGCGTTTGCCAGCACACTTCATTGCTTGAATCTCGGGGCTTGTACGACATGCTTCTTCCATGCGCAAATGTCGTTTAAGAGCATCTGTGCGTGCAAACGCCTTTTTGCAGCACAAGCATGCATAGGGTTTGGCTCCTGTGTGCACACGTACATGTCGCTGAAGGTCATGCTTACGCTTAAAAGCACGAGAGCACATTGGACAAGCAAAAGGTCGAGAGTCATCAATGGTGTTGTTGGTGGTGGTCGTTGTTGTTGCTCTTGAAGGAGCAGGGGTGGTGTCATTGGTAATAGTGGTAGCCACAATAGGAGAAGTTGTTGTAGATGGCTCGTGACATCCCAAATCGTGGGCAAAGCATTGGGTATCAATAGGTGATTCTGGAGGAGAGTATGGGGTATCGAATAACAATGATGTGGTAGTGGCGTCATATTGATGATGATGAAATCCTGAAAGTGGAGGAGGAGTTGGCAAGTCATCCTGCATAGGAGGTGAATACGAGGACGTGAAAAAGTCAAAGCCGTCGTTGACAGGTGAAGGAACCGTACTGTGATCAGGCGAATAAAAAGGTGGGTATGTCAACGTATCACAATCCAAAGCTGGAGGAGGTACAATAGCCATGCTTGCATCAATAGGCGAAGGCAATTGCTCAGGAACCGATGGTGACGAAGAAGACATGGAATACAAGCATGATGTAGTAGTACCAGTAGCAAGGTCCAATCCTAGTTCGTAGGTGTTATCCTCATTTACAGTGGCTGGATAATGCTGTTGTTGTGCATGTTGCAGCATGAATGGATCCACCATGTAGGCTGCGGTTGCTTCTTGGTGTTGGTGGTGTTGTTGTTGTTGCTCATTGGCATAGTAGTCTTCTTGATAGTACATCATGGTATATATACGTGGGTGTTTTTTTTGGGGTGTGAGTGGATTAGATTGTGTGTGAGTGTGAATGTGAAGCGTTGGTTGTATTAATGCGTCAAGAACACAGTTAAACAAAAAAGAAAATTGAATGGCAGGGGATCCTTTTATATAGCAAAAAGATGAGCGTATGATGGTACGGTCAACCAACCATGGTACTACTCTCCTGCTCCAACAGCAGCAGCAGCACCGCTCTGTTGATCACATCGTGTGCTCCATGCTTCCCGTATAGTTCTCCTTGTTTCTCTTTTTGGTGATGCACGCTTGTGTCTTTTTTGACAAGCATCACACTCTTTGCCGATCCGACAGGATATGATATGATGATGATGATGAACCCATGTTGGTGTCACAAAGGGTGTGCGCACAAAATAGACAGCACGCTTGCTACACAACATGTCCATCACACACAAAAAGGAAGCTGTCTACTAGCCAAAATGAGAGAGAGCGACTCTGCACACACACACACAAAGCACACTCTTTCTGGTACGTCCCTTGCTACTCAGATGTCGGCCAATTGATTGCTTATCCCCTTGCCCGTATCTTACTCAAATCTTTCCAATGGCTCTCCCTTCTACCCCTTCTCGCATACACACATCTATTCTCTTGCTGCACACATACAATCAGGAGAGTATTGCAGCACTTTTTTCGTCCCAAGTTACTGTTTCAAGGATGCCACTTGCTATATACGTGCTACGCGCGAACATCAAAGAAGAATAAACAATAGCATGGATGTGATTCATTATGGACTTTGCTCTTCAATTTGTAAACATTTGGCTTTTTTGATCGTGTGTGGGGGTGATGTCGGGATGCACGAACCACGGCAATCCACCGGTAGGTTTCCGAGCATTTGGCAACTTGTGGTCAGTGTATAATGTTTATGTGGGTGTGTGCTCCGTGTGTGTGATGTTTGTCACACACACAAGAGTACCACACGCGGTCTTACGATTACCAAATCCGTGTATGTGCTTTTGTAGTGTGTCTCCTATAACCTTCTTTTACGTATCCCTTGTCGTATTTGCTGATCCCATGATGGCAATTGCTTAGCAAAGTCAAGTACAGCAGCAGCAAAGGGTGGTTATTATTACAGGGTGTCTTGAGACAACCCACAGCCTGCTGCTGCTGCATGTCATGCATCTCATAATAGTGTGCCTGTGGTAATAACCATTTACCAAATGCGTATCATCATCCTCATCAGCAACAATGGTGTATGGGTCTGGCCATGCAAAGAAAAAGGAGCATTGATATGTACTCGGGAAAATGATGGTCGAATGTCAATATGAATAGGTTGGGGATGAACGATATGCAAGGGATGACTGACAAAGACAAGAGCGAGAGTGCTTCTTCTCGCAAGTGCTGCAGGGGATGATCTTTACCATATTGAAGAGATTTCCATTATTAGGCTGCTAATGCTGCTTGTATTGCTTGTTACTTTTCTCGTCTCTTTCCACACCCCCCCCTTTTTCAACAGCAGAAAGCGCACGGCCCCACATTCACACATTGAGCATGTGCCAGTGTAGAATTGAAGAGAGAGATGATGCATCTCTTGAAATTTCCTTTATTCGCCTTTTCCTTATTGCCTATTGTTAATTGGTATCATGCGTGGGGTGGCCCACTTGTTCTCAATGTCATTCATATATGTATTGTGCGCGCGTACTATTACCCCCTTTTCATCGTTCGTGTTTCAATTTCTCGACATGGAAGAAAACAATATAAAGTTACACTACTAACGCGACAACACGGATCCTATTGGTGGTAAGGTGTGCTGTTAATTGAAGCCAATGTATAAAAACAGCGACCAAGGCATTCTATCCAATGCCTTTTTTCTGCAGACACCGAAAAAGGAGAAGACAAAGAAGGTGGATGATGATGAGCGATATATGTACACGCGTAAACATAATCCCAACCAACCTACGGGTGGTAATAAGCTATTTTAATTGGGTTATTATCTTCCACTCTCCCAACTTTTTGAACGCTTGCTGCCATGTGCACTTGGAAATTATCCTACCCACGCGCATGTCAGTCGCGCGTAACGGGTCGGAATGAACAATAAACTATAACCATCATGGTCTCTCCTCCATAAGTACATCGCCGATCGATAATACCGGTTGATGAAAAAGACAATGAGCGACATCATAGTATAGCCATGAAGCTTGTAAACCAGTAATAGTAATAGTAGTAGTAGTAACCATGCTAGCTATATGGATCATTCCTTTTGTCAATGATGATGCATGTATTGATTGGGTTATTCGTATGACATGATCGACAAAGCTAAGCATGATGATGGTTAAGCATGTGGGTGTGATGATTGACGGGATTTTACTTTCCTAACGAAGCCAATATCGGAAATAGACGTGTTCCACCCGCATGGATCATGCTTGTATCACCAGCATGTTCTTTTCTCTTCTCTGCCGGCTAATGTTCTTGCATTGAAAAAAAGAAATCCCACCACCACTACCATCATCAGCAACAGCAATATCCTTTCTCACACCTCAAATTGGGAATGACTAAGGGTATGTGTGTGCGTGTGTGTGTGTGTACGTCAAACTTTGTTTGAGGATAAAGATAACAACCCCCAGGCACCATTGTCGTAGTTGGCATAGAGACTAACTTTTTAGCTGTCAATCATACCAGAAACGTCAAACATAACAGGGTCGATTGACAGTGAGTGACCCTTTTTTTTATCTTTCTTTTCGCTCTGCTTAAGCACAGCAGGGATCAAGTGGCTCCTCAACAAGATCAGTCGATGCTATGCATAATACTCCTAAGGAGAATTTTTGAGAAGTACATGTAGTAGCAGATGGGGGTTGATGAATGATGATGATGATGATTGAAAGGGACAGGAGATTAAGATCATCAGTTGCCATCCCAAGGTTCAACCCAAAAATCCATCATCATCATCATCATCACTACTTGCAACCCGTCTTTTACCGATCCATCCTCCCCCCGATGGTTTGCTTGCACAAGGTTAATAAATAAAAAAAGACGTACGTACGCGTGCATCTTTATTGACAACAATGCAAGTGCGTATATTATTGTAGGATTGTCTTATGATGATGATAGCATAGTGCGTATCAAGATTCTTGGAATGTCACAATGCATACATACATAGATGCCACCCCAAATGCCAGCAACCAGCAACCATTGTCTCCAATCTCCTTACTCTTTTTCTTGTCTCTCTCTCCTTCCCCCCCTCCTCCTCCTCCTCATTCACATACATGGCTCCTTTCTTTGAAGGGTGACGCGTCACCACCACCACCACAATCATCACCCCTATGATTGTGACAGTAATCTCCACACACACGCAGCCCCCCCCTATTTTCATGCAAGCTTCTTGGGTGGCCCTCTTCTCGAAGACATCCAAACATGGCAGCATGTGATACATGATCCATTGTCATGATGCTTGTGACAGCTTAATTACGCTTTGATGATCCAATACGAATGACAGCTCTCTCTCCCTCCTTTCACATAATAAAGAGACATGATGGGTCATGTTTAAAGACATTCAATGTTTATTGATGACAACACGAAAAGATCGACGTTTTGACTTTGTACGTTACCTATATGCACAATATCACGTTAGCATATCCATCATCCCTTTTGCATCATTGCCACTCCAAGGAGGAAGAGAAAAAGAGAGAGAGAGAGAGAAAGAGGGGAGGGTGAGGAAGAAAAAAAATGTCTGCTTCGTAACTAAGAAGACGGCCACGATGTAATGCAACATAGCTGCCGCCTTCAACTCTTTCAAAGCAACTTCATCCCAGTCGCAATACTCTAGAACAGAGCACCACAGTCGAAACGAAAAATTTGCTATTCCACGAGTGTAACGGAACATCTTCATATAAGAGTGAGCTCACAAGGAACTCGAAGACATACCTGACTTGACTACGTGGGTTTTGAAGGGTGGGTCGATTGGGGCGGGGGAGGAGGTGGAGGAGGTAAAAGAATATCAAGATGCTTACCTATTGCATTAGAGTAGTAGTAGTGGTAGTATTATGAAAAGAAGAAGCTTATCCAGGAGCAAAAGAAGCAACAAAGACCCATTTTATAAAGGCGGTAAAATTTTTTTGATGCCGCGATCGGATACAAGCCTCCTTGGTTCATCATAGGCTAGCAACCCACGCGCACTACAATATTGAATCTCCACCACGTGAGGCGATGGCATGAATGAATTGAAAAGTAAAGGAGCTTTTTAATGTGTGTGTGAAAGCAAGCTAGGCTATTTACATGTGTGTGTGTGCGTGTGCGCGTGTGCTACTCGTAGTAATCTTCATCCTTATCATCATCGTCATCGTCTTCATATGATTCATCGGGATAGACTTCTTGTTGCGGCACAATGTTGGCTTCTTGTTGGTGTTGTGGTGGTGAATAATAACGAGTGGGTGCATTATACATTGTTCTTCCACAAGCCGCCATAGTTGAAGGCAACATATCATGCGGGCACAATTGAGCCAGAAGACCATCAAATATTTTCTACATAAGGACGCCACCCATCAATGTCATACTTTTTGAGCAATCCTCGTTTTACATACCTGCATTTCATTGGCATCCTGGTATACGACTGAATCCTCCTCATTAAAGATACGAGCATTGTCAAACATCACATGAAAGTCGTGGCGAAAGTCGGCAACGGATTTGTAGTAGGGCGAGTGGATTCTTCTTTTGATGATGTTCAAGGCAATCGGATTTCGGATGGTTGCATAATACGCAGGATACTCTTTTTCATCCACCAAGTCCATGAATAGATCACTTCGTTTTCGATACAAGCTATGTAGTACAGCATCATGTCAGCATGGTTTTGTTATCATTGTGCATATCATCATCATCACTCACATCGTTTCATCATCCTCCTCAATTTCAGTGGCATCTTCAACGGCTTGGTAGCAAATGTCAAAGATATGCGTCATTTCTTGTCGAACAACAGCAGGTAATGAATCTGATCCTTGCAATGCAAACTCCTCCTGTAGCTCACGTTTTCTTTTTCGCTACACAATGAAGACTGTGAGCAAGCTATCTATCCACGTGTGTATGCTACTTACTTCTGCAATGGCTTTGTCGCTGAAATCAATGACATCCCGTTTCCTGGATTTTGCTTCTGGTAGGGATACTTCTGATGATGATCGACGTCGCTTCCCCTTTTTCTTTGCTGATGAATGCTTTGTCGACGCTCTTTCTTCATCTTCCATTTCTGCATTCTTGATCGCCTAAATGAAATCACTCTATTATGAGACGTACTACACGTAGCATACAAGACCCTACAACGCCATTTACCTCCAGCTTTTTAAACCATTCTTCTTCTGTTAACCCTTCGTCATGTTGGATCTCGTTCAGGAGTTGTCGTCGTTGATTTCTTCTGTATTCGATTGCTGGTGGTTGTGGTTGTGTTGGTGACATGGCATTATCTTGTATAATGGACACCGTGTTAAGGAAATCGCCAGGTAGCTCATCCTCTTGCATCAAACGGTGTGGTTTACGAGTACCACGAAGACCACGACGACGATAATATTCATTCTCCTGCTGCTCACGTTGTGCATCAATTTGCTCAAAGATGGCAAGGTCTTGTTCTGAACGTGTAAGGATGGCATTGAGCTCGTCGTTATCCGTATAATCGTGATTGCCAACGATATCATCCTCTTTGTGCTCCAATAATGATCGCTGTGGTGGAGGTGGGTAATAAGTAAAATGAGTATACACGAAAAAGGAGAGACCCTTGACTTACCAGAAATGCTTCACGATCCTCCTCAGTGCTTCGATGATCGAATTTCCCAGCTTGAATGACTTTGCCATCGATATCCAATTTGTGATTGGCACGTGCCACAATTTCCTCTTCAATCGAGTTGGCTGTAATGAGTCGCAATATCAACACCTCTCGCGTTTGCCCAATGCGATGTGCACGGTCTTGAGCTTGTAAATCTTGTTGTGGGTTCCTGAGAACAAAACATTAACACTAAAATCATCACCATCCCTTCTCTTTTGTTACGTACCAATCCGAGTCAAAAAGAATCACCGTATCTGCTGCTTGTAAATTGATGCCCAAACCACCAGCACGAGTACTCAGCAGGAATGCAAAGTAGGTAGAATCGGGTGCATTAAACGCTTGAAGAAGTTGTGCACGGTCATCACTCTTTGTGTTGCCATCCAGTCGCAAGTAAGGAAAGCCACGATAATGCATGTAATCTTCAATAATATTCATGATCTGGGGCATTTGGAAAAAGATCAAGACCTATAATACAACAACCAACAATGAGTGAATGAGCCCATCATCATCTTCAAGATGCATGCATACATACCTTATGATGGGTGGCTTGCAGCTTTTGTAGAATGCGATCCAATAACTCGACTTTGCCTGATACACGATACAACAACTCGTTGGATTCATGGCTTGGATTGATCACGTTCTCCACTTCTCGAAACACAAAAGGATGGTTGCAAATCTTGCGTAGCTGTTGCAAGGCGTTGGACCAATGCTTGAACTTTCCTTTCCTATAAAGAAAAAAAGTAGAATGGTTTAGCATGTAGTGGTGGTACATCATCGTTTATCAAACTTACGCGGCAGGATCACTGGAGGGTATAGCAAGGCGTAAGCCGCTCTTTTGAATATGTTGAGTCAACTTGATTTGCAAAGCTGACATGCGACACTTGACCACACGTTCCACCTTGCTAGGAAGCTCCAATTCAACGTCTTGCTTGAGTCGTCGCAAAACAAAGGGTCGTAGTACTTTGTGAAGTCGCTTGATCACCAAGAGCTTCTCCTCCTCATTCAAATCAATCTTGACGTTGACACCTTGGACATTGAAAGGAGCACTGAACCACTCTTCGAAAGACTGTACGCTCTTAAAGACACTCGGGAGGATGAAATTGAGCAATGACCAAAGCTCACCCAAATTGTTCTAATAATAAAAATGGAAAGGTCATCCATCCATTGTTCATGCATTAAAGGCAAATGTCACGCTTACCTGAAGTGGTGTGCCCGACAAAATGAGTCTGTATTGGGAATGATAATGGCGTCGCAGCGTGGTTGTCAACTTTGAATTGGTGTTCTTCATCCGATGGCCTTCATCCACAATCATATACAACCATTGCACTTTGCTCAATAAAAGTCGATCCTTGCTATTCATGATGTATTCATAGCTCGTAAGCAGCACGTGAAAGTCGCCTCGTCGTATGTCGTTTTGTAGCTTTTTGCGTTCATCAGGCGGGCCTTTGTAAATGATCGTCTTCACTGAAGGAGCCCATTTTTCAAATTCCATCGCCCAATTGGTCATTGTCCTATTTTAAGGGGGCCCTTAGCTTTGTTCATTGTTATCAACCACCACTTGTACTTACGACACTGGAAGAATGATCAAATAAGGACCATTGACTCTCTTGCTCTCAATCAAGTGGGTGATCAAGGCGATTGTTTGGATTGTCTTGCCGAGGCCCATTTCATCCGCAAGGATACCATTGAGACGATTGTTGTATAATGACACCATCCATTGAAGTCCCTTGAGCTATATCATGATCCTATAAGTAAGATACTCCACCAATCTCTGGTCCTAACTTACCTGATACTTTTTCAATTCACCTCCTACAAGTGAACTGGGTTGGCTCACATCCTCTTGAATCCCATGTGCCACCTTGAAATAATCATGGTCATCCATGGACGAGCCCTATATAGAAGAGTGTTTTGAGTCAATTTTGATGCATCATCCTCCTCCCTGTCGCATTTCATTTTATTACCCCGCCGGCACCACAATGGTCTCTTGCGAGATAATTGGCATAGCTGAATCCTTGTCTCGCTTGTTGATCCAAGACGGCAGTTGCAAGTGACTTTAAAAAGGCATCGGTATGCTCCAGGATCTGTGCCAATCGTGTATCCTTGGTCTTATCAATCAACTCGATGTAGGTATCCTCATCACCATTACGCAGAGCACGCATCCTTTCACGAGTGATTTGGCCTGATCGTTTCAATTGCTCTCGTTTAGCATAGTGGTGGTATTGAAGCACGGCTTGACCCAAGCTTATATGGCGTCTTTGCTGTATATCCTTATGTTCCTTGATGTTCAATGCACGTTGCTGGAGAGCATGAAAGTATTGTGCACGTGACTCTTGTTGTTGCTGTAGCTGATCCTCATGTTGCTGACGTTCAATCTTCTCAACCATGCGCGCATCTCGGATGGATCGTGGTTTCTTGTACCGATGAATGGCCACACGCGATGTCGCAGCCAGATTGGATGTATATTGATCCACACCATACACGATTTCCTCACGCAACTACGTACACATACTGTTACTATATGGATCGATCAAGCATCGTCGTCATCATGTGTTGTCTCTTACATACCTGCTTTTGACGGTTTGCCAGCTTCAAGCTTTTGAGCTCAATCAATGCTTTGATGGAACCATAATAATGTTGAGGATCTAGCACCATCCATGCTTGTTGTTGTGCCCAATCCAAGAGTTCTTCATAGCGACCTTGCATCAAATCATGGACTGCATGTTCTCGTCCTTCATACAATTGTTGCGGATCCACACCCACAGGTAGAACGCTGGGCACCATTTGACGATGTTGACTCGTGGCATGCATGAATGATGATATGGGTGTCTTGAACAAGTTGTAAGGTGATGCATAGGCATTGTAGTACATTGTTGTTGATTGTTGTTGGGTGGTCGTCGTAGGAGGTGATGATGTGGATCGTTCATCGAATGAGGACTTTGACATGGGTGGACTGGCGACAATGGTAGAAGCGTCCATAGTAGATGATGGCTTCATTTCCTCAATAGGTGTGGGTGGTAATTGGTGTTGTTGTTGGGTAGTTGGTGTTGGTGTTGGTGTCATGATGAATGTTGTTGACATGCTACTACATGGAAGAGGTCGCAGAACAGCTTGCATGATATGTGATGGTATTGGCATCTGCCGAGAAAGTAACTTGAAAGCAAAGATCTGATTCTTGAGTGCCTCGAGCTGAATGCATGAAAAGATGGCATTATCTATAGAGTGGATCGTGTCAATACTGCAACTGCTATACCATCATGCTAATCTTTCATTACCTTGCATGACAGAGGCGGGTGGCTGTGGTGGTTCAGTGATAGCGACTTGTTGTTGTTGTGGGTATAGAGTATCATAAGGATAAGAAGATTCTTGTACAGGTCGTTGTTGAGAAGGTATAATGTATGGTGCTGCTGCGGACATAGCGTTGACCGAGGATTGATATTGCTGATGTTGTTGTGTTGTCATATCAGAGCCTTTGATGATTTGCATGATTTGAGCAAGCTCGACATTGTTCTCTTCATTAAAGCCTTGGAACTGCAGATAACAAGCACGCTACAATGAAACACTAGTAAGCAATAGAATCAGCGTGATAAATCCTTTACTTGCCTCAATCAAAGTGTTAAACTGGTCGGTGAAACTTGCAGGCACAGCAGTAGTAGTAGGCACAGGTGGCGATGGTGGTGTCATTGCATTCAACCCATGCTGTGTCCAAAGAGGACAGCCGGTAGAAAACGGATTCAATTGAGCCATTGCTGGAATAAAGACGCACGCGTTTGTTGCCTCAATGCACTAGAACAAATGGGACGTATTGGAATGAGGTTGAGGGAACGTGTCAAAAGTTGTCGAGAAAAGAGTGGCCCCCAAATGTGAACTAGCATTTGGGTCATTTTGCTTTCACTTACCGAGACGAATGAAGGTAGATATCCAAAGAACGTTGAATTGAATGAAAGCGTGCGTAAATGGACGGTGAAGCAGTAACAAAGAAAATGAAAGAGTGCGGCTATTCAAATAGGTGATCAGCTGTACAAAGCAGTTGCATGATTTAAGCTGATGGAATCCCGCCCTTTCATTGGTCGTTCATGTTACATGGCCCGGATCCGCTCTTCCGTGCTTTGATGCATCATTTCATATGTTTCGAGTAGCCAATATGGTTTATTCTTCTTGTTGGAGAGTATGGCACCAAATGAAAAAATGGTTATATGAAGAAGGGTGTGTGTGTGTGAGATAGAGAGAAAAAGAGAGATAAGAGAGGGCAAAAGTATACAGTGCAGAAAATAAAAAAGAGAAAGCGTGTTTGTTGTTGTGTGTATAGGGACGGATACAATCTTTTTTTCGTGTTTAGTTACTTCTGAAGCGCTTTTTACAAAAAGTAATCGGGAGTGCGACGACTGACATGAGGTTCACCCTTTCTAGGTGCAGGATCAAATTGAAGGCTAATAAAGCAATGCATTAGATATCATCCTCTTTGTATCTAAAGTTCATGGTAGCTACTTACAAGGAGTATTTGAGATGCTCATCGATTTCCATAATAGCAGCTTGATTACCACAGCGGTAGCAGTAATTTGGTGCACTAAAGATGGTCACCACGTTACGATCATGGCACCAGTTATAGCCCTATACAAACGCACACACATGTTAAATAAAAGTAGAAGGATAAGGACATAGCGCCGAATAACATACCTCCATGACCAATTGATGTGCTCGAGCGACCAAGGTAAGACCATTGTTGTGATTGAAGGTTTCCGAAATATCTTGACCAAAAGTGTAACCAGCACCACGGGGTGAAATGCCCCAACCGCATCGATCATCAGGATCAGACCACAACAAATCACACATTGGGCCTTCATGTGGCACCTCCTGAATACGATCCAATGTACGGACTTGATCAAGGGTATCAATTGATGGAGACAAACCACCGTGCAAGCAAAAGATCTATACGATGATGATCTCGTGAGTTGCCTTATCCAGCATACCCTCATTTTCTTATCACAGCAACATACCTGGTCCTCAATGAGTGCAGTCAGGGGAAGATAATCAAAAAGGTCGGTAAACATCTTCCAAACATTGGCATTGCCATATTTTCGCAAACATTCATCATAAAAACCATAGACTTGAGTGATTTGGCGAGATTCGTGATTGCCTCGAAGAATGGTAACACGATCCTTGTATCGCACCTTAAGAGCCACAAGCAAGGTCACAGTCTCAACAGAATAATAACCACGATCCACATAATCGCCCATGAAAAGATAGTTGGTGTCGGGTGAATTGCCTCCAATGCGGAAAAGCTCTTGCAAATCATGGAACTGGCCGTGGATATCACCTTTTGAAAAGATGATGTTGTATCAATACATGAATAGGAGCAAAAAAGTGCAAGGGGTTTGTGTGCGTGTGTGGGGAAGTGGAAAAAGAGAAAACAAAAAGGATGTTGTTGTTGTTGTTGTTGCTTGCTTACCACACACGGTGACGGGACAGCGGACCGGTTGAACGTTGTTTTCTTGAAGAAGAATCTCGCGTGCCTAATGCGTCATGTTCATAAGAGATCCCATCTATCATTTTTTTTGGTGTGGTCTTTGTATACCTTGTCGCATAGCTTTTTGATATCGGCTTCAGGTAATTGCTTACACTCTGAAAGCTGGGCGATCCAGGCATCGACATCGGCAACAGAACTGACGGCGGTCATTGTAGAGATGAATAGTAGTAGATGATGAAGGAAAGAGTAAAAAAAGACGTCAGAGGAATGAAAGGTTGCAATGAAAGACTTTGCTCCTCAGCGACGACGTAGGGTGGAGATGAAGGGAGGTGAAGGTGAGTTTTTTCTTTTTTCCTCAATGACGAGCGCGCCTTGGGGCTGTATTCGGAGTCTATCCAATCACACACCGTTTGACTATGAGACATTTGGATAGACCGCATCATCATGTGCACCTTGCCACCAGCAACCATTTATTGACTTGTAGTCATTGGTAGCTATGTATTCCATGTTGCTGAGTAATCAAATTACCCGATTATCATCCCTCCATAGAGACACTATCATAATAAAAGGTGCTTTTCTAATTCAAATGGGGTTTTCAGCCTTAAAAATTACGCGCCTCAATAGGTCGAGAGGTGCAATCACGCGTCTGGTAAATCGTTTCCTGGTTACATTGTCCAACCTCTTACAATTGTGTTGTATGAAACCTTACTTGATGAGGGATGAAAGACATCGAGCAATAGAGGATCAGATCATCGTCTGGCTACATTGATGGGATTTAGCAAATCACGCGATCATCATAGAACTGGGTCAGCAGCATTAGATGCCTGGTTGCTAGGCAACCACTGTAGTACATGGAGTAGTGATGTATTCATCAATCGAGGTATGATTATTGATGCTTGACTACCAGCTCTTTTAGTTTGCGGCGTGTTATTAGTCATCTCCTTATGCGGTATTTACGTGTGTCAATGCCATCATCCGGTATATAAGTAATATCCATGTCAAGAAGAATGCATGAAGAAGGTACGCATTGGCTGCACATCTTAGGAAGGATGGCCCTCTAACATGTACTACTACTCCACCTTTGCTTGTTGTGTTTGTAGTTTTTCCGCTTTTGTCAAAAAGATTTATGCGTGCATGTACTACCAACTTTTCTTTCCATCGGTCCATGCTTCAATGTATTATGCACCGAAAATCATCGAAAAGTGATGCATGTGACAATGGCCAGATGAGAAGTGGCAATGATGGAACAGCAATAGAAAATAGTATCCATATTTGACGACTCCGACTGCATCAAAGCCAATAGCTAGAATGAGCATAACGTCAGATTGATGCAATTCCCTGGAACCATTATATAAAAAATGCATGGGTTGTTTGGGTCATTCGTGGTTCCTCTTACATTATTCTTCCACAACAACACACAACAACAACAACAATGAATCGAAACATTGCTCTCCTTCGTAAAATCAACGCCGCCTCTCCTCGACGCTTTTTGTCTTCATCATCACCAGGCCTTGATGGGTAAGCAACTACATAGGGATGATGCAGCATGTCTCAATATTCACACTTGGGCTATCTGCTATATAGACAAAGACCAGCAGTGAGCGTCCCTCCTGGAACACGTAAGTAGTAGTAGTCATGTTTGATTATAACAATGCATCATCTCATGATTGAATTATACATAATAGCACCACATCATCAGCAAAACAATGAAGCAGGCATTATGGAACATGCACCTCGTTGGAAAGAAGAAGTTGCCTCTGATAGTGAAGCGTGTGTCAAGGCCGACCATGAGCCAGAAGAAGATCTAAACAGCCTCAAGAGCAAAAGCGTAGAATGGATGAAGAAACATGGCCATGAGGACAAGGAAGATAAAGACTTGATGTGGAATAAGGAAAAGTAAATTGCGTGGCACGACGTTTATACATAATAAAGCTCTTTTCTTTGTGTACATAAGAACAATGAATCATGGCTATTACTACTACAACAACAATGGTGGGTTTCTAAAACGCGTGCGGAAAGTGAAATAGGATTGTGTGTGGCGATGGGACGAGCGATTGACTAGAAAGTGCAAGTGCCGATACCTGATTATCCTTCCCTTTTGATTTTATCGTCATGAGGTATGTATCCATCCATCCATCCATCGATGCTATCCATCCATCCCATGTCAATATCCATTCATCCATAAACTTACCTTTCATTTGGCATTGTTGATAGCAAGGTTAGCCCTTCTGCCGTCAGAGAAGTCCTCAAGGCCATCCAAGCCGGTTCCGAGGAAAAGAAGAGAAACTTCACCGAGACCGTTGAGCTCCAGATTGGTCTCAAGAACTACGATCCCCAACGTGATAAGCGTTTCTCTGGTACCATCAAGTATGTACATGAAGCGAATGGGCCCAATGTAGACTTTGTTAATAACATGTCGTCTTCTTCTTTAGGCTTCCCAACATCCCTCGTCCCAACCTTTCCGTTTGCGTTCTCGGTGATGCTTTCCACTGTGACCAAGCCAAGGCTGCTGGTATGGAGTTCCAATCTGTTGAGGATTTGAAGAAGCTCAACAAGAACAAGAAGCTTATCAAGAAGCTTGCCAAGCGTTATGATGCTTTCTTGGCTTCCGATGCTTTGATCAAGCAGATCCCTCGTCTCTTGGGTCCTGGTCTCCACAAGGTCGGCAAGTTCCCTACTGCTGTCTCTCACAACGATGACTTGCAAGCCAAGGCTGATGACATCCGTGCCACCATCAAGTTCCAACTTAAGAAGGTTCTCTGCTTGGGTGTCGCTGTTGGTCACGTTAAGATGACCGAGGATCAACTCGTTGCCAACATCATGCTTGCTATCAACTTTTTGGTCTCTTTGCTCAAGAAGAACTGGCAAAACGTCAAGTCTCTTTACCTCAAGTCCACCATGGGCAAGCCTCAACGTCTTTTCTAAGCTTGATGCAACACCCCTATTTTATTGCCTTAGTATTCGTGTGTAAAACATCTCTGACGGTGTAACCAACATCAAGGACCTGGGTGCCATGGTGATTGGGAGCTCGGATTTGTAATGTGCAATAAAATGATGGAATCAAAAATAACATCGATGGATGGGTTATAGGGGGTGAAAAAGGATGGGTTGTTGTTGCCTCTACCCGAATGCCTGGTATGTGAGTGTGTGTCGATCACACGCAAGAGCGGCATATTCGCCATTCGCAGACATAGCCACGCTATTTTATGTATGTTGTATTGTGCGCTCAATTGACGAATCGTCGTCATTGTTGCATTTCTGGATAAAATGATGCCGATTGCAACAACTTTAATTTTTACCCTTTTCATCTTGGATCATCACCCTATTTTCTTTTTATTCTCTCGCTAGCTCGCTCGCTCGCTCTCTCTCATCACACCATCATCATGGGCCTATTTGGCAAGCTCAAATCTAACAATCCATATCCATCCCCACCCGAAAAAGCACACCCAGTCTTTGATACAACATCACAAGAATCATTGGGTCGTCCTCCTTTACGAATTATAAATTCATGGCCTTCGATCAGTCGAGAAGATAATTGCACCTCACCCATATCCACCACAAGTTCGAGTCATTCACATCAAAGTATACCACAACGATCAATATCGGCTGCACCCTCTGCACGTTTTGTCGTTTATCCCGATGGATCACATACCCATTCGATTAAATGCATGGGTCCAAGTCGTTTCACGACATCCCTTCATAACTTGACCCATTTACTACCCTCCAAATCCTTGAAACTACCCTCCTTTCGAGAAAAGAAAAATGCAGAGGAATTGAAAAAAGAGCGCACGGTGGTGAATGCTCATTTACAACGACCCATTACGGATGCATGTTGTGTGACAACCAAGTGGGGAACATGCCATCAAGTTATAGGAAAAGGAACCTTTGGTATTGTACGAATTGTATACAAGGGCGATCATCCATCATCACCCAATGACCAATATGCTGTCAAGGTAAGGAGGAGGAGGAGCAGGCAGGAGGATGTATGTATGTATGCATGCAATGTCTCTTTTTTCACACACATCATTGTTCTTTCAGGAATTTCGAAGAAAAGGCTCAGAATCAATTGATCACTATATCAAACGTCTCACAACCGAATTCAGCCTATGTGCACCTTTACACCACCCCAATGTCGTTGAGACTTTTGATCTACTTCCACTCAACAACACATGTCCGGTCTTTTGTCAAGTCATGGAGTACTGCAATGGAGGCGATTTATTTGGCTTGATCTATGACAATTCCCAAGACGGCCTAGAGCCGGCAGAAGCCAACTGTTTCTTCAAGCAACTTATGCATGGCGTCGCATATCTACATAGCATGGGTATTGCCCATCGTGACATTAAGCCGGAGAACCTACTGTTGACAGCCCACGGCATTATCAAGATCAGTGATTTCGGTAGTGCTGCTAGTTTCCAAGTCGACCATGAACCCGTGTTGGCACGCGGTCTCTATGGCTCTGAGCCTTACATTGCACCCGAGATGTTTACAGACCCAGTGTATGATCCACGAGCTGCTGATGTATGGAGTTGTGGCATTGTCTATATGGCCATGCGCTCAGGCGCTCATCCTTGGCAAGTGGCACAACCCGATTCGGACGATAACTATGGCCGCTATCTCCAATTCCGACATTTGGTGGAACAAGAACGTGACAAGGCACGTGAGGAACGACGCATGGGCCAACAAAAAACGGAACAAGAACGAGAATTGGCCATTCTCAAGGCACGTGAATCAGTACGCAAACATGCAAAGGAACGTGGTCTCGATATTCTTGAAGGCTTTGGCTTTGGTGCAAAACGTGTCATATACCGCATACTCGATCCCAACCCACAAAAACGCATCACTGTAAAACTCATCTTGGAGAATGATTGGTTCAAGACCATATGTTGTTGTCAGCCCATATTGTCAAAACAGGAAGAAGCCATGGTGCAAGAAGAAGGATAGGAAAAATCACCTGCTGATGATGATGCTATGTAATAAATGGATACTATCAACACAAATGTATGGATTCGTTTATGCTCCTCCTCGTCCTCCTCCTCGTAAATGCCATTTGCCCAACGTTGAGTCGAGTACATGTTGTTTGTGGTGTTTCTTTGAAAGGCACCCTAATTTATAAACAATCACTGGTCGCCATGGATACCTGGGAGATATGAACAAGGTGATTTATTACATTGATTCATGCATGCATATCATGCAACCACCCGCATCGAGAATACAGCGTGCTTGGAAACACGCATGGACATTGGTCAAATGGTCTAATGATGATACTTTTATTACTGTATAAGAACATCCAATAGAATTACAAGCGTTATTTACATGTAGCATTCAAGCATAAAGATGGCATTGGTTGTTAAATATGAGACAAGGATGGGGATATCGGTATTGAGCATGATGGTGGAATCAAAGGATGATGGTATCGAACATGTACTTACTCTTTTTGTTGTTTCTTGTTCTTGTAATAAGTAGCTTTGAAGGAAGAGGCATTGGTGTAATGCCTATCAACGTTTGGTATCTTGGATATGGCTTCTTTGTAACAATCCCTCCAATCCATCCTGCCTGATTTGCTCGCCATGTATTTATGGACGTGGTTCATGATGGCTTCGATAAGAGTATTTGGATCAGCCATAGTAGTAGTAGCAGCAGCACTCGAACCATAGACCTTGTCGGGCTCTACCACGCTTGAAGGTTCTGACATGGGCGTGATGCTTCCTTTTCGTTCACCATCATCATCATCAGCTGCTGTTGCCGAAGCAATACGATCATATTTCCTTTTCAAGGACTTTGCCCAAGAGACACCCGCTTCAGCGTATTGCAATGATTTGTGTGGATCCGTCATAATATTCAAAGCCGTCTTTTCAAATTGCTTTTCTGCAGTGTCTGCCATTTCACGTAGAGCCGTTATTCGGTTGTTCTCGCTCTTGTGGTCGCTGGGTGAGATGTGCATGGCAAGCTTGTAAAGTCGTATAATGCTAGGATCATCCCATCTTGTCATACCAATGATACTGGGTTGGGCTGAGATGACAAAGTGTGCAAGAGCCAGCAGTGGATCAAGGTTGTTGTTGATACCAGAGGAGGAGGATTGTACCCATGGCTCGATACTTTGGGGTGTCACCATGTAAAACTTTGTTGCATAATGCGTTGCTGCTTCTGAATACAATAGCCAAGGCTTGCTTGCTGATGAAGGGTCGAATGTCTTTGATATGACACGTGATGCACTTTTCAGACAAAACACCAAGAGGATCGGTAGTTGCTTCGTGATTCGAGTGACATCCAAGCAATAGCCAATGGCACGTGTCATAAAGCTTTGATCCACTTTGCCCTGAAACTCGACAATGATAGGCGTTTGATCCAACTTTGATACGTAAAGCACATCGCACTCGGTTTTAATAAAACTGGTTGCTTCAGCATGAAAGGTTCCAGGAGGCGTGTCAACCAACGCCTGGGTGATCATATCAATAATCACTTGTTCACGAGCTAAAAGCTTGGAAAAGCGATCGGAGCCAGGTAGGTGTTGCGATGGCAACTTGAATTGAAGTACATCGTCAGGAACTAAAGCAATGCATGGTTAGTCCTATTCCTTGTTTGTCACCATGTTCGCTCACCATTATCACTCGTATTGTCATTTGGCGTGTGGAGTGTCATTGGCAACGAGGGAGAAGCGTGCCTGTTACCGCTATTACCGCTATTACCGCCATTACCGCTGTTACCGCCATTACCGCTGTTGCCGCTGTTGCCATGGCGGCGGACTATGAATACCAAAAATGGAATCGGCATTTTCGTGAGAGCACTTGCCAGCCTTTCTTACACCCGCCATTTTACGGTATGCTTAATAGATGATTAAACTTAGCGCGTGCTCGTTGGGAATGGGTGACGAGTGGTTGATTGTTGGGGTGCATGTACACAAAGAGCCTTGGTATGATTGAATGTGCAAATAAACAAGGTGGCAATATCCATCATCAAACAATGACATACATGTATGATACAAGAGCTTCCCTCGATTTATGCATGAGGTTGGTTACACTTCCGCACTCTGATGGGATTATCCTTAGTTGCATTAGAGAGATCACTTGCTCATTTAGTGGGGTAAGCTATAAACGGAAAACTGGTACACGATCATTTCCAAGAAGAAGAAGTAAGGATTAAAAGGCGATGACTTATCTATTAAATGGTACAAGAAGAAAGGATTCAAATGTAGCGATGTAACGAAACGAGGAGGAAAACAAATAGCGTGGAAGGGGTGGAAGTATGCTATTTACGCACCATCCGGTTTGACGGGTTGGAGTTTTAAGCGTGGCGCATCTTTGCTTTCCGGTTTCATGGCTTCTCCACCATAAATGACTGAAGAAATAGGGGGCATTGATTCGCCAACTTGAGTACTACTAGAGGAATACATATCATCGGTAGGTGTTGTAGGCTGAGGAGGATAATTATGATGCCAATCTATAAGGGATGTATGAGCAACCTATACAACAAGTGTCCTTTTCTTCTTCTTTTTCGATTACCATCATCGTGCGAGGGATTGGCATTCATAATGCTCTGCTTTTGTTGGCGTGCATTGCGACGACGGCGTATGAAGACAAAGGCGAGGATACCAGCAATGAGACCGACCTATGTTTATGTTCAAGAGTGAGGGACCAGCACAATGCAAGATACGATAAGGTTGCTACTTACACCAACAACGACACCCACCACAATGCCTGCAATGGCACCACCTGAAAGGCTATCTCCACCCTCGTCTGGAGTTTCACCATCCATTCCTTGAGCATCGCCTGGTGACTTTACACCATCAAAAATGTCGACCAAGGTCCAGCTGTTTGTATCGAGGATCAGGTAGCCTTCTGCTAAAGCGCTACTGGTTGTTCGGCCAAATAGAATAAATACGATATTGTTGGATACGCGTACCACTATAAGGGTAGCTGATTAATGGCATGCTCAATCATGGTTGTGGCGATTTTTACTTACTCGAATGTCCAAATCTTTGAAATTGTAATTCCATACGATTACTGGTACCACTGGATGTAATGCGAGGTGTGACATTTTCCCAATGACCGGTTTGAGTATTGAGAACGTAAGCTACATCATCCACAGGCTCCAAGTACTTTTCATTGTTGGTGGTATATTCCCATCCAGCTATAATATGCCCATTTCTATCATCAGCATTCCCCGCACTTGTTGCACATGGATTCGATCACAGCTAACAACTTACGTTTGCCACCACCATACAGCAAAATGGAACCATCATTCACTGTAAAAAAAGGAGTTACAAGAGTGAGTTACACTAAGAGCGTGGATTCAATATGCTGTACACACGTACATGTAACTGAAGAAGCATGCCATCGTTTGCTGGGAATGTCACCTGTCATCATTTCCTTTGTCCATCCTCTGCTGACATCGTAGATAAGGATGTTGTCCATATCGGCATCGGCCATTCCATATGGCCATGGTTGTGTGGCATTGTTGGGAGTTGCTGTTTGTCCACCAAGAACATAAAAGCGGCCGTCTTTACCTTGAGAAACGGTATGACGTTCACGTCCCACAACGATAACATTATTTGGGTTGGCCGCATTGCCATATGTCCAAGTCCACTACAATGGATATGTACATGTCAATGACATCATTGCTCATGCTTTTAAAGGTTGAAAAGATAAAAAACACGTACCCCGTTGTTACCGTAATTCAAAAGCTTGGGTCGGCTAGGATATTGCTTTTTGCTCCTTTCTGCAGGCGTCGTAAAACCTGTTGACACGTCGCTATAAACAAATCAGTAACAAGATTTTAGATGCACGTGAGGTTGATTGCACAGCAGCATACATACCCCACTCCGCCAAACATAAACATGCTGTTGCCGGTTTCCGCATTGACAGTCAAGATGTTGAGTTTGCTACAAAACGGTAAATTTTTACAAAAAGAGATGGTGAGCGCGCGCGCGGACATCTCCATGGCAACGACGTTGTACTTTAATCATCGTCATGTATACATACGTTTGAACAAACAAGCTTGTGTCGATGGGTGACCAGCTCTTGCTGGTGGTGTTGTATGCGAGCGTTTGTTGAGGAAGTGCCTGGTTTTCATGGGCGATACCGGTACCTCCAGACATGATGAATGTATCTGAATCAGCAAAAGCTGCCATACCAAATAACATGTTTGGTTTTGGCGCATTGGTGCCGTTGTTTGCAAGAGGCACCCATGAGCTTTGGTCGTTACGGGTGTTTATCGTGGAGGATACGTCAAGCGAATAAAAGACGTTGGTTGCATTGATAAAGTTGTAATCGAGTGGCCAAGGTGATCCACCATAACAATAAATGCTGCTTTTTACAAGGGTGCACCCTGCACATACAATAAGAGGAGATGAGTAAGGTAACCGACATCATCATATACGCTATACGAATGTTACCAGGGGCAAAGCTATTAGGATATTTGTCAGCTGATACGAGGATACCAGCAGCCAATGCTGAGATGCTCAATGCTGTTGTAATAGGGCGCATTGGGCAAGAAGAAGAATACAAAAGCAAAAGACTGATATGGGTGGTGGGGAAGGAAAAAAAACGAGTGAACAGAAAAACCTGTTGTTGTATCCTGATGTGAACAGAATTTTGGATGTGGGTGCTATAAATGAGGTGGCGTAGGACAAGCTTGCGCCCCGTGGTGCAAATTTCGATGCACAAAGTAACAGTTTTGCCGTGTTCTTCTCAATGTCCGCGGCAAGCTATAAAAGTATACACCTGGCCAAGTGCACTTTAGCCCCTCGAGGGTGTTAGCATTTCATTCAATTGTCATATCCCAGCGAGTCAACTATTAAAACACAACATTTTCTGGATCACACAATCCCATATGCATAATAGGTTAAAGTTGCGACTATAATAGATTGGTGTGACAGTAACATGAATGAATTCCAGCAGTTGCAAACGCATGTTATCGGGCGAATTGATCTTGCTCACAAATGGTTGGGTCCATATCTCTTTATGTGTGTATGCAGAAAAGGAGGAATACATTGGACAATGGGAATGTTACAACTTTTTACTAGATGGGACGACTGCAATTGAGAATTTTGTGTAAGACACACGTGTTCTCCTGATGTTTGCATTACTGGTGAGCAAATGACAAGAGTGGCTAAGATTATTTCCATTTTCTGTAAAGACGATCGCCACTTGCCTGATTTGAAATGTCTCTATCTTTGGACGTCAAATGTGCCGCTTTATTGCAATGCGAGGCACCTACTATGTAATTTACAGCCTTCAGCCATGCATGGCTATTATGATAGCAAAGATAAAAATGGTTAGGAAGTAAAAGTAGCTATGCTCTTGGATAATGGTGTCATCACGCATCGTATACCACGTAGTACTTTTGTGCGAGCGAACAAAGAAGAAGCAACCATCTTACTCTTTATTCCCCTTTCCATTACAAAAGATGACCACTATGTACATGCGTTTGTAAAAGCCCTTTTCACTATATCACTTTTTGTCTTATTGCTATCCACATGATGGGGTGGTCGGGGTGCAAAACTAGCTTGGTTGGCTTGCAACTCACGGAAGAAAACGTTGTTGATTCCAAACGCGCACCATCGATCGGCAACCATGGACGACACATTGGCTCAAGTTCAAGCGAAATGCGCTCTTCAGTTGGAAATGTATCAGAAATGCGTTGGCAACTACCCTGATTCCTGGGACAAGAGCTGTGTCCAGCAGCGTAACGCACTCACAAAGTGCTCGGAAGAACAGTAAGTAGTCATCATCCAGTTGCCAATAGCAACCCTCTTTTAACCTCTTCTCTCCCTTAGTGTTGGCATTCTCAAATACGTCAAGCAGCATTGCACAAGCCAAATCAAGGCGTATGATGAGTGTCTCTCAGCCAACCAAACCGAACCTGAAAAGTGTGTTGCTGCATTGCGTGAGCTCTACAATTGTACAGAAGCAACATCAGCGGCCTATCGTCAACAACAATCCAAGAACGATGGAAGTGATGAAAAGGATAAACCATCCAACACTGAAAAGCAATAGACTTGGTATTGCCCATTGTATAGACTTGTAATGCACACTGATGAAATATATACGTATATCAAAATGAGGATGTCAGGGTAAATTTACAAGTGGATGTCTTGGATACTGGGGTTGCTGTAGGTTTCTAGTTGTTTCTTGCCTCGACGTAGCATGTATTCTATAGTAACAAAGTCGTTTTTGCGGATGTTGTGTGCTCGAAACTCGCGTCGAATGTATGCATGAAACCGGGGCCGTGCTTCCTAAAGAGTGTGTGTGCGTGTGTGAGAGGGCGTGTGTGTGTGTGTGTGTGTAAATACAAGCACTTTAATCATCGCTTCAATGCTCTTGTTGTGTGCAATTACCACTGGTTTCTTTCTTGCTTCACGGAAGCATTCTCTGTAAAAGTTGATCACCTGTTGCTGTAATCCAGATCGTCGGCCAGCCATGACGAGAACACTGTATCAACACAAAGGTGCTACTGCAAGGGCATGTGAGACGCCTGACGAGGCGCGCTGAGTTTTTGCCATCACATGATTGAATGTCAATGCTGGGTGCATGTCGTATGTAACAAAGACGAAGCAAAGTATTTTTACTCTACGGGCACTATTATCATATCCATGGAATAGATAATCATTACCTTTATCTCGAGAACTTGCAAAATTGAAACAATGACCCCTCTCTTTGTTAAGGCCCGAACACATTCATTGAATCCCCTTATTCGCACCATCCAATTATGCTATAATAACAATGATGTCTTTTGTTGCTTTTCAAAAACGAATGATGTCTAATGATACTAATGAGAGTCCTCTTCATGAAGGTTGAATCTATGATACAAAAGTTAGTCATTCATCCTTTTAAACTATCCAACTCAATCCCTCAGGAACCTACTTTTTAAGCAAGCCGTCAATTTGATCGGAAGTGTAGCCAGCATTGATGATATCACGAGCTTCCTGAACCTTGCCAAAGACATTGAATAGCAAGAGACCAACAATCTTCTTGTCACGGAGATAGAACACCAAGCCCTTGCCAAACTATAACCAACCATCCATTGTCAATTGTACCTTCCTTCATATCCATGCACCTATTTGGATCTTACCTTCTCATCTTGGAAGGTGTCCTTAGCCACGGCAGGCTTGGCAGCCTCATTGGAGGTTGTAGTAGTGGCAGCATTGGGTGCACCACGAGGGCTGTTGGCTTCAGAGGCAGCACCCATTGCAGGTGTATCCTTGGCGGTGGCCTTGGCCCATACACTCAAGGTTGACAATTGAGAATCAACCAAACCAACAGCTTCATAGCCGACTTCAGGGCCTAAATCAGACCTATTCCAATCATATTATTAATCATCATGTCCTTATTTTGCTAGCGATATATATGTATCACTTACCAGAACATGGATTGATGTGTATATGGCTTGGCAGCACCAACCATGTTTTCACCAGCATGACGACCACTCAAGACAGCACTATAAATACCGGCATGTATGAATATCCAACATCATCCTTTTGTCTAGTATCCATGATACTCACTGGTCATGATGTTCAATGCGACGGCGACCCAATTGAACATCGTGGAAGGATACCATGTCACCAGCAGCAAAGACATCGGTACGGGCTTCAAGTTCAGCATTGACAACAACACCAGCACGCTTTTCATCCACTTCCAAGCCGGCAGCACGAGCCAACTCGACACGAGGTTCAATGCCAACAGCAACAACGACGTGATCCACAGCCAATTGCTTGTCACCACCAAGGTTCAAAACAACCTTGTTATCATCCGATTTAATCGATTGAATGGCACTGTTGGTTTCCACCTTGACACCCACTACCACAATGCGTATTAGTACTCCTTTCCATTGCCCATCCCACGATCATGGTGATAATGACTTACACTTGCGAACACGGCTGGTGGTCCACTTTGTCAAATAGGATGGGAAAACATTGGCCATGTTGCCCTCTAAAGAAGATAACACCTCTGGTTAATATACCGCCATGCTTATCGAACCATCCAATATTGACCTTCAGGGAAAACTTGGGTGACAGTGAGGTTCTCCTTCTCAGCTATAGTTCAACATCCTGATTAGATAACGACTTTCTTTACTCCTTTCAATAGATACATACCGCGTTTGGCCAATGCAACAGCCAATTCAGAGCCCAGGAAACCACCACCAACAACAGCAATATGAGCACCATTCTTGGCAATCTTGTCAAGCTTCTTGAAATCTTCCACGGTACGATAAGTTGTCACGTTGGCAACGTCCTTGGGTTGGTTGGGAAGGTTCTTGGGTTCACCACCAGTGGCAAGAAGAACCTATAGACACATCCAATGATCCATGAATACACGTGACAAAAAAGATCCATCAGCTTGCAACGTACCTTGTTGTAGTAAATGACACTACCATCAGCCAAAGTAACGGTGTGATCCTCAATGTTAAGCTTGGCCACCTTGTTGAACAAAAGCTTGATCTTGGAAGTCTGCAAATCCGAACCGGAGGCATCAGGAATGACTTGATATTCAGCAAGATCTTGATAGATGGTGCTATGAAGATGGTCCATTGTCTCAGCAACGTTGCTAAGGTTCCCAATCATTTCGTCTATTACTTACTTGCGTTCGTTGCCTTGCCACTAAGATGAAAAAGGTTGTGTTAGATGCTGTACATTTTCCAACAAGCTCTTCCCAATGCTTACATCCTTGAAAACGAGTTTCTTGGCTACTTCAGGATCCTCTGAGAACCACAATTCCTTGGACAATGGGGGTCTGTTGTCATATTAGATTCCAATGTTCACGTGCATGGAAGAGAGTCATCACGTACCTCATGTAAGGAGCATATTCCTCGTCGCCGATGATAATGACCTGTCAATGATAGACCCATGCATTAATTCAATCCATCCCATTACCAATGCCAGATATTGATTGCTGTATACTCACGTTTGCTTGAGGATCCTTCTCCTTGATAGCTTGAGCAGCAGCAAATGAAGCAGTTCCTGCACCAATAAGGACATAAGGCTTTTGAACCTTGGGTGCTTCTTCAACAGGAGTAGGAGTAGCAGCAGCAGTAGTAGTAGTAGGCTCATGATGTTCTTCAACAACCTTCTTCTTTGGCTTTGGTGGTGGCGAGGTCAATTTGAAAAGAATGGGACCAAAGACAATGAGCGATCCAAGGAACCAGGGTGTGCTGCTGGTGGGTTGGTGCTGTTGGTGCTGGGTCGCGTAAGAACGAGCCATGCGACGAGTCGTCTGTGGCAGAGTGCGGCCAATTCTTGCCGATTGACGAGCAGCTGACACGCGAAGCAAATTCATGGACATGGTGATAGCCAGGGTCGTAAATGACACAAAAGGAAGAGGAGGTGTAATGTATAGGACCCACAACGCAGTATAAAAATTGCTGACCTATCCCCGTTCAACCTGTTGCCATTGACATGGTATCTTACCTATTACCACACTATCCTGTATCATACGCTTTAACAATCCCTGTCATTCATTTCCTATGAATCAATAAAAGTAGTGTTGAAAAGCACAGTATGTAAAGATTTCGAGTGGATGGATTAACTGATCACGTGATACGAGATTTGGATTGAGCGAAGTAATGGATGAAGATGGCTGCACTTTGACTCACGTAATCATGCATAAACAAGTCCAACATGATGTTAAGATTCAAACACAAGGTATAGCGATGTCATTTTTATCATTGGAGTTTATTTCTCACTTCTGTGTTCTGATTGTAAATCATCCATCTCTTTTCAATCATCCTTTGGGTGTGGCAATGTTTTCATGTATTCAATACCAGCCTGGAGCGACTTGCGTGTGTACATTACTTCAGCAAACTCGGCGAGTTTGGGGTAGTTCTATAATAAAGTCCATCATCATGTTAGCTCCATACACGTTCATGCAAAGCGGCCATGTCATACTCATACGCACCTTGATACGCTCTCTGTGAAGAGGAAGATTGATGACAAAAAAGACGTAAAAGTCGGCATAAGTAATCTAAATACAACAAAAGGTCAGTGTCGTGTACATGTAGCATGTCATAACGTGCACCTACCTCTTTGCCTGCAGCAAATGGGCCATCATCATGGTAATTATACACACGCTCAAAGCGCGAGAAGAACACATCAAGATGGTCTTTTTCGTATTCTTCAATACCATCCTATGTATTTAATTCACAACGTTAGTCATCCTATGCTCATTACATGCAATGACTCGCTCCTTACCTTTCCACGAATAATATGGTTATAGCGAGCACGATTCCAATCCATAGCAGCATCCAAGGTGCAATCAACAAACTGCTCAACATCTTCATCAGCTGGCACATACTTGCCTATAATAGGTTTGTGAAACACGATAACATGATGATGTGTTAAACGTCTCATTGCACAATCGATCACAACAACTTACCAAATTTCTTGGAAAGAAAACGCATGATGGGCATATTGCCACTGTAGCGTTTGCCCTTGTACTCGATCATGGGTGCTTGGTCGAAAGGATACCCCGAGGCGATCCACTGATACTTGACCTTGGTAACAAATTCGTTCCATTCAATCAAATCGAACTCATAATCAACGCCAGAATCATCAAGCAAGAGGCGGAGAGGACCACCAAGTGCTGCATCTATAACCAATAATATGAATACTCATGCATGCAACGTGTGAAGGAAGACCGGTGCACTTACAGCCAGGTATCACGTAATGGAAAATCGCCTTGTTGTTGTCAATCGAAGAGGCAGTCATAATGTTACTTGAAGTATCTCTGAATACACAACCTTCCAAGACGATGTCCTTCTTTTATAATAATGCTCTCCTTCTTGGACGACAAGGGATGGCATGCCATCATATGATGAAAAATTTTGGTTCATGGTTGCACATTGCATTGTATGGGGAGACATCATGTTTGATCGCATGCGTGGATGGATAGCAAAAATTTCTCAATGTTGCTTTGATTTGTCATCTAATCAATGCCAAAGGCGTTGCCTCCAATGCGATGTCGATGTTATACATAAGTCCCTGCCATTAATAGCTGATAGTCGGGCCTATTGTTTCTCCGTGAAAGGTGATACATAGTAGGTATCTGGCATACCAGAATACGTCGTATAATCCTTGATACACATTCTACGAATGGTTGACAGTAGTTTGGAAGGTACACCATGCGAAAGCTTTTCTTGTGGAAGGACAAAGTGATCAAGTAGCACTGGATGTTAACCTGAGAAGTAATGGATAATGAAGGAAGGGGTTGTATCTTTGAATGCAAGCGTTTTATTAAACATGTATACAATTCTTTGAGAGACTTCGCTGCCTATCATATACCCAAGATAAGACGGGGAAGCTTTAACCGATGTAATATGGCAAAAGAACAAAGCATCTTGACACGATGATGTACATGATCCAATATAGCTTGCCGACCTTCAACTTTCTATTCCCTCTTTCAACCAAGAAATCAACCAGTGATTCACATCTCGCGCATTTGAGCTGATAGTATGTTGGATCCAATTCTCATTTCAATGTAGGCATTTATAAGAAAACATGACAAGGGAACTATATATCCAAATTGAATAGGGTATGGGCGAAACATATAGAGTCTATTGGTATCATTGTGTCATTGTATCCTTGATTGCTGCCGTCATAAATGGTTTTATCCATGATTGCAAAATAGCTGCTGCGTGCATTGACTTGAGTATTCCCGTGCCATCCATGGCTGTGAAACACCTTCTTTCGTCAAAGACATAAGTAGGCACTTTTGTCAATGGCATACAATCCACCATCATTCTTACCCGTATCCACGCGATAGGATCCTTCCTTCCTGCTAACGACGTTCCAAGTAACCAAAGCAACATTCCAAGGATTCTCATCACTGCACTCGATTGCATCCACCCATCCATCCATAACCATTCCAATTCCAAATGTTGGTTTCAAGGGCCACATGATCGCTGCTGATATGCTTCCTTCTCCATCCGGATGTTGGACTATCCTTTCTTGGTCATTTTCATTGATACTCAAACAGGCGAAGAATGCTTGTATCGCGATGTGCTTGATAGATGTTATGGCATCATCCATAGGGATTCGTTTGTATCAAAGCAAGTTGCTACACGTAAATAAAGCTGCTTTTGTACAATAGCTATCTGCTGTCCACGTAAAAAGGTTGCTGCACGTAGCTTGAGACAATGGAGTAAAGATATCGCTAATAGCAGCTGTTGTTACGGTTGGTTGTGGAAGAGGTGTGTGCAAGAGCGTGTGTTGTGTTGTAATAGAGTGACAAGGTTGTGAACACTGTATGAGACAATGGAGTAAAGACATCGCCAATAGCAACGGCTGCAGTGAACGCTGTTACGTTTGATTGTCGTCGACGATTGTACAAGAGAAGGTGAAGTGTCAAGAAACGCGGGTGTTGTGGTGGACTGCACACGCCATGGACTTCCCATTCAGTCAAAGACAATGGGATCAAGCGAGTTGTAGGATTGACATGATGGGTTGAAGCAGGACAATCGTTTGCAGGTAGTAGCTGTATACTTGAATGGGGCAACAGTTGGGAATGGGAGGAAGAGAGAAGAGCTGAGAGCGGAAGAAGTGGGAAGTAAATCGGTCGGACACCTCTTGTATAAATGCATGAACACCGTACATCAATCCTTGATATTGAGATTACCCCGCTCGAACCTGAAACTTTCACACAAGGTACTCTGGGATATGCTGATCAATATTGTTTTAAAAGTTGCTGACTTCATTATGAAGAGTTTCAGCGCGGGGTGGCCCAAATGTAGGAGACACGCTGAATGGACGGCAACATGGGAGCGGACGGCCCACCGGGCCGAAGTTGCCCACCCCAAACTTGAAAATTGGTCAGAAGGTGCTCTTGGAGACGATGATCAAGTTTATTCCAAAAAAGATCCCATGGTTTATTTAAAAATTTGAAATGGGAGCGTCCGAATGTTGGAGAGACGGAGACATTCGCAGGGTCTGCGATTCATGAATTGACGTATTCTTTGTTTGAGCATAGCTCAGTCAAATCAGCTCGGATCAAGCTACTTAAATCATGGAAATAAATGCCTGCAGCAGGAGCATCGTTCCCATCACGTAGATTTTGAAACAATGCTGATTGGATAAAAGTGGCTGTTAGCTGCCAATGTATGCACTTCAAATGAGGTATGCGTACATGTCATGCATTGTCCCTGAAGTCCTGACTTTTTAGCTGAGTTACCCAAAGAGGTCCTTATGCATCTTTTGCTCTATTATAGCCATACTACTTTACATTAAACAAAGACCACTTCTCATATAGCACCGCGCTTACAAACATAAAGGTGCCTGTACCTCTAAACTTTACAATCAAACGTGTGGTTTTTATTAGAGCAATGTGCTCAGCTTGGCCAACTGCACCTTGGGTGAAAGTTTCACGATCAAGCTTGCCAATCCCAGATTTCGCAATGTCGCCACCAGCCAAACTGGATCTGGGGGTCGACCCCTTCGACGACGACGACCAAAAAAAATATTTTTTGGGCTAGTTGCGACATTGAACGTGAAACTTTCACACAAGGTGCTGTTGGCCAAGCTGAGCACATTGCTCTATTCAAAACCCCACGTTTCATTGTAAAGTTTGGAGATACAGGCACCTTTATGTTTGTAAGCGCGATGCTATATGGGAAGTGGTCTTCGTTCAATGTCAAGTCGCTGGACCCTGGCAGAGCAAAAGAAGCAGAGGGACCTCTTTGTGTAACTCAGCTACTTTGCATGACTGGAAGGATGGAAGGATGATACTATATACTGTTGACAAAAGCCCGTACATTGCGAGCTAACAGCCATTTCCTCACAATCGGCAATGTTGCCCATTCTATGACAGTGGAACGATGCTCCTGCTTCAGACATTCATTTCCATGATTGGATTATGTTGATCCGAGTTGATTTGGCTGAGCTACGCTCATACAAGGTTACTTCAGTTGAGCAACATAGAGCATGGTTAGATGTGTGGATTGATGTAATCCGTCTTTGGCTGTATCTCGGTCAAATCAACTCGGATCAACATAATCCAATTATGGAAATGAATGTCTGAAGCAGGAGAATCGCTCACATGTCATAGAGTGGACAACAGTGGCTATTGTGAAGAAATGGCTGTTAGCTCGCAATGTACGGGCTTTTGTCAACAGTATATAGTATCATCCTTCCATCCTTCCAGTCATGCAAAGTAGCTGAGTTACACAAAGAGGTCCCTCTGCTTCTTTTGCTCTGCCAGGGTCCAGCGACTTGACAATGAACAAAGACCACTCTTCATATAGCATCACGCTTACAAGCATAAAGGTGCCTGTATCTCCAAACTTTACAATCAAATGTGGGGTTTTTATTAGAGCAGTGTGCTCGGCTTGGCCAACTGCACCTTGGGTGCAAGGTTCACGATCAAGCTTGCCAATCCCAGATTTCGCAATGTCGCTACCAGCCAAACTGGATCTGGGGGTCAACTTCTTCGACGACGACGACCAAAAAATATTTTTTGGGCTGTTTGCGACATTGAACGCGAAACTTTCACACAAGGTGCTGTTGGCCAAGCTGAGCACATTGCTCTAATAAAAACCACACGTTTCATTGTAAAATCTTGAGATATGGGCGTCTTTATGTTTTTCATATGCTGTATATGAAAGGTGGTCTTTGTTTGGTGTGAAGTAGCTAGACGCTGGAGAGCCAAAGATGTAGATAGACCTCTTTGTGTAACACAACCGGTTTTGCATGATTGGAAGCGCCGACGCATGATACCTCCAAACCATTCAGCACCAGCTCATCATTGGCAGCTAACAGCCTCTTCCTCCCATTCGCCTTGGTTGCCCAAACCAATGCATGTGAACGATTGTGCTGCTCCAACCCATCATGTCCATCCTTCAACTTCCTTGATCCGAGCTGATTTGGCTGAACAATGCTCAAACAAAGAAACATCATCCAACTTCAAAAAGAATCGGTTGATTAGTTATTCGTAAACTGCCACTTGATATTCCCTTCCTCCCTTTCATTATTGTTTCCCAAACTAATGCATGTGAATGGTTGTCCTGCTCCAGTCCAACATTCTCATCATTCAACTTTCTTGATCCCAGAGCGGTTGACTGTGCAACGCTTTGACAAAGAAACGTCACCCAAACATCAGAGAAATCTATTTAATTTCAAGGTCTTCCACTCCCTGTTTCTTGCCTCTTTCTTCCATTCTCACTGTTGGTGCATTCAAGCACAACTACCACCTGCGAACGATTGTCCTGCTTCAACCCATCACGTCCATCCTACGAACGTCTTTATCCGATTTTCTTGGACCGAGAGGCAAGTTGATGGCGTGTACACATTCTTGTCACTCTTCTACAACACACGAGTCTCTCGACACCACACACACTCTTGCGCGCTTTCCTGGCACAATCCAATGTACAGTATTCAATGCAGTAGTTGCTATCAGCAAGCTCTTTACTCCATCGTACCCAACAGCGTTCTTTACTTGCAAGCGTGTCTTACAGCTTTTTTACATGAACAGCAGATAGCCATCATAGAGGAGCAACCGCTTTATTGACGTGTAGCAACTTGCTTCAATACATATGACTTCATATGGATATGGATATGGGTCTGAATACTGTATTACTTTGGTACATGAGATGGAAGGAATGCATCTATTGACTAGTTTGGTTCCCTTGTTGGCCCATTTTACACGTGATGTCTAGTTTGGATGACATGCCATCAGCCACCAACGACCTCTGGGGCTTCTTTCTACCAACATTGGATTTGTAGCGGTTATGGCGGATGGGTTCAATCAAGACAAGGATTATTTGTCGCGTTGTCAGAAGGATGAATCATGCCATATGCATACGGCTTAGGATGATGATGGATTGGAGGAAGTGACAAAGGGCTTTATACCTTTGACGAAGGAAGGTTTTTCACAGCTACGGATGATGTTGGAGATGCTCGGGCAAAGAATGGCAAACGTCCTTTGCAATCGCTGGATGAAGAATGATCATGGCGGCAGCAATCAAGAATAGAATGGCGCAATTATCTCTTCCTCTATGTGATCCACGCTTCTTATTCAATGCTGTTCTTTTATCATATTTGCTTGATAAACATCCACAGTACCGTGTACTGGTGTGCAGCATTCTTCGACTTTTTATTGTATGAAAATTGGATTCTTCATAATACTTTGGGTATCGTACGATCAGCTTAGATGTGAAAGGGGTGGATCACACTTGGTTATTCCTGCGTGAAGGGAATGGATATTATATATTTGGTAGGAGGTTACACAATAGGCACAATGGGTTGCACAAGTTGGTTCAGGAGTGGGTGCATGTCATTCAGCAGTTCATGTAATGCGCACAGGCCTATGCTTAATTACGAGCTGTTCTCAATTGAAGTCTTGAGCAGTGATCATTCTTATTGAGCAATGGAAGATAGGGATATTGTTGAGGGTACGTATAAACGGTAATGGCTGTAGCAAGCGGGGTGGCATGGAGCACACGAATTGAAGGGAGAACAAGGAGGAGAGACCACTCTTCTTCACTTCGCCGCGAAAGGGGTAAACTTGACTCCGTACAAACCACAACGCGCGTTAGTCTGTATTCGCCTGATATTACGGCGTTCATTAAGGTGCGGATAGTCCAATGGCGGCCTTTCCAGTTGCAGACGATAACTTAACCGGTACGCGCGCGAACTGCCCGCCAGCTCAAGCTTCAGTACGTACAACATGTACGTTTCAATCCGGCACAATGCTTTATCATTCAAGCTGGGCATTGAGGTACTAAAGTCCACGTGTAGTTTATATTCTCGTTTATTCAAGATCGAGAACATCGTGTGTCGTGTGTATTTATTCATGGTTGCCATCAAGGAGACGTCCCAACGTATTTAGCAGGTATGTCGACATAAATGAATGCTATCCTTGTTACCTTGTTGTATTTACTGTAGCGATACGTTGAATAGTGGCACCTGTAGCGGCAACAACAAGACATTGATATCAAAGCAAGAATGCTGTACGTTGGCTCAATGGTATGCATGGCATTGGATATACAAAGCAGACCCTGTTAATTAACGAGCCTTACAATGAAACAGCAGCAGCACATACTGGATCGGATGGACACAAGGTTATTTACAATATATCAATGGAATGAGTAATGAGGGCTACCACAAGGTAAGGAGTTCATTGTCAGATTAGTTTGGATTCAAGTGGACTTACCAAAACTGCTGCTCCTAGTGGCAGCAAAGAGCCTCTTTCGGCGATACTATTATTATCAAGGCTGCACGTCAAGGATGTCATTGTATAGTACTGTGCTCTCTGAGGAATTTTGGCCGGAAACAGTGTGACTCAAGATGCGATGGCAAGGCCAATTTGAAAAGGCATCCGCTGTGCACAGCTCCATCCAAGTACGGCTATTGATTTCGCCTCACAGAGGGAAGGAAAGGTGGATATCTCTTATGATGCCAATTTCAGGATCCAATGAGAGTATGGTACATATGGTGGTATACCTTGGCGCTGCAGGTTGATTATTGTATTGCCTTCGGATGGTACTGTTGGTTGCAATTCGCCTTGATCACCGCTGGTTCAGGGCGTCGTGTGCCTTCCTTACCGAGTTGTCTACAATGAGAGTTCTCAAGACGTCTTTATAGCCTCTTTTGGGCCATTCTTTAACAACACAAGCGTGTGGCTGGTTTTACTTGTTATCTCACATTACATTTACTGTAGCTTGAATACGTTGGATGATGGTACCTCTGGCAGCAACAAGACATTGATAACAAAGCAAGAACGCTGTACGTTGGCTCAATGGTAGCCTTGGTATTGGATCTACAAAGCGAACCCTGTTAATTGTAGAACTTCCACAATGAAACAGCAGCAAGACAATATGGATGACATGGAGATACGGCTTTAATTGAGGCAATGATGCTATTGAAATACCACAAGTGTAGAAGGCTCATTGTGGGATTGATTGGATTCAAGTGGACTTACCAAACACCATACAGTGGCAGAGCCTCTTTCAGGTGATACTATTATTATCACGGCTGCACGTCAAGGATGTCATTGTACTGTACTTTCTTGTGAGTGGATTGTATCAGCAACAAACAACAGCGTACATATCTTTAGTGCCATATCAACCCTCATCCCATCTATGCATCTGGTGCTTCCCATTACCTGCAATTTGGTGAACCTCTCTGAAACAAGGGCCGCCCATCGATCGATCATGTCAGGAACAAGGAGCAGGTTTATACCTTTGGCGTCAGCAAACTTCCGATCGTCTCGTGGTTCTGATTATCGGCAATTCCTTTGATGGAGCTCTACAACTATGCGTCTTATGGATGGAAAAAATGTCATCAACAAGCAATGAGAGTCCGCGTTGACATCTTTGGTCGTACCGGTCATTATGCATCTCCTCCAAGGCATTCATCGTCAAGCTGCATTCGATTTCCGTGAAAAACGATTGCCATTCACATCGCTCTTGCTTCATATGTACGTCACTCCGCAGCTAGGATCTGGTTTGGGCTTTTCGATGCACAATGCCTCCTCGATTTGCATGTGGTCTTTTGGGCAGCAAAGTTGTCTCGTTGTCTCTTTAGCAGGGCTCTTCGCGGCATCATGTGTAAGTATGCTCTCTTTGAGGTAAAATCAGCCAGTATTACTCAACCTTCTCCTGCATATGCCCATAAGAAGTATCGTTCCATCGCTTTCAAGCCGAGTGCCACTGGCAGGCCTTATCAACAAGCGGACGATTGCAAAGAATCGGCTTGATTTGGATATCAGCGGGATTTCGTGCATATGGCTATCATTGGTAAATAGTGGATGGTCCGTGTTTTGGCGCAATCCCAATCAACCTCAACGTCTATTATAGTATGTGGTCTGTTGGCAAGCCACTTGTCTTCTGGTTCTTTGGGTTATCATGGATGCAGCTGTCATTGGATGTCGACATGTTTTCATGCGTATGGCTATCATTGGTAAATAGTGATCCGTGTTCTTCTTCCGCGGCTGCTAACCTCCTCTTTTATTATGTATGTGGGCTATCAAGCAAGCTACTTGTCTTCTGGAGCATTAGGGATTATAGATGTGGGATATTCAGCAAGCTACTTGTCTTCTGGTGCATTAGGTTCTATCATGGATGAAGCTGTCATTGGTAAATAGTGATCATTCTTTTTTCTTTCAACGCCTACCCCAACACCTTTCTTTCATGTAGGTTATTCAGCGAGCTACTTGTCTTGTGCCCTTTCAGTTTCTTTGATAGATTGCAGCTATCATTTGGATGTCGACGAGGTTTCATTCATATGGCTACCATTGGTAATTGATGATCCATTCGTTTCTACAACGCCTGCCAACTGCTTTTATCTTAGCATGCGGGCTATTCATCACGCTACTTTTCGTTTGGTCCTTTGGGATTTTCATGGATGCAGCTATCATTGAATGTCAGCATGTTTTCGTGCATATGGCTACCATTGGTAAATAGTGATCCATTCGTTTCTACAACGCCTGCCAACCTCTTTCGTTTATTGTAGTATGTGGTCTACTCAGCAAGCTCTTTCTCTTCTGGTTCTTTGTAAGGGTTCATGAATGCAGCTATCATTGGATGTCAACATGTCTTCGTGCCGCCATAGCGTATTTGGTAAATAGTGATTCGGGTTATTTGTTCGAGGGCTAATACTCACATGAAACCTCGCATTGTCGTTATCGATTCAAGTGTAAAGGATATTGTTAAGGCACACACTGTTACAAGCGGGGCGGCATGGAGTGCCGTCAGGGCAATGAAAGGAACGACGTTCCCACTCCCTTCACAACTATGCAAGGTAAGACGCTCCGTGCACCACAACGCTGCTGCAACCTGACGCAGCAATGCGCACCGTCGATGGGCGAACAGGTGGTCAAGGGCGGCCTATTCAGTTACAACAAGCACGTGCGATCTACCCATAACCTGGCTTTATTCAATGCAACATCATAAAGTTCAATCGCTGCAATTCGCTTTTTTATTGTTCCAGTCGAACGATATTGTGGTACTAAAGTTCGCGTGGTTGGTGTTGTCTCGTCTGTATACAAGACTCAATCCAGCCGTTTTTTTCGTGTGCTGTTTATACCCAGTTGTCCACAATGGGAGTTCTCAAGACGTCTTTACATTGCCTCTTTTTGGGTATGCTGACAACAAGCAGCATGTGGGTTGGTTATACTTGTTATCTCACATTGCGTTTATGGTAGGTTGAACATGTTGGATGATGGTACCTCTGGCAGCAACAGGATACGGATCTCAAAGCAAGAATGCTGTATGGTTGGCTCAATGGTATGCATGGTATTGGATCTACAAAGCGAAAGCTGTTAATTAACGAACCTTACAGTGAAACAGCAGCAGCACATACTGGATCGGATGGATACAAGGTTATTTGCAAGCATCAATGGAATGGTATTGGGAATACCACAGGTAAAGAGGTTCATTGTGGGATTGGTTGGATTCAAGTGGACTTCAAACACCATACAGTGGCAGAGCCTCTTTCGGCATTACTATTATCAAGGCTGCACGTCAAGGATGTCATTGTATAGTACTGTGCTCTCTGAGGGAATTTTGGCCGGAAACAGTGTGACTCAAGATGCGATGGCAGGCCGAATTTGAAAAAGGCATCCGCTGTGCACACGGCCTCCATCCAAGTACGGCTATTGATTTCCTTGCCTACAGAGAGAAGGTGGATATCTCTTATGATGCCAATTTCAGGATCCAATGAGAGTATGGTACATATGGTGGCATACCTTGGCGCTGCAGGTTGATTATTGTATTGCCTTCGGATGGTGTATTTGGTTGCAATTCCTTGTGATCACCGTGGTTCACGGCGTCGTGTGCCTTCCTTACCGAGTTGTCCACAATGAGGAGTTCTCAAGACGTCTTCACATTGCCTCTTTTGGGTATGCTGACAACAAGCGTGTGGATTGGGTTTACTTCTTATCTCACATTGCGTTTATGGTAGGTGAACATGTTGGATGGTGGTATCTCTGGCAGCAACAGGATACGGATCTCAAACAAGAATGCTGTATGGTTGGCTCAATGGTATGCGTGGTATTGGATCTACAAAAGCCCGGAAACCTGTTAATTAACAAGACTTACAGTGAAACAGCAGCAAGATAATATGGATGACATGGAGATACGGTTTTATTTGAGGCAATGATGGTATTGAGAAATACCACAAGGTAAGAGTGTTCATTATGATGGGATTGGTTGGATTCAAGTGGACTTACCAAACGCCATACAGTGGCAGAGCCTCTTTCGGCGATACTATTATTATCACGGCTGCACGTCAAGGATGTCATTGTATAGTACTGTGCTCTCCTGGGGAATTTTGGCCCGGAAACAGTGTGACTCCAGATGCGATGGCAAGGCCAATTTTGAAAGGCATCCAACTGTGCGCACGGCCTCCATCCAAGTACGGCTATTGATTTCCTTGCCTACAGAGAGAAGGTGGATATCTCTTATGATGCCAATTTCAGGATCCAATGAGTATGGTACATATGGTGACATACCTTGGCGCTGCAGGTTGATTATTGTATTGCCTTCGGATGGTGTATTTGGTTGCAATTCCTTGTGACCACCATGGTTCAGGGCGTCGTGTGCCTTCCTTACCGAGTTGTCCACAATGAGAGTTCTCAAGACGTCTTCACATTGCCTCTTTTGGGTATGCTGACAACAAAAGCGTGTGGATTGGGTTTGCTTCTTATCTCACATTGCATTTATGGTGAGTGAACATGTTGGATGGTGGTATCTCTGGCAGCAACAAGACACTGGTCTCAAAGCAAGAGTAACAGCATGGTTGGCTCAATGGTATGCATGGTGTTGGATCTACAAAGCGAAACCTGTTAATTAACAAGACTTACAGTGAAACAGCAGCAAGATAATATGGATGACATGGAGATACGGTTTTATGTGAGGCAATGATGCTTATTGAGGAAATACCACAAGGTAAGAGGTTCATTGTGGGATTGGTTGGATTCAAGTGGACTTACCAAACGCCATACAGTGGAAGAGCCTCTTTCGGTGATGCTATTATTATCAAGGCTGCATGTCAGGGACGTCATTGTACTACACTTTCCTGTGGAGCTCTACATGTTGTGCGGGGACAGTGCGACTCATGTTGCGGCCTCAGGGATTTAAAAATGCATCCTCTGTTCGCACGCTCCATCGTTTGCGGCTATTGATCTCCTTGCCTTTAGAGAAGATGGTATCTCTATTGATGCACTTCATCGCGTCGATCCACTGGACAGTGCCGGTACTATGATCTTTCTTTGGCTGTGCGCTTTTATTATTACTTTACATCCTGATGGCCAATTTCGTTCCCAAGTCTGCGGGTGATGATTGCGTGATTCAGGTATGTGTAACTCTCATACTTTTTGGAGACCTTTGCTGAAACGCCTACCATTATTTAGAGGGACCATTGTAAAGAGCTGCTTGTCTTTTGGTGCTTTGGGTTTACAAGATCCACAGCTATGATTGCTAAGTATTATTCGATGGGTTTGGACAATTGTTTATGGTGCATCTTTTATAGGTGAATCATGTCAGCCATGGGAAGATGTTTATGTCTTTGAGTGGTGTCAACCTTTATTGCGTCTCGGGTGGTTGGTTGCAAGCAACGGGCGATTCCTCTGGAGAATGTCAGCCAATGAACGTCTTTTAGGAGTGGATTGTATCAGCAACAAGTAACAACATCCATATCAAGCTTTATCCCATTATCTGGTTTTCTCGTTATCGGCAATTTGGTGGGCGTCCTGAAATGAAGTTCTCTTATCGATTGATCACATCAGCAGCAAGGAACAACTTGTATATCTTTGATATCAGCAACCTTTCTATCTCTTGGTGGTTCTGGTTATCGGCAATTCCTTTGATGGATTTCTACAACTATACGTGTCTTATGGATGGATCATGTCATCAACAAGCAATGAGAGCCCGCGTTCAAATCTTTTGTGTTACCAAGGTCATTCATGCATCTCGTCAAGGACTTCATCGTCAAGCTGCATTCCATACCCAATGAAAAAGGATTGGTATCTCATTCATATCGGCTATATCATAGTGTACTCCTTCCGCAGCTAGGATGCTGGTTTGGGCTTTTCGATTGATGATTTTTCGATTTGCACGTGGTCTTGGGCAGCACATTGTTCGTTCTCGCTCATTGCAAGGGCTCTTCGGCATCGTGTAAGTATGCTATCTTTGATGGTATGAAGTATTATTCGACCTTCTCACTGTATATTCCCATCAAGTATCGTTCCATCGCTTACAACCCGGTGCCAACGTAGCGGGCTTATCAGCAAGAGAATGATTGCAAGAGTCAGCTAGATTTGGATATCAGCAGGGATTTCGTGCATACATGGGTATCATTGGTAAATAGTGATCCATTCGTTTCTACAACGCCTGCCAACCTCTTCGTTTACTATAGTATGTGGTCTATTCTGCAAGCTATTTGTCTTCTGGTTCTTTGGGATTTTCATGGATGAGGCTGTCATTGAATGTCGACATGTTTTCGTGCATACATGGGTATCATTGGTAAATAGTGATCCGTTCTCTTCTTCAACGCCTGCTAACCTCCTCTTTTATTATAGTATGTGGGATATTCAGCAAGCTACTTGTCTTCTGGTGCATTGGGATTTCTATGGATGAAGCTGTCATTGAATGTCGACATGTTTTCGTGCTTATGGGTGTCATTGGTAAATAGTGGATGATCCGTGTTTTGGCTCAATCCCAATCCAACCTCCTCTTCTAATACTATAGTATGTGGGATATTCAGCAAGCTACTTGTCTTCGTTGCATTAGGATTTCTATGGATGAGGCTGTCATTGAATGTCGACATGTTTTCGTGCGTATGGCTATCATTGGTAAATGATGATCCGTTCTCTTCTTCAACGCCTACCAACCACCTCTTTTATTATAGTATGTGGGCTATTCAGCAAGCTACTTGTCTTCTGGTGCATTGGGATTTCTATGGATGCAGCTGTCATTGGTAAATAATGACCCATTCTTTCTTTCAATGCCTACTAACACCCTCTTTCATGTGGGTTATTCAGCGAGCTATTAGTCTTGTGCCCTTTGGATTCTTGATGGATGCAGCTATCATTGGCTGTCAACAGGGTTTATTCATATGGCTCTCATTGGTAAATAGTAGGTCTGCCGTTTTTTTGGCTCCAATCCCAACCACCCCCTCTTTTATTATAGTATGTGTGCTATTCAGCAAACTACTTGTATTTTGGTGAATCTCGTCAGAATCAGAAGAGCAACGTCGACAGCATCCTTCAGTGTCAGCTTGCCTTATTACATCGTTCGATGGTTTTCGTTACTGTATACACCTATTGGACGCCTGCTTTTATTTGCATCCACCAAGGCGGCAAGGCAACAAGTTCTATACCTCTTGGTGTCGCCAAGTTTGTTTCAATCTTATTGTGGTCCTAGTTGTTGACAACCCTTTCAGCTGGTCTCCTGCTACGCATGCCTGTTATTGGTGGATCCGCCATCAGCTACAAGCAAGAAGCAGCAATGAACAACAGGCCCACCTTTAGTGTCAGCAACATTTATTTGATCCTCTGGTGGTTCTCGTTATTGGCAAATTGATTTCAAGAGCCCTCTTCACCGCACGTATCTTATGGATGTATCACATAACCCAACAAACAACAATGTTACACGTGTCCTTTTGGTGCTGTCAAGGGTGTATCCATCTCTCATGGCATTCATCATCAAGTATCGCTTGGAGAAACAGCTATCAGAATTGGTGCTATTATTAGAAACACATCTCACAGCAAGGAAATGTGTTCTGATTACTGGGTGGCATCAAACATTGTGGATTCTCATATGACACTGGGTAAATATTGTTACCATTACCTCAAAGATAAGTTAGTGATATGCAGTTTTATAGGCCCATCATTCCATCAAGCTTTAATTTCGCATGCTCTTTGGTGCCATCAAAAGTCTCTCGTTACAGTTGTCAATGGTGAATCTATTGAATTGGAAGACGAAGATCAACATTTTCGTTGGTGGGTGTCTCAGAAGCAAGCAAGCGATCTCTATCTTATAGTTGCGGTTGTCGAGGACCGCATTTCCGCTTGGTTTTGGAAATCCAGCTGCTTGCAAGTCGTCTCTTTATCGGTGGATCTTCAGAGCAATGTTTTTATCGGTGCCATGGCGGATCTCATTCCTCAAGTACTTGTATGGATACCTTGGACATTCTCTTGGCAAGTTAATATCCTCGCGTATGCTATTTCATCAAGACCGGATTTATTTGTTGCAGTGCATGATGTGTCTCTCATGACGCCTACCCAAGAAGGTCGCTTGATGGCAGCTACTACTGATATGGCGGATGTTTATTTGCTATGGGTAGAACGGGATGGTGCCTTACTCTTTTGTGTAAAGCATCGTTGGCAGCTATGATTCATTTGCGACAGTGTGGTCAGCCCTATCATGGCCCTATCAATTGCATTTGAGGATTACTGCCTTAGCCGTTGGAAGTTAGACTGTTACTCAGTGGCCTTGTGGTAGATATGGGATCATGTATTGCTTTTTGCTCTTATGGGTCGGCCTCTGTGGGCGTGGGATGCTATCCTTTTATCAGACCGAACATGTTGGCTCGAGCAGCACCGATAGAAGATGCTGTTGTTTACAATGGCAGCCCCCGTTATCCGGCTTGGTGCACCGTAGGGGAGAGGGTGACGGCAAAGCCTTCGCGTGGCCATCCTTGTCAGTACATGGGTTTCCATGGAAGCTAATTTGCCACCTTATCATTTATGTATTTTTTACGCATTCGTGAGCATCACTAACAGTACTCTAATAGATATATCAAGTGGCCAAAAGGTACAGGCTGGGAGTCGAACCCAATGAGAGATGATGCCCAAAGTTGCACTACCTGACCAAGAACCTATTCAATAATAGCAGCATTCATTATTACAATAAACGCTTTTTCCATTGTTTGTCCCATTGCACTTGCCTTTTCCTTATACACAATGACCATTTATTGTTGGTTACTTAAAACCGAAAACCATGGTGTAGTGTTGTTGAGCCGACGTCAATGGAACCATTTCGGTTGCAACATTGGACTCTGAATGTACCTGTTGACACCAAGCGTAGAGCGGGAATAGCAACGAGCAAAAGGAAGCAACCATATCGCCATGGCAACCACCAACCACCAACCACGCTCATTCCTCAGCATTTGGACACACACTCACTCCCTGACAATGCATGTTCAGAACTACATTAACACCTCACAGCCAACAAGAGCACTCTTTGATAATACATTACCTTGATCGAGATGTCGTGAATGGAATAAGGAAAGGTGGGAGAAAAAGAAGAGAAGCATTGTCTCAAGTCGTGGAGCTGCTGTCCCCCAAATTTAAATCCCCCTACTGCTATTACACTGAGGCCACCCAATTACCTTATACACACCATCCACCCAAACACACAACTCACCCATCATCATCAGCACTCTCACGATAGACAATAGGCACGCGTAAATAAAAGAAATGATCCTTACGTATAGCAAAAGGGTGTGTGCCATTTTACACTTTACATGATAATGATGATCCAACAACAGCCATTACCTTACTACCAGGTTAGCTCGAATCAAGAAAGTTGAAGGATGGGCATGCTGGGCTGGAGCAAGACAATCGTTCGTATACATTGGATTGGACAACAAAGGTGAATGGGTGGAATGGGCTATTAGCTGGCATTTTGAACTATTCCTAAATAGTGTACAAGAATCATGCATCGCCTGTGCTGAATGACTTAAGTTACACAAACACGCCCTCTGCATCTTTTGCTCTATTATCGTCATACTACTTTACATTAAACAAAGACCATTTCTCATATAGCATCACGCTTACAACATAGTAAAAACATAAAGACGCCTGTATCTCTAAACTTTACAATCAAACGTGGTGTTTTTATTAGAGCAAAGTGCTCGTCGGGGTCAAAGGAATCTTGTGTCAAAGTATGAAGTTCATCATGGGCAATCCCAGATTTCGCAATGTCGCTACCTGCCAAACTGGATCTGGGGGTCAACCTCTTCGACGACGACGACCAAAATTATTTTTTGGGCTGTTTGTGACATTGAACGCGAAACTGGCACCCAAGGTGCTGTTGGCCAAGCCGAGCCCATTGCTCTAATAAAAACCCCACGTTTGATTGTAAAGTTTGGAGATACAGGCACGTTTATGTTTTCACTATGCTGTAAGCGTGATGGAGTTGCTTTTTCCTAGTGGATGGTGTCGGCTGCATTAACGGAAAGATGAAGAGCTGAGTGAAATGGCACGTGGTGGTTACACACGCATGTCCTTGACAGGGGACATACTTTTGTCACCTACAAAAATAACCTCTTGAGCCGCAGGTGGATTTGTGTATCAGCTGTTGATTTTCCATCACTGAGACTCAGAACTTTCAAGATGCTTGACCACTTTATCAGCTCGACCCATCGTGACAACAATTCCCGCGCCCACTTACATAAATAAGGCTGTTGTCATCCACACTATCATTCGCCCTTTCTTTCTACTTGTCTGCATATCATCATCAGTGGCCTCTGGTAAGTCTCAAGGATAGTCTTTTGTGATTCCCAAATGAGGGTACTCATGCATTCATTTACGTACGTAGCTCACTTCATTGCTTTACCACTTTGTTGTGTGCTCATTGTTGTCAAAATAACATTTGGCTTTGTTCCTTGATGGACCTTTTGTGGTAGGTATACTCATGTCCTCTTTGTTTGTGTATTGATGTATGTTATTAAAAGGATGCCTTGTAAATTTGTATATAAGCAAAAGGCAACCCCAGTCTGGTGGGAAACTTGGGACTCCTTTGTAGGTGACATGGGTACATGCCCTACACAATGGGAAAACAAAAAAGCGTCCGGTGTCGTGTACATGCCGCTTGAGCCATACCTATCGCCACCTATTATCGTAGAGGTGCAGCACTCGGTTGATATCGAGTTTATTTTTCGGATCATGTCATACTGCGAGCAGCTCTACTCTCAAGTGAACATTGCACCCGTCGTTCTTATCATCGTCGTTTCAAGTATCAATCATGAAGTGCTTGGAAAGTGTCGTGCACGCAAACAAGTTCCATTCTTGTTTCAATATCGAAAGGAGACCTGGGCAAAGTCTTGCTATCGTGCGAGTGTAGACACCATCCATCGCCACACGCAAAAAGTATCCCTTGATCCAATGGTCAACTTGATGGCTTTCTTGACTGGGCGCAAACCATCGTTATCGGATTCTGGATACAGCACAGATCCAACAATGCAACAACTTTATTCGATTGCGGAACGTGCCTTCGTGTCGTGTCATGAATAATCACGTATACCCATCATCCATACTCAGCTCGTGTATGGTTATCCTTGGATATTATCCATCTTAGTTTCCTTCTTCTTCTTGGAATAAATCTACCCTTGCCGAGTATTGCTTACTCTCACCTTGTCTCCTACATACAACAATACCATACACACATCTCACTTCGAATAGTACATAGATGAGGATACATTGGGAGGGCCTCACGCTTCACTATGAGAATTTTATGTTCTACCTATGCCATAAACGTGATAGGGTTGCTTTCTCCTAGATTAACGGAAAGATGAAGAGCTGAGTGAAAATGACATGGTTACACGCGCACATCTTTGACAAGTTGTTGCCACAAATGGATGGTGATGATAATGGGCGGAACCTCCCATTTACCTTTATTACTCCATCTAAGCAATATTATTACGTAAACCACAAGTATGCAAGAAGCGGATAAACTAGCGAAGTCCAAGTGCGGTAATAAACAATCCTTTATTTCCTCTATGCAGCTATAGCTACCTACTTTGCCACCATCCTCGCCTTCCTCGTCCCTTGTCATCCGTACTCATACTCGTAGTCGTTGTCGAGTTTCTGCGTAGTCGTCGTCACAATATCGAAGACCCACAAGTAGAAAAGAATAGGATTTTGCAGGCTTCCTTTTGAATCTCTTTGTCGTTATCATTGTCATTGTTGTGGATGTGGTAATCATCGTAATCGTCATTGCTGTGAAAGTGGTAATCATCGTAATGGTCGTCTCTATAAATAAAAAGCAACCAAGTTAGACCATCTGATACTGGAATGATGACGATTTGGTATACCGTTAGGCGATCCTCTCTAAGGAAGAAAGCAAATCAGAAGGAATTCACAAACCAAATCACCACCATACGAGCAACGTCGGGCGATCCCTTGTTCTTGAGAAAGCACTGCACGAATCACGCAAGGCCAGTTCGATCCATGGCAAGGAAGGACTCACTTACGTAGAGTCCAGGCTCATAGTTGTCCTCATTCATCCTCCCCAAAAGAAAGAATGATCCCCAATCCTTCCAATCATTTCCCACCTCATGAAAAGAAATCCTCAAGGGAAAGAACGAGCCTATCACGAGAAGACCGTGTTGGTTCAACAAATCCACAAGCCTTGCAAATCCCCTTTTACCTCAACACGGTGACCATGCTCTTCCAAAAACCCATCACCATCGACCGTTTGATACAGGCTGGGAACTTGAACCCAAAGAGATGATGATGATGCCCAAAGTTGCATTGCCTGACCAAAAACCTATTCAATTCACTGTTAACACACACATACAATAAACGCCCTTTTTCATTGTTTGTTTCATTGCGCTTGCCTTTTCCATATACATAAAGACGTGTTGTTGGTGGTTACTGGAAACCGAAAAACCATGGTGTAGTGTTGTTGAGCTGAAACAAAACGCCAAACCAGCTCATGTCTTGAGACCAAACTTGTCCCCTATGCAAGCTAACGCGTCAATGGAACAAGTTTTGCTGCAACATTATACTCTCAATGTACCTGTTGACACCAAGCATAGAGCGGGAATAGCAACGAACAAGAGGAAGCAACGATATCGCCATGGCTACTGCCCTCATTCCTCAGCACTTGGACGCACTCACTCTCTGACGATGCATGTTCAGAACTGTATTAATATCTCACAGCCAACAAGAGCACTCTTCTATAATACATTACCTTGTTCGGGATGTTGTGAATGGGGATAAAAGCAGAGGAGGGAGAAAGAGAAGGGAAGCGTTGTCTCAAGTCATGGAGCTACTGTCCCAATATTTAAATCCCCTCCTACCTTAACATAATGCAGCCATATCCATTATAGAGTAAACCCAAAAAGCATACATGTGTAATAAACTCATTTTATTTACAAGATGTCCACTGCTCCAAAAAGTGCTTAATAAGACGTTTTCTTAACTGCTTATCACGAGATGATGCGTGTTTTGATCCATTCTTGCTGATAGCCTTATACAATGTCTTGAGTGCGTCATTTTTGTTGATATCATCCAAGACATGCTCGAGTCGACGACGTTCATGGTTCATCTTGAAAATATCTTTGAGATAAAGGATACTGAGGATTCTGCTACAGGACATCCACCTTGAAGGATAAAAGCCGACGTTGGCGTTTGGTTTGAATTCCTCCTTGACAATGCGATCTATCTCACGCATGTACTCAAGATACTCTTCAAACGACACATTGCATTCTTCAAAGTCAAAGTAGCTGATGTGCCAAGTGCGGAGATCGGATGCCAGTATCTTTTTCAGCTCATGGTAGACGAATGCCTTGTTGTTATATGAGTCGCGAGCACCAAAACGCCAACCAATCGGTTGATTTAATACCGCGTCAATGATATCACCGCCTTCATCATCGTCAAGGGAGGATACTAGTTGTCGTTGTAAAAGTTCCTGTACCAATACACGGTAAAATGTCGTATACTCTGCAGGCAAATCAGTTGGCACTTTGGTGGTTTGTGTATAAACGGTACGACGACGACGACGTTTTCGACGACGTTGAACAATAACATGTGTATAAGGTGCTTGGATCGTGGCTCGTGGTGGTAATGGATGATCGATGGATGATGGCAAAGTTAAATCCTCTTGTACCTTGGATGGGTTTTCAAGTACTAGAGCAGATCTCCAGTTGTTGTGGGCAATTTCACGCTTGGCACATGTTGTTGCCATGGCATTTTCCACCTTGGTCAGTCGTCGATTGTATTTTTCATGTACTTGAGGTAGTGAACGAAGATCACGCCGAAGGATTACCTCTTGAACATTTTGTCTACGTCTTTGGATGTATGGAGTACGTCGATTTGCGTTACGAGCTTGCGATTTGTGGTCGTCGTACAAGTCATTCAACAATGAATCGTAGTCATTGTCTTCATTAAAATCTTCTTGTTGAGCTTGTTTGGGATGAGGGCGATGCTTTAATGATCCATGTGACCACCGGAAACAAATCAAGGAGTGCTGGGTAGTAGGAATAGGCTCATGGTACACACCAGCAGCTTCAGCCACATCCGCAAATGTGGGCCTAATATCGTTACAAAGATCTACCCAGTCATCATTTTCATGTTCTAGGGATAATATGTCCCATTCGCTACTGCTGGATTGGCGACTTGATGATGATGATGAATGGGAACGTGCCGTGGGAGGAGGTGACATTTTGGAAAGTGGTGGAAATTCGTATAGGTCGTTAATCCAAGGATCGATGGGTGTATCATCTTCCATTAGTATAGGTTCAGCGAAAGGAAGGGTATATAAGGACATGGTATAGTATTGTAAGTAGGGAATCAATTAGTATGCCTTTCATCTGCAAGGGAGGGTCCACCTTTATATTAGCTGGAGGCATCGCGGTTACAACTGCCGCAGCACTACTAATATTAATAGCCTTGTATCACACCCCACGCCACTCTTGTGGGAGCTGCAACCCCTTGCTGCGCCAACTGAGTGCAAACGATATGATCAAAGATCTACCATGCATAATGAAAGAGCCTAATTCAAGCTGCTGAAAAGTTCGATTATCACTCTTCTTTAGTTACACAAATGACTTTGCCTACTACACGACGACATTAAGAATTGTAAACTCGAAACTCGAATACTTTTGGTAGTAAATGCTTTACGAGATGTCTGAACATGGATAGATATTAATACACAGCTGCTTGAGGGTCATTTGGGAGAAATGGAATGGGTTAGGGGATTGCTGTCAATAAAAAGGGAACAAGGTGTGATATTATTATACGCGATGTTGTGGTGTTGGAGGAGGTGGTAGGCTTGATCTGGAGGAAAACATGGGTTGTGACATGCTGGCTGGTGTAGATGGCAGGTTATGAGAACTTGAAATCCAAGAAGGCGATGGATAATGATCATGATCAAGGTCATGGGAAGCCACTCCTTCGTATTGTGGTTGAAAGACTTCCACGTCGGCTTGACGTTGAATACGTCTACGGCGAATCAAAAAGAAAGCCAAAGCACCCAAGAGAGCAGCACCTACTACACTGCCTACTACAGCACCAGCAATCACTCCTCCCTTATTCTCTCCACCATTATCAGCTGGAGCAGTCGTTGGATCGATTGTTGGAGTCGCTTCAGTACTAGTGGTGGTGGTATCAATAGCAGGATCGGTGGTGGTGGTAGCATCAGGATCAATGCTGTCGGTTGTTGCTGTTGGATCGATCGTTGTAGTAGGTACAAGGTCGGTTGTTGTTGTAGTATCCCACCAATTTGTGGTGCTGGTTGTGTCCCACCAATTGGTAGTTGAGGAGGTGTATTGTCCATCCCAATCATTTGTGGTTGTTGGGCTTTCCCCAATACTGCCATCATCATAAGTAGTTGTTGCCGTGGGTTGTTGATCTCCACCATCTTCATAGGTAGTCGTTGTGGGGGTTCCATCACCATTGCCACCATCCCAATCGGTTGTAGTTGGCTGTGAGGATCCATCATCACCACCATCGTAATCACCTATACATATGGATTGTTTGGAAATTGGAGAGAAAATAGTTATTTAGGTGTCGCTGAATTCAATTGGATAAAAATAGCATCTGATACCATTGAAGGTAGTACCAAATCTCTGGAAATGGACAATGCCATTTTCAGATGCAACAATGTGGTGGAAAGAAAAACATCACCCACGTTGGCTTAGCTCTTTTTCTTACCATCGTCATCATCGTAGTCTTGGGCAGCAGTAAAAGGTGCGTGTAGTAGCCATGGATATACAAGGACGAGTGATGCTAGTGTGGAGAGTCTCGGTTGCGATTGTGGAATTAGGCGCATAGTTGAATAGGATTAGGTTATCGTCAGCAGTTGGAGGGTGTAAAAAGATTCGAGACAAAAAGGGTGTCGTTTTGGTTGTGTGGTCGTGTGCTTTGGTATGAGTGCAATGGCATGTACGGGTCGTCGTGCCGTGCGTTATGTTGTCAATGGCACTGAGGATATGATAACAATGGAGCGTGTAAGCAGTAGAATGCTTGAGCAATGAAAAAGAAAGGATCGAGGAATGGAATAAAGGTGAGGTAATGGAAAAAGAAAAAGAAATGAGAGAAATGGTAAACCGTGAAAGCCGAGAAAAATGCCCTGCATGCAGTGTGTTACCTTTATTTAAAAAGCAGGGGATAAAAGAAGAGATTGTCTGTGAGTATTGTAGTACGAGAACGCATAGAAACGTTCTTTTGGGAAACAAAATGCGATGCATAATTGAAAACAGATGAATTGCTCTGATCTACGCGTTTTGCGTGATTTTATTTCTACCCCACCCAACATCACCACCACCACCGGTTTGTAATCTGGCTGAGTTTTTGCCGAAGATAATAAAATGCATGCATGTTTCAGATCATCACTTATAGTCGCTGTTGATGATCATGCGAGTGAATTCTCGAGGTATCTATAATAATGATCCGCCTGCTTCTTGATGATGATGATGCCATCGGTGTGTATGTGTATGCACTACAAACGAGGTGGATGGGTAATAATGCAATTGAACATTCCATTCATGCACGCATGATACGCCATGTCAATGTATAGATAGGCACGCATAATTATGCTATGGTGAATGTTAGATAGTCGTGGTGGTATCACCAATGACATGTGTGAATCTGGACAAGACCTCATTGAAGGTGGAAGAATGGCATGTTAATGTGTTTGTGATACATAAAGAAAAGCACGTGGATAGCATTTTGGCATGACACATGCAAGCTTGACCTGAAATGAATTAGAGGGCGGCGTCTTTATGTAACATGCATTTAGCACAGAACAAACCAGGGGAGGGGTATGAAAAGATCGAAAGGGCTGGCCACTTTGGTTGGGCTCTTGAACATCATCTTGTTGCAAATCAGGTCAAGGGCGGTTTTCATTTGATTAGTTGGTGTAACCTTTTCATTTTTCATTTATATCGCTCTTATTGTCTTTTCTTTCACGCTTTCCTCCCTCCACTCCTCTCTCTCTTCCTCCGCCTTTCAATTCATCAACATCTCGCTTCTTGGTCTCGTCATCATTCGTCGTCATGTTTTATCGAAAGAAACGACAAGAAGACGAACCAACAACAACAACGTCTCAATTACCGCCCATGTCAAACACCGAATCGCGTGGTAGTACCGAAGACAGCAACACGCTAATGCCTCCATCGCACGATTCCCGATCCACGAACGATTCAGAGGAAGCACCAATGCATGGAGAACGCATGTCGACGTTGCCATTGCCATCCATGCCTTGGGTAGAGAACGAGCTTATCGATGAGAAGCGACCCATAGCAGCAACATCAACAACACCTGCAACAACCGCGGCATCGAGTGCACTATTGAACAAGGCATTACCAAGCACACCACCTCTATCTCCATCATCATCTACATCCGAGACATTGGCACGCAACAATAGTACACGAAGCAGCAATAGTAGTCATGGTATGACAGCAACGGGTATCAAGATGGTATGTCATATTATTCTATCGCTATATGTATATATGTATGCGGTCATTTAACCTTTCGTGTATTACTACTATAGGACATTCAAGATATCTCATCAGGCCCGCCTATCATCCCTCGTAGCAAGACACCGCCGCCCCTGTTACCCCTTGTGGAAACTGAATTGCAGCAACGAAAGGAGAAGATGATCATCAACTCAAAAACCATCTTTGATTCCGACGATGACGAAGAATACGATGAGGAGGATGAAGCTGGTCTCTTTTTCAAAGACTTTTCTCCAGACGCTCCTCGTCTTTCTACTGTTCTCAACAAGAAAAAGCGTGCTTCAAGAAAGGCTTCTTCCAAAAAAGCAACCACTCGCATGAGCAAGTTTGATTTGCTGTCATTCGCCAATCATCTGCACGACAACCGGTTATCAGTGATGCAGTTGCGTGAGAGTCGCATTGCTCTTACCGAAGAGGATGAGCAAGAATTAATCAAGCTGCTCGAGAAACGAAAGAGTATGGCCAATAGCGTTCATCAAATGCCATTGCCAAGCGACGAGTCTATCCCAGCTGTACCACCATTGCCTGACAACGCCGACAAAGAGCATGAAGGTGATGATGATGATGCACCTGTTGAATCATCCACGTCTACAACACAGGAAGAGAACAAGGAACAGAATGCTGTTGATGATGCTGATGGCTTGCACAAAGACATTGATGAGCAACAAGCCGAGAAAAAAGAGGAGGAGAATGATACTGCATCACCATCATTGGATACTACGCCAAAAGCACCATTGGAGGAACCAACAGCATCTTTATTAATCGAGAAGGAAGTTTCACGCAAGCGACGAGTGCGCAAGTCAATGAGTATGGATGAGATACATCGTATGCAACAAGCACAAGAAGAAAAGACGTTGATAGAAATGGAGCCCATTCAGGAGGTAGAACCAAGTTTATCGTCATCATCCACTCACAAATCAAGCAACAACAACAACAAAGGCGATAGCAAGGTTGCACCACCCAACATTACAATCAAACCATCCACGTCAACACCATCGATCAAATCCAGGCACAGTGAATCACCAAAGCCGTCTCCTCGTAACAAGGCCATTGGATTGTTTGGCAGCCTCCGGCAGGCGAGTCGAGCTACACCTTTGCGAGGGTTGGTACGCAATTTGAGCACCAATGCTTCACGTCTTAGTCGACAAGCATCCTTTACACGTTCAAGTACATCCAACACCTTTAACACCAAGTTTGCATCATCCTCTCGAGCAACATTGGCAACTCAAAATGGCGAAGATTTATCACCAGCAGCTAGAGCTGTGATGCAACACAATGATAAACAACAACGCAAAAAAGACAACAAAAAGAACAATGTTGAGGAACAACAACAACAACAGCAACCACAAGAGGATTCACCCAAAAAGAGTCGCCTACTTACCCATTTGCTGGCCAAAGCGGGTAAAGCACGCCGTACAAAGACCGTCAACATGGCATCATCTTCTTCCACCTCCACAGCAAACAAACGTCGAGACAAGACCAAGTCAAAGATCGTGCGTCGTACCATCATTTATGTTCCTCCTGATTCGCTCAATTTTATGAAGAACCTTGAAAAGGGTGACATCGACACATCCAAAACACCTACTTCAGCAGGAGGAGCTCAAAATGAGTTATCAGCTATGCCACCTCTGCCTAACGACATGATGAAACGAATTCAACAATACAACAATGGAGAAGAAGAAAGTGGCAATCCATCAGAGGACCAACAACAACACCATGATGAGTTGGATAGCGTGCTCAATTATTACGATGATGAGAGCTTATACGATTATTATCGCAATCGAGAATCCAGTGTGCCACAGTTGGAAGGATTGGAGCTCCGAGAAATGGATGATGGGACAGTCGAATGGGGCATTGTAAAGAAACAAGGCAATCGCAAGAGCTTTTTCGCTGCTCACGGGATGAGCGTCTCTTCCTCAGCTGAACAACATGGTACAACGACACCAACCACTTCCGATGTGGCTCATGAGATGATGGAAGAAGAAGACGACGAGGAAGACGAGGAAAAGATTGAAGAACATGTATTGCGCCTCATGGGACTACCGGTACCAGCAACATCATCATCACCCAAAGATGCTCAGCTTAACAACACCCAATCATCACCCCCTCCAGTACCACGACGATCTCCTAGACGACGTATGGAGAGTCAACAACAACATGAGGACGACGAGCAGGATCATCGTCGAGCCAAGCATATTTCCACGATTCATTCTCGAAAGGATGCATCTACCACCGATGTCTATTTTGCACCACAGCAAACTTTACCCAGCCTTTTGCAAATGATTGCCAATACCTCTGGAGGTGATGATGGCGACCATGAGCAAGAAAAGAAACATGCATCAGTGGAAGAACAGCTAGATGAAGTCATGCGATCGTTTCAACCACCTACCCCTGTACACTGACAATAAAAAAAGGCATCAACCATTTGGGGACAGGATAGAAATACAACAACTTTTTCAATGTATGTATGTACACATACACAAATAATGTTTGTCAATGGGTTGTTGCTTAGCAACAGGCTGAGGAGGATGATTCAGGGGAGTTCTTTATGGAAATGGGGAAATTAATATATTAAGCTTGACACATGACGATGGATGAATTGGAACTTCTGGACAATCATGGCCAGCACAGTTTTCGTGTTTCATCATATTCCCCTTTCGGGAAGATACCGCCCGATGCCGATGCGCAAAATGGATCCTTTGTCTCGGTTCTTAAAAGCGTTGTGACACATTGGCTGCCAATAAAGCGAAACGTTACACTACGCATTCAACAAACAGAGAGCCGTTGCAACAGAAAATTGCTATTATTAAAAAACAGAGAGATCTTGGATCGACTCGTCTACTACTGCTACATACATACATGGGCGTGTCTGTGCGACGACAGCAACAACCGAGGAACGGGGAAATGGCCGGAGTATGTAAAAAAAGAATGCAACGACAACGACGACAACGCCGCTAACAAAAACAAAAGTGTCGTGTATCATTATCCGCAGACCCGCTTAAAGAAGTAGTAGTCATTCTCTATCTCTCTCTTTCTCTCTGGAGTTTATTTTGGGCAAAGCTGGACAAGAGAAAGATCCAAATTTCCACAAACAAATGTGGCTGATACACATTGTAACGATCAATTTGACGATCCAGTAATCTTCATGCTGCGTGCTGTTGGGCGTTTGTTTACATGCCTTGACTTTTGCTTTCTCCTTTTTACCCTTTACGCACAATATCCTTTTGCCTGCATATGCACAGAAATACAATGCTGGAGAACGATACACGACATGATAACAAACGCCTTTTGACATCCACCACCGTCATCGTTGAAATGGTCATGTATCACCAATGCTCCTGCAAAACACACACTTATGCAGAGTTTAATACCAACGACGACTGCACGTAATGCATTGTCGCTTGTACAAGGATGGATGAAAGGTTCCATTTGGGGGTTCAATGACCACCGTATCAAAGTTAAATCAAGTAGGTTGATGATGATAATGATGAGGCGTATGGGCATCTACATGATCGATCAAACGGGGTCACATCATCGAGGCGTTTTTGCGCGGGCGGTACATTCAGGTACAGGTACAGGGGATCAATACTACTAGAGCGCTCAAATTCTGTACATGGTAATGGGGAAATCTGTGGAGAGAGAAAGGGGGAAGATTCGATGCTTCGTTCATCCGATAATATGCAACAATGGCGCTTCCTGCCCCTTGATTACTGTACCCGATGATGTCTTTTGATCACAGGTGTGTGTGTGAAAGTTGTCGTAAAGATGGTATTCTCTGAGATCATTGTATGTAAGCTGTGGTGTGATAAGGAGGAGGAGGCATCATGTGGAAGGAAATGACAATAATGCTCTCACTCACTTACTCAAGGATGCCATATTGTGTATGTCTAATGCGCATGTAATGCATCCCACGGGTCAAACAATGCTGCCAAGTCATGCACTTGTTCAATAGGTATTATCGCCTTATCCATTTTCAACATTACGTTAAGTTAAATGTATATGAGATCGAACGTTCTTCTAGACTCGAGAAATTTCAATGGCAACGAAAAGGAAAAGGTACAACTACCTACAACTCCTATTATCGTTCATGTGTTGTTTTATAAATGATCAACACTAAAAACCCGGCTCAATGGCCTTTTTTCCCATCTTTTGGTGATGAGTGGGTGGTGGTATGTGTAGCTATGTCGATACACACATACCTTACATGCCCCTGCGTGTGGTAGTCAACATTATTGTTAATCCATACGAGTAGTCAGCGGCTGCTTCTCAACAACAAGAGACAATACCCCCAATTGTGAGAGGCACCCGATCCTGGCGTGACACAACAACGGACCATCCATGCCCGAGCAAACATTATATGAGTTGACGGGTTGATAAACCATTAGAAGAGCCCATGCTTGGCATGCTGAGCATATAGTGTTTTTCATCCTTGTTGGGGTCAACAACGATAGGTAGTGGTGGTGGCCAACCTTTTTTCTTTTTTCAACCATTGCACTCATAGGTAAAAGCTAAAGTTGAAGTTTATGTTGTTTCCTTTTCACCGCCAACTTTGAATCTTTCTCCCTCTCCTTACCTCCTGTTGTGCTGCTGTGGTGGCTGGATGGTTGGCTCTCATTTCCTGGTACAACTCAAAAGACCCCCCAAAACTTTTGGAGGATCAATTCAGGAAGCCCATGTGACGTTGCATTGAGGATTATGATTGGCTTGTTTCACTCAGCTCGTGATGGCATGTCTATGCATGCTCCTCTCCACACCACATCATCCATTTATCTTGACCCCCCATCTGATCAGTATCCCTGGGTGATGTATATAGATATGGATATTCCGCCACCTTGCATGCTTTTACAAGTAGCCGTAAAAGTGGGACACAATTGCAATTGAATAGAATTGCTTCAGCCATGTCTTCTTGGCAGTCCATAGACACCGAATCTGTACTACTACAAAAAGACGACAATGACGTGTGGGAATGGGGTGTATAGTATTACCTGTGTGGCGATGATCATCTTTTGTAAATTCACTTTATTTGTATGCGTGCACCACCGTTTATGCAGCGGGACGGAAATAGACATGTCGGCGACATGAGAGTAAATTTACGCGCGTGGTCCTGTGTGTGTGTGTGTACCCTTCTTTTTTTTGGATGTGCTGGCGTAAATGGAAAGCACACCTAATACGCTCTCCCTCTAACTTTTGGGATCACAACACACAGCAACCAACATCACACTCTCCTCCTCCCCCCTTTTTTTTAACATACAGCAGATGTGAATCCATCCACTTGGGCAAATTCAAACCATTTTTATTTGAGCCACCCCTCGCTGTTGTTTTCTCTTTCTCTCTCTTTTTTGTTTCCCTTTCTCTTTAACTCTTTCTCTCTCTCTTTCATCATTACCTTTTTGACGTGGCATGAAGTACGGGCTTGAATTACAAAATAACATTTTTCCACCATGGCGATTGTCCTATGTGGCGTATGATGTTCTCAAGCAAGAGCTCAAGAGCCGTCAGCTTGACCATGGCTGGACCGAACAAGATGAACATGATTTTGTGCACTTGCTTGATAATGAGCTGACCAAAGTGTATGATTTCATCAATGCCAAGCTATCTGAGATTGATGCACGGATCCTTTATTGTGAGCGCACCATTCAGACATTGCAGCACAACCCGACCATGCAAACCGATGCAAGTTACCAAATCATGGATGAAGCGCTCACCGAGATCCTCTTTGATGTGAACGACTTGTCACGGTTCACGCGTGTCAACTTTATTGCCATCCAAAAGATCCTCAAGAAACATGATCGGTGGACAGGTCTCGATCTCAAGCAAGCCTATGTTGACAAGTTGCGTGACAAGCCTCTTGATAATCAACGTTTTGATGTGGCCATTGTCTACATTTCAGCCCTTCATGATATTTGTCGTACGCGTGGTGGCAAGAAACGAGCTCCGGGTGAAGGTGTCAATGCCAACGGCGACCAAAATGCATTTGAACGAGCCACTGCCAAGTATTGGATTCATCCCGATAATATTACAGAAGTCAAGGCCATCATCATGTTGCATTTGCCGGTGCTTATCTTTAATCGCAACAAAAAATGGGAGCCTGAGGATTCAGCCATTTCAAGTGTGTATGTCGACAATGACAACTTTGACTTGTATCAAGGTCGATTGCAACGTGACGAAGGTGCTGAAGCGATTCGTTTGAGATGGTAAGATTAATTTGATCTAGTGCTTCTGACTCTTGTCTTACCTACAACATCCACGCATTAGGTATGGTCCGTATGACACAAAGAGTGTATTTGTGGAGCGTAAAACACACCATGCGGCGTGGCTGGATGGTGCTTCCGTCAAGGATCGGTTCCGAATCAATGAAGGTCGGGTAAATCCCTTCCTGGAGGGATCATACACAGCTGACCAAATTGCACAAGAATTGCGTTCACAAGGACAAGATGCATCGACGGTGGATAACGTTCACTTTATTGCCAATGGTGTTCAAACCTCATTTCGGGAGAAACAACTACGCCCCACCTTGCGTGTCTTTTACAATCGCACTGCTTTTCAATTGCCGGATGATCAAAAGCTGCGTATTTCACTCGACACCAACTTGACATTTATCCGTGAAGATCATTTGGATGGTGTTCGACGACGTGAAAAAGACAATTGGCGACGAAAGGATGTGGACATTGATCCACCCTTTAGCTATCTTCCCGAAGATGAGATTTTACGATTCCCTTACGCTGTCCTTGAAACCAAACTTCAAACACATCTTGGTCAAGAACCACCTGCTTGGTTGACATCCTTGGTGGAAAGCCATTTGGTCCATGAAGTACCACGCTTTTCCAAATACTTGCATGGTGCTTGTCATTTCTATCGTGAACGCTTACCCTTGTTGCCATGGTGGCTATCCGAACTCAATGTGGACATTCGCAAGCCTCGTAACGAAAATACCGGTCTTACCCGTTCACGCAGCTTCAAGCCTCTCATTGATGGTCGTTACCGCCGTGCCATGATTGAAGAAAAGGAGCGTGCCAATCAAATCGCTGTGGTACGTCGTGGATCACAACGTCAACAACAAGAGCCACAACGCCTTGCTGTTGTCTCTGAAGAAACAAGCAGCAGCATTGCACGTCCCTTATCATCCAGTGAAACACTCACACGCACATCACCACCCACACCGGCACCTACAAGCAAGGATCCTTTACGTAAACGATTGCTGGATGATGATAAAGATACACCACCTGCTTGGCAACCTGTACGTAATAGCGTGGTCGCCATTGGTGTGCCTGTGGATGAAAAACCAAACAACGGTGCTTCAAGTGCAGCAGCAGCAGCAGGCGATAATAGCAGCAACGACAAGCAACGGAAAAAGTTCAAGGTGCCTTTCATGTGGAACAACATGCTCAATGAAGGTCAACCCAACGAACGTCAAAAGGTCAAGGTGCGAGTCGAACCCAAGGTCTTTTTCGCCAACGAACGTACATTTATTTCTTGGTTACAATTCTGTGCCTTGTTGCTTACGGTGGCCTTGTCATTACTTAACTTTGGTGACAATACAAGTCGTATCATTGGTGGTATCTTTATTGGCCTGGCAGCCGCTGTAGCTATCTACGCTCTCTATCGCTTTGAGAAACGTGCTTGGATGATCAATCGTCGTGTCGACGGTCGCTACGACGATCTTTGGGGTCCTGCTGTTCTTTGTACACTTCTTGTCGGTGCCCTTATTGTAAGTCATTGTTGGTCCATTATGGTAGCCTATATACTCACGTATTCATTGTTTCTTTCTAGGTCAACTTTTATCTACGTTTCCATTAGAAGAGACATACACCACTACCCCTTCTTGTTCATTGTCCTCAAAACCTTCCTCCCTTCTTCATGTACCAATATACATAGTAACGCATCTTCTTGTAAACACCCACTTTCCTTTTACACACAATACACACACGCACACCTCGAGTATAATGCATCCATCAATACTTTTTACTCCTTTGATAAATTTCTTTTTTTCACACACTCGTGCTGGTTTACTGGGAATCTTGAGTGATGTTTATATTTACAAAAATGTTCTAATCTCTCTCTGTGTGTGTGTTGTCTATATACATGATGAGCTTATTGGGAGGTGGAGGTGGAGGTGGTGGTGTCACTTGAATGACCCATGTTGGTGGAAGCGGGTGGTGTCAAAGGTAATTTGGTGTGTTGTACTTGTTCCAATTGACGTTGCAAATCTTCAAGACGTTTTTGCATAGCATCCATTTCAAGCTTCTTTTCCATTTCGATACGTTCCATGCGCATACGCAATGCAGCCATCTCTTCATTCTGTTGATCCAGTGCTCGTGATTTGGCTTTCAGCTGACTTTTGAGAGAAGCAAACGACTCATCGTTATGATCCTCCTCCTGTTCCTGTTTTTGTTGTTGTTTTTGTTGTTGTTGTTGTGGATGCTGCTGCACATTGGGTCACATGAGTTTTTTAAACTATACACAAAGACGCAAAACAATGCAGCTTACCGTATTCGTTGAATCACCCGTAAACAGTTCAAAATCCAACAATTGGGCAGCTGTGGGACGATTTGCTGCGTTTGGGTCCATCATCCATAAAATTAACGCTGACTATTTATATAACTACTTTTAGTATCACCTCGTACGTGGCGCACATCTTCTTCTGATGAAGGATGCCTTACCTCTTTAGGATAGCGCTCCACAAATCCATCAGGGAAAATTCCTTGCTTAAGAGCATCAATGGCTTCAGCACGTTCCATAGCAGTTGCAAAGGGTCGATACAATTCAAAAAAGATGATGGCCAATGAATAAATATCCACCTTTTCACCATAGGCACTAGGTCGATGCGCCAATTGTTCTGGTGATGCATACTAATAAAGTTTTAATGATGGGCTGTTGTATAAAGGCACTAGAATATAAAGAACTTACTGTGCGAGTACCAACACCCCCTGTGCGCATACGTCGTACCGAAGGACGTCGACGAGGTGTTGTATTTTCTGAAACTTCCTTGCTGCTGCTGTTGTTTTCACTAGCACTCTGCTGATCCTCTTCCACAAAAGGTGATGATGATGATAAATCTTGATCTTCTTCAGACGCAGCTGCAAGACCAAAGTCACCAATTTTAGGCACCCAAGGTTCGTCCCACATGCATTGTCTTAGGCCATCTGGTGTGTGCACCGAATCAAAGGAAAAGCTGTGATCGTGGGCAAGGGAGGATGATGATGACAACATGCCATGATTACTGCTGCTGTTGCTGCTGCTAATACTACCATGACTTCGTGGTCCACCGAGGGTAGCTAAGCTATTGGCACGACTACGACCATGACGACGGTTGCCTTGGCTGGATCGACGCGACTCGCTGAGTGACGCTGGCATATTCAAAAAAATATTGGTCGGCTTAAGATCACGATGCATCACTCCTTGTTCATGAATATAAGCAGCTCCCTCAAGAATCTGAGCAAAGATATCGATGTTGCGTTGTGGATCCACAGCATCGTAACCATCCTCATTGTCTTTAAAGCATTGCTGGTTGCGGAATTTGATAAAGTCATGCAATGTAGCTAAAGGTACAATAAATATCATGCAATAGAGAGAGAGCTCTTGTTGTGTGTGTGTTACCTGGACATAATTGCATTTGAATGTAAAGCACCCATTCGCCTTCAAATGATCCAAACGCTGAACGATGATGATGACGGCGTTGAATAGAAGAGGATCGTTGTACTTCCATCATGCTGCTGCTGTTGCTAGTGCTACCACCACCACGCGTCAATGTCATCTTTTCCTCCTCCTCCTCGGTTTCCTCCTCCATAACAAAATCAATCCCAGGTGACGAGAGTTGCGATGCATTCATACGCAAGCTTGATTCATCCGAAAAATCGAAAATGGGATCATTGAACATGCTCGTTTCTTGATGGAATCGTACTTTGCTTTTGCGTGTTGTTGTTGCTGTTGTGGATGATCGATAATATTCAGAAAAGTAATCTTCATCCTCCTCTTCATCACGTTGCAATGCTGCGGAAGAGACCAATTCCAGCCATGACGAGTAATATCGAACCACGTTGCGGTGTTCAAGGCGTGCAAGATGTTTGATTTCTCGAAAGATCTTTTCGTATGGGTTCTCATGGTCCATCATGGTATCCAAGTCTTTACCCAATCGAATCTTTTTGATAGCATAATCGATCCCATCCAACTTGTTACGGGCACGCCATACGCTAGCAAATCCACCTCGTCCCAACATGCTGATTTCCACAAAATCGTTTTCATAGCGCGAATTTTGGACCGATAAGTTGGATAAAAGCTGTTCGGATGTGATGGGTGAAGGTGTAGCTGCTGCTGCTGATGGCTGTGGAGGGGGTGTTTGAAATCGTCTCATGCTGCTCCCCTCTTCTTCGTCGGATGATGATGATGGTACAGGTCCAATCATTTTTTGATGTTGTTGAAACAATCGTTCATCTTGTACCGTTTGCACAGCCGTATAAAACAATTGTTGAAACGCATTTTGGAAAGTGGAGCGCACACTGGCCATTTCATCCATAAACTCGGCATCAATCAACCCCAAAGAACGTAAGGTTTGACAGATAAGAAAAAACACCTTGCGATTGGATTCAGGTGATTCACCGTACACTCGACAAAATGACTCAATCAACGATACAAGTAACATCTTGGCCTGACGACGCTTGGATCCATCTGATAATGCCTTGGGTTGCCATAATTGTTGACCTCCACCTCCACCAAACTGAACATTCTTTTGGTTGTTGACTGACAAGAGACCACCTTCATATGTGTATGTTAAATAGACTTGCGTAGGGCTTGAATGAATAAAGGGACATTTACCTTCTCTATCGTACTCATTGGCTTGTTGCTCCAATTCACAAGACGAAGGCCGATGCCAAAAAGAGTTGGGTCGATCACTGTCATTGGTCAAGACGGAAGAATAGGTGCAATCGTCATCGTCAGTGCAAACAGGGACCATAATAAAGGACAATGTAATGTGATCAAGTAGAGTTCAGTTGTGGGAGGGAGGGAGGGGTATAAAAGAAAGGGAAAGAAACGTGTAAGCGTGTGTGGATAGTGCGTATGTGTTTAAAATTGGCAGCAGCAGCACAATGCGGGGAGTGTGTGTGTGTGTGGGTTAATGCTGCTTGCTTGCTGCGAGTAAAAAAGAACCACCTTGGAAGAATTTCGATGGTTTCACACCTATCCAATGACATTTCTTTGTACCTGGCCCATCTCCTTGGTGCCATTTCATTACATACAATTACTACATGACCACTAAAAATCAATCTTTATTTCTTTATATGATACTATTATGATACAATGGGTGTTATAAAGAGACAATGTTATCTTTATGTAATTGTTGGGGTGGTGGGGATCGTACAACTGCTTTAGACAAAGGAACAATATCTTCATCAGCGGCAGCGTTCATATCAAAGAAGGGAGTATTGGGAGAAGTGGGACTATTATCATCAGCCTCAGCAGGATTATAGAGATTGGTATTACGCATACTAGCGGTGCGTCTGGGTATGTGGCGGTGCTGCGTCATTGTCGCAAAAGTGGGTGGCAAATTGCCAAGACTCATGGATCGTCGCACCTTTTCACGGATTCGATCGACATTTAAAAGTTTCAGTTGATTCGGCTGTGTCACCATCTTTGTTGGTTTCGACGTAATAGGATCGTCATCATGGTGGTGGTGGCATGGCTTGTTCGATTCATCATCATCATCATCATCATCATCATCGTTCTTGATGGATAATGATTGTGATGATGATGGTGGTGGTGGCTCATCCATGATCAAATCCGGTGGCGCAGGTGTTACGCATACCATTGGAAATGCTCCCTTGAGCCCGGTCATGACATTGTATCCAATGGCCCATCCATCGTCAAATGATACTGCCAAACATATCAAGTCACCTGCATGCAATGCCAATTCATCCCCCATTTGTGGTGGATAAGGATAAACAACAAAATACAAATCTTCAGGTCGTGGTTGTTGAGGTGGCGAAAGAGGGGGAGTCATAGTAGTAGCTGCTGTTGTAGGTGGTATCTCTGATGCATCATCCATCATCGGCTCCTTGGAAGCAGCAGGCGTTGTATTGGTGTGATGGGTGTCTTGTGTTGTATCGTTACCACCAAGGTTGTGTGTGAGAGGAATATTGGAATCATGCTTATCATATTCATCTTCATCAAGAGGAGCTGCTTCATACGTCTTGAATTGGAATTGATTGTTGCTGCTTTTTCGTCTACTGAGCACGCGTCGTCGCATCGAACATAGGCAAAACAGAGCCAAAGCTATCATTGCTGCTCCAACCACACATCCAACCACGATGCCGGCAATGTCACCTCCCGATAAAGCACCGCATGCCATATCATTGCAACATGCGTCAGTCTGATTGTAGCGACAATATTGACATGCACTCGCTGTATTCCCTTGAAATCCTATGTATGGCATCATACAGCATTACTTTAACTTTGTTTATGGGGCGAGGGTGTGGATAGTAGTAAAACAACCTACCACAATGATCAGGTTCGTTTTGTTCCCCGGAAATGCAATTGTCAACAGAGCTTCGGTCCAAGCATTGCTCCATGAACGAATAATCCATAACAGAACCATAATTCGGGTCACTATTAAAGCATCGGTATCTGATATTGGACAAGATGCTATCCATCCAAGCTTCGCAAGTACGTTCACATAAAGGTGGAACAGGTGCTACAGCATGGTCGGCGTTGCAGTGCGGAGAAGTATAGGCGACATCGTGAACAACCATGGCGCAAAGTCTCGTAAGTGAATAGCGGGCGTAAGGTACACGTTGGGTGCTATGACATCCAAATCGATCCATATAAAAGTTGTTTGATTGAGCATAATCAAAGAGCATTCGATCAAAGGAATCAAGGTCGGTGACATGCGCTAGAAAAGGATATCGGCCGTCGAGCTCAACAAGCGGGAGATAATATCGACTATATGCAGGACACGCTTTCGATCCTTCAAGTGATAGACATCCATCACTTTGTCCTCGGACACTCCAAGTCCTTAATATCAAAAGAAAATAGAATGCTGTGAAATGGCGTTGTTGCATTGCGTTGTGTGTCTGTGTCAGTGGTAGAATGTAATGAGGTGTGTTGTGTTGTAGTATATATGGGGGGGTGGTATGCTGGGTTGTAATGTACAAGTGAAGCGATTCAAAAGTTGAGCATGCTCGTAAAAGTTGAATGAGAGAGAGAGAGAGAGAGCGTGCGTGCCTCTGTGTGTGTGGTTGGTAAAGAAAAAAAAGAAAAGAATAAGCCGAACAAGAGTGTGTGATGTACTACAAATCTAAGCAGCATAGCAACCATCACTAGGGACACACTCTTTGCAGTAAAGCTCCATCCTTTACTTCCGCTCATGCTCGGGTTGCACAACGCTTTGGGTTTTGATCCATCCATAGTCAACAGTGAACCCAGATGGCTTTGCTGCAATGCATCCTATCCAGAAATGCCATTTTCAGAATTATTGAGCCTATTTGCCTTATTCGTAACCACTCATCATTGTGACCTATCACGCTGACAAACATTGGCTATTTGACAACATAGTATGTCGTGTTACGTCAAGACGATCCCCTAATCATTCAAATGTACAATTGCATCGATCGTGCAGCAGTTGATCAGTGCAGACATGTAACGTTGGCGTAACATGTGAAAGAAAAGGCAAATTAGGGAGAGACAAGTAGATGAAGAAGAAGGTAAGCTTATAACCTACTTTTTTATTTTAACGCAACGACGACGACGACGATGAACAAGATGGTGATGTATTGACATCATATGTCATTTTACTTATGCAACGGCGGCAATATAAGGTTAATGTGAATTATCGGGTGTATAAAGCAAGGGAAGCAGGGTATTGGAATTTTGAATGCACATGGCGGCGGGGGCAAACGATGTCAATTGTGCAACAACCCAATCCATCAAAACATAGCGCTTCAATGTGCAGGACACAGACTTGGTTCTGGACTCCCTTTTCTTTCCCAATTGTGAGTTGTGTGTGTGGGTGTGTTATATGTGTGTCTCTGTATGCACATTGCTTTCTTTTCTCTCTCCAAGGTCTAATTAGACAAATCATATCACTTTGAAACATTGGGCTTGTTTCTCTTTTTTACTTCCTCTCCCTCTCTCTTCCTCTCGCTCTCTTTATTCACCGGTATCGCGTTGTTTGTTCAATATCATCGTCTTCTCTCTTCTGACACTCATGTCAGATAAACACCCATCCCCTACTACTACTACTACTACTACTACTACTCTCAACGAGGTCGACAAAACGAGGACACCACCAACACCAATAGTAGCAGTGCACGAGCCCCCAATGCCGCCTTCATCGCCGCCTCCTCCTCGTCCTTCTCCTCCCCATTCGTCAATCGACTCATCACCATCGTCCAATGTCGCTACTGGAGAACACTCCATGACATCCACTGGTCAACCCCATTTGGATCCAACGTCAACAACAACAACAACAACAACCGGTACTGAAAAGACACCTTCCAGACAGCCATCGTCTCGTACACTCAATGCCCAACAGCGTCGATCGTTAATCACAAAGTTCGCTACGATCCATACCGACAAGTATCCAGAGAATCTTCGACGAGAGTTTCCAATGAGCAACTTTGATCGCAACTTGACAGTAGAAAAGGCCCGGTTTGAGCCACAACCACTTAACCATGACACCAATAATACCACTCTTCATCATCATCATCCTCATCATCATCATCCCAAGGAGGGTGGTTACTCTGGAGTAGCGACACCAGCAACAACAACAACATCATCATCACCTCCTCATGATCATTTGCAAGCAGCATCTTCTTCACATCATCGACCAACAACAGCTTCATCACCTACCAGCTATACAACCAACAATAGCATTACGCCATCAGCATCATCCACTACTGGACTTCATACTGCATCAAGTACCTATTCAGTCAATGGGAATGGTACAGGTGCAACAAGTACATCAACAGCACCTTGTGGTGGTGGTAATACGACTCCTGCTGGTGGTGGAGGTGGTGGTACTGGGCCTGTAAAGCCAATCATGCAACCTACAAAGTCTAGAAGCGAAGTATGTATTTTCATCATCATCATCATCATCATCATCATCATCATCATCATTCCCTTTATCCCCTTCTCTCCTTGTTCTTTTTACCCCGCATCCCTCTCTCTTTATGGCTACATCCCAAAACCCCCTTCCTTTGCTGACTATGATCTCGACTTTTTAGGGTGATCGAACGTGCCGTACCAACAAGAAACGACGGCGACCTCCTCCTCCTGTCAGTGGGACAGCTACACCCGCTGAAGTCTTTCATCGTAATTTGATTGATGCCGTTTCCAATGTAGAAGGCAAGTCTATATAAGATCACGTGACATGTCACTTACACTTACCCATTTGATATAGACTCGGATGAAAATGAGCATTATGTATATTCTTATGGTGGTGCAACAACGATTGATCCAACATCGTATCATTCGGATTTGGGATATCATCGACCTCAATCGATTCGATCCTCACCGCCTTCTTCACATCACCCAGAAAACAAATGGCTGGCTCCATGGTCATCAACAGCAAGTTTCTTTAGCGACCTCTTTCGGATCAACAGCAATCACTCACAGAGACCTCCTATCGCCACACGATCCTCATCACTGACAACGCATGGTATTGCGGATGATGAAGCAGAAGCGGCTTATCAACCCCATCATCGCCCTAAGCTAAGAAACTATGTGATTCCCAAGCAACATCCTTATGCCGATCCATGGGCTACGGCTGCTGGTGGTGGTGATCATCATCATTGGTACGATAGTAAACGCAACATGATCGGATCAGCAGCAACAACAACACCATCACATCATTTACCACCACCACCACAGCCTTCTCGCCATCGACGACGCATATACCCATGGGCATATCATACAGATGGGTACAGCAGTGATGATGAAGATACCCCATTGATGATGGGCCGTTCTTTACGGTCTAGTAAACGATCCAGGAAAAAGAAACGATTATGGTATGCATTCCTCCCAAAGCGATGGGGGGCCACTCTAACTAACACTCGCTCTTTTCATTAGTTCGCGTGTCTTTCGCAATACAATGCTCGCCTTTTTATTTCTTGTGCTGGCCACTTGCTTCTTGGTACTCTATCGAGCTAAACCCTTGGTCGACATTGGGGTTGAAATGGGCCGGGTGCTGGCGTCCGATAAAGAACTCATCTTTGATTTGCGTGTCAAGGCCAACAACTGGAACTGGTGGACTGTGCGCGTTGCTGATGCCGATATTAGTATGTTTGCATTCAGTCAAGTGGTCCCCTTAAGCAACAACACCGTCATTCATGGTAAGTTTGAAAAGGGAGCAAGAGGAGGAATATGGATGCTGATAATGTATGATTAGGCGTGGATCCAGCAGAATACCTTGGTAGCTTTTATCGATTTGATGAACCTTTGGCATTTCCACCCGCCATGCTTTCACGAGAACAAGTCGAAGCAAGTAGTCAAATCCGAATCAAATCACCTGGGGCTGATAAGAGTGGCAATGAACGATGGTATGTACATGGAAAGAGAAAGAGAGGCAAGGATCACTAAGGGGAGGGGGGCTTTTTTGTCTTCTAGGTCACGTATCATTCGTTATCCTTATGGGCTCGTAGCCCGAGGTGTGCTCAAATACAGACCTTTACCATTTACTGGAGCCTACTCACAATCCGTGGCCATCTGTGATGTTGCACGCGTAGAACCCATATCCGGTGTCATTTCAGAAGATCCAGATCAGAGTTATTGTTTAAAACATGCTAAAGGCATAGACCAATGAATATACATTTGCTTTTCCCACCCCCCCCCCTGGTTTCTAGAAAATGACCAAGCATTTTCATCAAATGATGTATTATGAAATGTATGATGCTAGTAGAACAATAATTTACAAATGGGCATGTGTGTGTGTGTGTGTGGGATGAGGTGATAACGACTCTTTTTAGACTTGATTATCTGCATTAAACTCGCTCTCAATGCTAGGTTCCAACAAGGCAGCATGGGCCAAAATAACGACAGCAGCAGCACCTAGCAGTAGATCATAAGCCATTGTTTTCTCATGATGGTTCCTATAGCACACTTACTGATGATCCAAAAGATGGCACCCGTAGCACCAGAAAAGAGGAGTAGTATGAGGGATGCACCGCAATAGGCACCGTACATGGCTGAAGCGGATATGGTGGTATTACCGATTGTCAATGCACCATCCAAGCGCGAGATGACAAAGAAACCACCAAAGATGAATGCAATCGTAAATAGCAATGACCAGTTTGTGATTCTACAATTGAATCAGTGATGGATGTCTCATTGTAGTCGTTGTTCTACTTACACTGCATAGATGGCCAATCCAAGGACAATGAGCATATAATTGACAGCGAAATGTTGTAGGTTGTAACTACCCAAAGTTGTTAGTACACTTTTCCCTCAATATCCATCTGAATAAAGAAAACTTACTTCCAACGCTTGGTGATTTCGCCAATAGAAGTTGTGAAGCTGAAACGGTTCTTGTCAAAAAAGTCATTCAAGGGACGAAGTTTGGCAAGCTTTTCCTCTCGGAATTCACGAGCTTTCTTTAGGAATTCGAAGCGTGATGGCGATTCAGTGTTGGTGCTACTAGTAGTGTTTGTAGGCGCAGGAGCTGGAGCAGGAGCGGCGTTGACATTATCGTTTTGGAGATCAGGGACATTGGAAAGAAGAGGTTCAGCTTGGCTCATGGTGGTGTGTGGTCCTTGGTGGTAGTGCAGAAGGAGAGAGGATAATTGCTGAGCATTGTTCCTTTTATATCGTGAACCCCGCTTCCGCTCACCCAAATGTGGTCTTGGCTTTCAATCACGCCCCGAAGCCAACGCTTGGCACTTTGAACCCTACAATATGGATAAGGTCTTGGCTGGCACGGACATTGTTGTGGCGGATCAAATGACGTGAACTAATAAACATTGGGACATCGGTATCCATGTTGATCCAACTGCCAACGTACCTACTTGCAATGGATAGATCGAATGTTTATGCATGATGATAATGATGATGATAAAACGCGTTGTCCTTGATCACAAGTGGCATATTCCCAGCAAGTGCTGCTCTATGTTATTCACAACATGGTACACGAGCTATGTAGTTTTACGTGGTCCATCCACACGACACCACGTATTGTCGTTCTTTACCTTGGTTGCCTTATGCTACACCACTTACATCAACTATCTTTTTTCTGGATCACGTAGTTGAATGCATATAGTTGTGAACTTTTTACAATGATATCAGTATATGGCTATAGAATGTATGCATTGTAGTCAACGACGCTATGTACATGATTGGGGTTATAGGGATCATACAACAACGACATCATTGCATGATTGGGTGTTTTTGACGTGTGCTATTTTAGTTATGCTTTTGCCGTCATTCTCCCAAGCAAATGGCGGGTCGTCAATTGGGTGCTGCAGCTTGTTGTCCATGGGAAACATCTCTTGTGATTTGATAAAGCTCTTGGACTATAGTAGCGTCATAAGAGTAAGGACGCGAGCAATCTTGACGTGTGAGAGACGATATTTTGGTGAGGGCAACGACCTGCTCGAGCGATTTTCTTATCGTTAATTGGTCTTTGTGAACGCGCTAATTGTTGTTGTTGATACCCCAATGTATACGAAGGATTTAAGAGCTGTCAGCAGGCGTAAAAGAAGCATGCAGTCAATGTTTTACAGTCTTTTGCCTCCATCAAAAAAGGGCTAAATGTTTCTTGGTAGGGCCTTTATCATGTTTGTCTTTGTGTATCTTCGATATAGCAGTTGGCAGCAAGATGTGCGGACCTTCCTATTTGCACCATCATGTCAATCCAATGGTACGTAGACCACGACACCGGATCCATATATTCGTTGTCGTATGTTTTGACCCCAAACACGTTGCCGAAAGGTTGGAAACATCTTGTTGTAGCTCCTTCTCGAACGTGTATGTATGCCTACATTGGATACCAAAGTCAGAGACAGGGCATGCGTTTGATAATGCGTAAACTGCTTACCTCTTTACGAGCCACACCATAACCTTTATTTGTTGATGTATGTTCATGTACACCCTATATCGCACGTCCTGACCAGGTAAGCTAGTGTATGCGTTGTCACCCATCATGTAATACGATTAGGTTTTACCTTATGAAAGTGCCCACTTCGAGTTAGCGATACTCGAATTACTTATATGAATTCGCGAATCACATTGTACAAGAAGTGACGACCATAATAAGAATAGGATAACAGCGAAGGAACATCAAGAATGGTCACAAAGATCAGGGCTTATTCACAGGCTGACATTTCACACAAGCAATCAAGAAAGTATGACAGAGGAAAGGGATGTTGTGGGAGCATGATGGGTGGCGACAACATTCTTTTATCGTGCGCAGTGGGCGTGCGAATTTGTGTGATCATAAAGAATGATAAATGTTTATTGAAGATGGTGCATTGATACATTGGCCATGAGCTGATAAAGTCCATCCAGGACAATGACAACAATGAAGTACCGGCGATACAAGGCGTTAAGGAGTTACAGAGATGTTTATTACAAAGATCAATGCTATATGAGTATCCTCTTATAAGACCACAAAGCTATCGTTGACAACTTCTTGATTGTGGAACTCTTGATGATAGGTATAATCAAATAAATAAAAGAGATGGGTGAGAATGGGTAGTACCGACGATGCAAGAAAAGGGGCGGTTGCCATGGCTACCATCTCAGTATGTAGACTACTAGGTTGAAATGAGGATCGAATTCCACTACCACCTAGAATTCTTTCATGTGATTGCTGCCTAGACGACCCACTCACTGAAGGAATGCATATAAAAAGAAAGCGTATGCAACAATGAATCCGACACTATCATGCAAGAAATAGCGGGTGAGTCACACAAGCGAGCTGCAGCTGGAATTTCAGAGCAACCTCCGTCTTACGCGTCGTTCTCTTTATTGCTACTCTTTTGAAAATGGATCGATTACAACGTATGCTTGGATCAGCTGCTGCAGGCTTTGGACAGGTTGATAAACGAACCACCATCGACATCTTGGAGCAACCCGCATTCTAACAAGCAGCATCATTCAATAGGGTCCTCCTCGCCCTGGCATGGATACCGACATTGTCGACAATTCCGAAACTGTTCACATCTCATCGTTGGCTTTACTCAAGGCAAGTATCATACAGGAGAGAGTGAGTGTGTGTGTGGAGAGAGATGTATGATCTAATAGAGTGTGTGTATGTAATCCAATAGATGTTGAAGCATGGTTAGTCTCAAGCAAGATGTATACGTGTGTGTGTGTATGTCGAGATCCTATTACTGAGAGATAACATCGATAGGTCGAGCTGGTGTACCAATGGAAGTCATGGGTCTTATGCTGGGTGAATTTGTGGATGATTATACCGTACGTGTGGTGGATGTATTTGCTATGCCTCAAAGTGGAACGGGTGTATCGGTCGAAGCTGTGGATCCTGTTTTCCAAACCAACATGTTGGATATGTTGAAGCAAACTGGAAGGTAGGTTGTTGTGTGGATGGACCATGGCGGTATGGGAAGATCATTGAATGGGGTTGTTATGTAGACCTGAAATGGTTGTTGGCTGGTATCACTCTCATCCTGGTTTTGGTTGCTGGCTTTCAAGCGTAGATGTCAATACACAGCAGGTAGGATGATATACCATTTGTGTGTGTGTGCATAGGTTACCAACATTGACGATGAATAGAGTTTTGAACAATTGAATGCACGAGCTGTGGCTGTTGTTGTGGATCCTATTCAATCGGTCAAAGGCAAGGTTGTCATTGATGCATTCCGCACCATCAATCCTCAAAGTGCCATGCTTGGACAAGAAGCCCGTCAAACCACATCCAATATTGGTCATCTCAACAAGCCATCCATTCAAGCCCTTATTCATGGTCTGAATCGACATTATTATTCGCTTGCAATCAATTACCGGAAAAACGAGTTAGAGGAAAAGATGCTTCTGAATCTCAACAAGAAGAATTGGACCCATGGCCTTACACTCGAGAACTTTACTGAACACAGCGAAGACAATGAAAAGAGCGTCAAGGTAAGAAAAAGAAAGAACATCATGAAGAGAGAGCTGTTGTTAACATGGTTGTGTCCCTTGTAGAAAATGCTTTCATTGGCAGAAGCATATAACAAATCAGTACAAGAAGAACTTACAATGACACCTGAGCAACTCAAGACGCGACATGTGGGCAAGCAAGATCCTAAGCGTCACTTGGAAGATGCTGTGGAGAAGGTGATGGGCGATAATATTGTGACAGCATTGGGCACAATGATTGATAGTGTTAGTTTCTAAGCATGCACATGTACCCTCTTCATTAGCCGATAAAAATGATCTTTTATATATACCATCATCATCATCAGCATACAATAATAGCTATTTAGTGTGGAGAGAGAGAGAGAGAGAGAAAGACAACAACATGTCAACCTATTGATTGGGACGTGTCACAGTGGAGGGCGGCATAGACCAATTTGGTCATGTCCAATCAAACACTGCTACATCGAATTGGAGCTGACTTGGCACGCTTTATCGTAACTGAGCTAGTGCACTCTTTCTTCCTACACCTCAACCCACTCTTTTCTTTATCCCGAGAAACGTCTTAATATGGCTCTGCTGGAAGTCAGCAGTCAAAAGACGCTGTTGAAAACGGCTATTCTAGGTCTCATTGCAGCAGCAGCATTCTCATCACGTCTATTCAGTATTGTGCGCTATGAATCTGTCATCCACGAATTCGACCCTTGGTAAGGTGTTAAACAAGACACATGCATGCACGTGCGCGCGCGTTGTGACAATGGTCACTCAACAACAAGGGGTTTATTGGCAGGTTCAACTATCGAGCTACACGCATGCTTGTGAAGGATGGTTTCTACGATTTCTGGAATTGGTTTGACGACCGGTCGTGGTATCCTTTGGGACGCGTTGTGGGAGGCACGGTGTATCCAGGTCTTATGGTGACTTCAGCTATCATTCACAATGTCTTGCACTATCTCAATTTCCAAGTCGATATCCGCAACGTGTGTGTATTGTTGGCTCCCATGTTTTCTGGTGCGACCGCCATTGCAACCTATCTATTGACAAAGGAGCTGAAGGATTCCTCGGCAGGATTACTGGCAGCAGCATTTATCGGCATTGCACCAGGCTACATCTCACGTTCCGTCGCTGGCTCGTACGATAACGAAGGCATCGCCATCTTTTTGCTCATGTTTACCTTTTTCTTATGGCTCAAAGCACTCAAGCTTGGATCCGCCTTGTATGGTGCATTCACCGCCTTCTTCTACTTTTACATGGTCGCCGCTTGGGGTGGCTATGTCTTCATCATCAACTTGATTCCACTTCATGTCTTTGTCCTCATGCTCATGGGTCGCTTCTCCACCCGCATCTACGTGGCCTATTCCACATTCTACGTCCTTGGCACACTCATGTCCATGCAAATCCCCTTTGTTGGTTTCCAACCTACTCGTACATCCGAACACATGGCAGCATTGGGTAAGGTGGTCAACATCATTGGGATTCTATATATGTTTTATTGACTTTGGTGGTTGTCATTAGGTGTGTTTGGCTTATGCCAGATTATGGGATTCGTTGAATTGTTACGCAGCCATCTTCAAGCCAAGCAATTCCAAACGGTGCTCAAGGCTCTTGTGTTATCGACATTTGTTCTTGGATTTGCTGCTTTGGTTGGATTGACGTATGCTGGTTACATTGCGCCATGGACAGGTCGTTTCTACTCGTTATGGGATACCGGCTATGCCAAGGTCCATATTCCTATCATTGCATCCGTATCTGAACATCAACCTACTGCATGGGCATCATTCTTCTTTGACTTGGAAATGCTTATCTTTTTGTTCCCTGCTGGCATTTATCTATGCTTCCGCCAATTGCGTGATGAGCACGTGTTTGTCATTGTCTATGGCATCTTTGCATCCTACTTTGCTGGTGTGATGGTCCGTTTGATGCTCACGCTCACTCCTGTCGTTTGTGTGTGCTCTGGTATTGCCGTATCCACCTTGCTTGATACCTACCTTGATACAACTTCGATTGAACCTGCCAACCAAGAATCAGCTGCTGAATCATCTGAAAAGAAAAAGGGAAAACAAGCTGCATCCAAGTCTGCATCTTCGTCGTCTTCTTCCTCTGAACAATCCAAGAAACCAGGCATTTACACTCGTGATTCTCGTACTTTGGTCGTCAGCAGCTTTATCTTTTTCTTGATCATCTTTGTGTGGCATTGCACTTGGGTTACTTCCAACGCATACTCGAGTCCTTCTATTGTATTGGCTTCTCGTAACCCCGATGGATCTCAGCACATCATTGATGACTTCCGTGAAGCCTACTATTGGTTACGCCGCAACACCAAAGAGGATGCCAAGATCATGTCGTGGTGGGATTACGGATATCAAATTGCTGGTATGGCAGATCGTCCTACCTTGGTCGATAACAACACTTGGAACAATACCCATATTGCCACGGTGGGCCGTGCCATGTCTTCGGGTGAAGAAGATGCCTATGAGATTATGCAAAAACACGATGTCGACTACGTCCTTGTCATCTTTGGTGGTTTACTCGGTTATTCAGGAGATGATATCAACAAGTATCTGTGGATGATTCGTATTGCTGAAGGTAAAGAGAAAAAGGGGAATCATTTGTGTGATGATGACTCACATAGGTTTTAAATATTAGGTGTGTGGCCTGACAAGATCAAAGAAGCCAACTATTTCACAGCAAGTGGCGATTATCGTGTAGACGATCAAGCATCCCCTGCTATGCGCAACTCGCTCATGTACAAGATGAGTTATTACCGATTCAATGAATTATTTGGTGGTCAACAACCCATGGATCGTGTTCGCCAACAACGACTCCCTGTCCAAGGACCCGAACTCTCAGTGTTGGACGAGGCCTTTACCTCGGAGAACTGGATTGTCCGTATTTATAAGGTCAAGGATCTTGATAACTTGGGTCGCTCTCATAAGGCTGCAAAAGATTTCGAAAGTGGCAAAAAGAAGCGAAAGACCAGAAGCAAAAAGAGCAAGGAACGGAGACGACGCGCTGGTTCGATCGATGATCTCGATTAGAGGATAAGAAAGAGTAGTGAACATAGTAAATAAAAAAGCACACAACATGTACAACCTCTTATCTACCCCATGAGATTGTCTATGCGAGAGAAACTATTCAACGACTTTTTATTATCATTGTACTATTTAGATCAAAGCATGGGCGACAGCTATGGGCTAAGCTAAGTGGATAGTATTCTGTAGCCGGAATGCAGCAGCAGCGTGGTCACTCACTTGTGTCGATTTTTTTGTCACTCAGAGTTGGATAGCGTCGTGCTTGCTTTTCTTCGCCCACAAACTCTTCCACTATGATGCAACCAAATGACTTTGAGGTATGTCCCGTTGACGCTTAAACCACCATTGAACTTTGAAGGCAAAACAGCTGCAACCGTCCAGCATCGCGTGTTCCTTTTTGGCTGATCGATTGGGATTCTCATTGCGTGTAGGTTACTTCACCTCCCACCGACGGCATTTCTGGTCTCGAGTTTTCTCCGGTGGCTGATTACCTTGCAGTGTCTTCATGGGATAACCAGGTAGCGTCCATGGCAGCCATGAAACAAGCGAATGGCTGCTAAAGTTGCGATCCCTTTTCTTATTGATCTTCATTGTTGCCAGATCCGGATATATGAAGTACAGCCCAACGGCAGCACGACTCCGAAAGTGGCCTACTCGCACGAAGCACCTGCACTTTGCGTCACTTGGAGCAAGGTAAAAGGAGGATGAGGATGTGACATGGGAGATGGATAGGAGCATGTCATTGACATCATACATATCCATTCATCTAGGATGGTACCAAAGTTGTGTCTGGTGGTGGAGATAAAGCAGGTCGCATGATGGATATCAACACAGGCCAATCAACCCAAGTCGCCCAACACAATGAATCTATCCGATGCGTCAAATTTCTCGATCAAGGACAAAACATACTTGCGACGGGTAGTTGGGATAAGACCATCAAGTATTGGGATTTGCGATCACCACAACCAATTGGCACAGCACAATTGCCTGAACGTCTTTATGCCATGGATACACGAAGCAATTTACTCGTTGCAGGAACAGCCGACCGACACATTCTCCTCTTTGATCTCAACAACCCAACCACCATTTACAAGGTATGCCTCAAAGGAGATATATAGATGAGGTCATGATGCAGCCATAGATTAACTCCACATGATATATATAGCAAACGATTTCTCCTCTAAAGTGGCAGACGCGTGAGATTTCATGCTTCATCGACAGCAAAGGATACGCCATTGGATCTATTGAAGGTCGAGTCGCCATTCAATACATTGATGATAAGGATCAAGCGTAAGTAGTAGTAATAAGGTTGGATGGGATTTTTTTCTAACATGGGTCTTGGTTGGATATAGTCGCAACTTTTCCTTCAAATGTCATCGTGACGGCAAAGAAGTGTATCCTGTCAATACAATTGCTTTCCATCCCACATATGGTACATTCTCCACCGCCGGCGGTGATGGCACAATCAGCTTTTGGGATAAGGATTCCAAGCAACGTCTCAAGAACTTTCCTAAAAAGACCGGCCCTATTCCTTGCTCTACATTCAATCGAACAGGCAACATTTTCGCCTATGCTGTCAGCTATGATTGGACCAAAGGATACAAGCATGCCACACCTAATATGCCTAATAAGGTCTTTTTACACCCTGTGCAGGATGCTGACATTAAACCCAAGCAAAGGCGCTAGTCTTCCCACAACACCACCACCACCACCACCACCACTATTATCATTGCCCCAACATTGCTCAGCATTCATGTCGTCATAATTGCATTAAAACAAAGAGACACTTTGGGAGACCATGTCGATCTCTCTCTTTTATTTCACATGTTTTGATATGGATACGATATAGTTTAAAGGGGGTTCTTACGATGAAAGGATATGATCGATCGATATACTAATATGACGTTCGCTCTCCTGAAGGATGGATCGAAAGCGTGTTTTACACATACATCCGGGAGCTAGCACATTCACCGATCCGAAAGGTACACACAGACATAAAAAATTCATCGCCGATATGCATGCCTGACCATGCGAACCGTACAATGACGTTACGGCACGAGGCATATGTACATTGATACATTGATCATTATTACGCACGTCAAAAGGAGAATGAATGGGTGAATGAGTGAGCGAGAAGATTAGGACAAGGGAGGAGGCTTCTCTCTCTCTCTATCATCATCAGCCACTTCGGCTTAACGAAAAAATGGTAACTTTTTTCAGGAAGGGAGAAGAACTTGGATGAGTGAAAGCAACAAGAACCATCATTATGTATCACAGAACAAGAGAAAGGGGGAAATAAAGAACATCGAGCATTCCATTAGGATGCTTATTCATCCTTGGGAGGAGTAGTAAAGAACCTGACAGGAATACACGTTATATTACGGAAGCTGAAAGGAGGAAATCAAGTACACTATATGAAAGGGGTGAGATAGTAGAATAGCTTAACTCGCGCGAGGGGTGAAGCACAAGGAGAATAAAGAGGAGCGACGATGAACTTGGCCAACCCCCATGACTGCTGGAGGAGGAGGTGGTGGGTTGCAACACCTAAGGAAGACGTTCTTTTTTCATTCGTAGTCGGGAAAAGATACACCAAAGCAGTTGCATAAAGTGTAGTAAAGGGTATATGTTTTTGATGGATAATGACGGGTTAATCAATCTCACAACACAAAGCATAACCATGCTCCTTTACCAGTAAGGTTCCGAGAATAGGGGATGAGGAGTTGCAGCACAAAGGTGATCACACACACACCATACACACGATGGGGATTGTCAATACGAGCACATCCACCTGCAATCCGTGTGCCGAAAACCTGCCGGAAATACGGGTATACCTACATGCCAAAAGACAACAACATACGTCGCCTGCTTTATTAGAAAAGGGGATGACCATAACCCAAAACAACTTGTTGCTTTTGCAAAGCCTCATCCATCTCCATGGTGGCGATAACCTTTCTTGTATAGCCAGTCTATATAAGACGGTGGAATAGCTGTGTGCACTTTGGTCCATAAGGAGTACATAAACCATGGTCGACAACAACAACATCGCTACTACTACAACAACAAGGACATATGATGATGATGATAAACGACAAACGTCATCCGTACTTAGTATCCAGAATCTGCTTTCACCTATAGATGAAGGAGAAAATCAAATGACAACCACTACTACAATACCAACATTGAAAACAACAAGACGTTCACGTGCCAAAACCAAGCGTAAACGAGCATCACCCTCACAGCTTGCTGTATTAAACCAGGTGTTTAATCAAACGTATTTTCCTTCCACTGAGCTTCGTACCGAGCTAGGCAAGCAACTCGGCATGAATCCTCGTACCGTGCAAATATGGTTCCAAAACAAACGTCAAGCCCTTCGTGCACGTGATCGTGCTTGTCGCCAACAACATCTTACTACTGCTACTACACCCATGTCCCCACCTTTATCACCCAACCATGCCATCTCTTTGCCTCCATTAAGGTTAACGCTGGCATCATCATCACCGGTGGATTGCTTTCCATGCCACAGCCCTATCTCCACTCTTCCCAGCCCATCATCAATGGTTGACTTGAATCCTTTGCACTACTAGTTTTATGGTTAGCTTCTTTTTCCTTTTCTTTTTCTACATTCTTTTCTTTTACAAAATTACGATCACACTCCTACTACATACTACTACAAGCATTACGCACCCACCCACTCAACACCTAATCTTTATGGCTTGCCCCCTTTTACGTATTAAGTTTACACTTGGATGAAAAGGCTTTCTCTTTATTTGTATGATAGAATGCTTTAATCTTTTTGCATTGAACCTCCTCCTTATGATTCGAACATGTATCACTCCTCCACCACCACGGATGATCATTGTATGTTATCCAGCAGCCATAAACTACTACTACTACTACTACTATTTCAACAGCTTACCCTAGTTTACATGTTGAAGGAATGGGAGTCCAGAGATCCAAGTACGTGCATCACCTTTGAGTTAAGAGCGGCTTTATGTTTTACTATGCTTTAAGCAACATGAAGCTAAATGAAAAGTGATCTTTGTTCATTGTCAAGTGGCTAGATACTGATAGAGTCAAAGATGGAGAAGGACACGTTTGCGTAACACAACCCATTTTGCAGGATTGGAAGAGTCAATGTAGGATACGTATACTCTATGTAATGAATAGCCATAAATTAAAAGCTGATAGCCACTTTCTCCCGTTTCCAAATGTTGCGCATTACAATACATGGGAACGAAGCTCCTCCTCAAGAGATCTATTTCCATGTTTCAATTGACTTGATTCGAGCTGATTTGATTGAGTTACGGTCAAAGAGGGATTACATCAATCGTACATGCAACACGCACGATCTAGCTCAACCGATGTATTCATTGTTTGACCGTAGCTCAGTCAAATCAGCTTGGATCAAGAAAGTTGGATGATGGAAATAATGGGCAGGAGCAGTCGTATTGTTCCTATGCAGTGGCATAGAAAAAAGTTCGGGATGGGAGAGTGTGGCTATCAGCTGCCAATGTATCAGCTATTACCCGATAGTGTAAAAGTACCCTACATTGACCCTTCCAATCCTGCATGATAGGTTGAGTTACACAAAGAGGACCCTCTGCATCTTTTGCTCTGCCAGGGTCCACCTACTTGACAATGAACAAAGACCACCTTTCATATAGCATCACGCTTACAAACATAAAGGTGCCTGTATCTCCAAACTTTACAATCAAACGTGGGCTCTTTAATAGATCAACGTGCTCCTCGGGGTCAAAGGAATCTTGTGTCAAAGTATGAAGTTCATCGTGGGCAATCCCAGATTTCGCAATGTCGCTACCAGCCAAACTGGATCTGGGGGTCAACCTCTTCGACGACGACGACCAAAAAATATTTTTTGGGCTGTTTGCGACATTGAACGCGAAACTTTCACACAAGGTGCTATTGGCCAAGCCGAGCACATTGCTGTAATAAAAACCCCACGTTTCATTGTAAAGTTTGGAGATACAGGCACCTTTATGTTTTTAAGTGTGATGCTATATGAAGAGTGGTCTTTGTTCATTGTCAAGTAGGTGGACCCTGGCAGAGCAAAAGATGCAGAGGGACCTCTTTGTGTGACACAGCTACCTTGCATGACTCGAAGGATGGAAGGATGATACTGTATACTATTGACAATGGACCATGTATTGCGAGCTAACAGCCATTTCCTCACGATCGGCACTGTTGTGCATTCTATGACATGTGAACAATGCTCCTGCTCCAGGCGATCATTTCCATGATTGGATTATGTTGATCCGAGTTGATTTGGCTGAGCTACGCTCATACAAGGTTACTTCAGTTGAGCAACATAGAGCATGGTTAGATGTGTGGATTGATGTAATCCGTCTTTGGCTGTATCTCGGTCAAATCAACTCGGATCAAGGCAATTGAACGATGGAAATAAATGTCTGGAGCAGGAGCATCGTTCCATCGTAATGGATTAGACAAAAGTTGGGATTGGGAGGAAATGGCTGCTAGCTGGCAATACATGCCTGTTCCTAGATAATCCATAAAGTATTATACATTGACCCTTCCAGTCATGCAAGCTAGCTGTGTCACACAATGACGTCCCTCTGCATCTTTTGCTCTGCCAGGGTCCACTTGCATGACAATGAACAAAGACCACCTTTCATATAGTATTACGCATACATCATATGTAAAACATGAAGGTGACTGTATCTCAATACCTTACAATGAAGCGTGGGGTCTTTATGAGAACCAACCTGCTTGGCTTGGCCAACAGCACCTTGTGTGGTAGTTTCACGATCGAGGTGGCCAATCCCAGATTTCACAAATGTCGCCACCAGCCAAATTGGAATCGGGTCGACCTCTTGAAGTTTTTTTCGACGACGAGCAAAAAAAAATATTTTTTGGCTGGTAGCGACATTGGCCAAAAGTGGGAATGGCCACGATGAACTTCATACTTTGACACAAGATCGCTTTGACCCCGACGAGCAACTCTGTTCTATTAAAGACCTCATGGTTGATTGTAAAGTTTTGAGATACAGCTGACTTTATGTTTTCTATATGCTGCAAGCGTGATGTTATATGAAAGGTGGTCTTTGTTCAATGTCAATTAGCTTGACCCTGGTAGAGCAAAGATGCAAAGGGGCGAGTTTGTGTAACACAGCTAGCTTGCATGATTCGAAGGGTCAATGCATGATACTTTACACTATCTAATAGCACTTCATACATTGGCAGCTGATAGCCCATTCCTCCCAGTCATCTTTGTTGCCCAATCCAATGCATGTCAACGATTGTCCTGCTCCTGCCCAGCATCCCCATCCTTCAACTTCCTTGATTCGAGGGGATTTGGTTGAGTTACGCTCAAACACAAAACATCATCCAATTCCACAAAGATCATTTTGCAAAGTTATTTGTAAACTGCCAGCTATCAGCCCATTCCTCCCATTCACTTTTTTTACCCAACTCAATGCATGTGAACGATTGTCCTGCTCCAGCCCAGCATGCCCATCCTTCAACTTTCTTGATTCGTGAGGTTTTGACCGAGTTACGCTCAAGCACAGAAGTATCATCCAAGCATGAGTAAAATGCTGTTGATTTCCACTTCTTCCACTCAGCTTCTTCCCTCTTCCTCCCATTCTCAACTGTTGGCCCCCATTCAAGTGTACAACTACCACCTGCAAACCATTGTCCTGCTTCAACCCATCATGTCAATCCTACAACTCGCTTGATCCGATTGTCTTTGACTGAATGGCAAGTGCATGGCGAGTACACAGTCTTTCATGTGACTCTTCTACAACACACGAGCGTCTTGTCACAACACACCCTCTTGGACGCTCCTCTACCACGATCAAGCATAGCAGCTTTCATTCCAGCAGTTGCTATTAGCGAGGTCTTCATTCCATTGCCTCGAACAGCGTTCTTCCCTTTGCAGCAGCTTGCGTTGCAGCCTTTTCACGTGAACAGCAGCAGCTAGCCCACCTTGTATAGAAGCAGCTTTATTTACGCGTAGCAACTTGCTTTCAATATATACAAGTCCTTGTGGATATGGATGTGGATCTGAATGTTGGTTTGGTACGTGGGATGGAAGGGATACAATGTGTGGAAAAGGAGCCTTTGTTTTTACGAATTCATTGTCAACTTTGAACTTGACGTTGTCATCGTGGACGATTGGTGCCTCCAATGATTGTACGCTAGATATTCCAGGGCAGCAACAATCATCATCCTCCAACAACTTTATGTTTTGACACGCCCTGCATATACGTAATTCGCCTTCACGCACCAAGCGCCACCACACGTCCATCCACCCATCTTTGCACAATGCATACCCAAAGTAATATAGAGACTCTCCTGAAGCACTATCTTGTGTTCAATGTACCTTTTGTGAATGATGTTGGATTAAAGGATTACTTCTAATGCATACGAGATTGCGTTGCCAACCATTGCTATAAGTTTCTATCCTTTTTCGCATTTCATATGCCATGGTCTTGGTATCTGCATGATCAATTTTCTCGTTGGTGCCTTCTTCTTCAAACGCATGATGATTCTACATGTATTGGTATGTACGCAGCATTGGCCTTGCATCTCCTGTAGAAATCAAATCCCAATCATCCTTTGTCTCTTGTCCCATAAACTTCATGCATCCTCTATTTCAACATCTCACACTCCTATGAACGACTTCTTGTGTGGGAAGGGTCTTAGACAACGTTTAACATTTAGCACGTAGGGTACGTCTCCCGCATGTATTGGAATGCAATGCACAAGAAAAAGTCGTTGTTGTATATCCGATGATAAAAACATTATTATGGATGAGGAGGCAAATTGACGTTACATGCGCGTCGCCAAGACAAACGTGTATTGATGGATAAAGTATGACGAGAACTTAAAATAGGTTGAGATGATATGAGGAGGAAGAGGAGGAGGAGGAGGGGAGGATAAAGAATAGAGGTAAAAAAGTGTTTGCATATATAGAGTATAAAAGGTTGACAAGGAAGAAGAAAAAAGAGTTGTTGTATTGCTGGAGCCAGCCCAAGTATCACGCGAAATCGTTGGGACGCGCATGCTGTGTGTGTGTGAATGGCGGTTCTGGTGGTGTGGCTACAGTGTGTCGTCGATTTGCTTAAATGAATTCAACATACGTTTCCGGTATGAGACCCGTGTCATCTTCGACATCAGCAATCAGCCAACCCTATTATTTCAAAGGATGTAAGAAGATGATGGATCATGTAGATGCACATGGCTACTTACAGGGCACTGCCGATATTGAACCCACACGACATCACCTGCCTTCATGCCAATTTCGTACTCAGTCTCAGGTACAAAGTCGTAGAGTGCTCGTGCTTGACATCCGTTGAACTCAGAAGAGGATAGTGATACTATTGATGTGCGTCGTTCCACAGGCTGACCATAATGCAATGGTGAAGACTCGGGGTATGCAAAATCTCGTATCAAGACTGGAAATGGGGCTGCTTCTTGTTGTTCTACATGGGTCGTGTTATGATCATATCATGGAAAGAGATGAGAGGGTGTGTGTGTGTGTGTGTGATCCTTTTACCTGTACAATGACTCGTCCGAACACTATTTGATGACTTGGTCTAAAGAAAGAGGATGGGAAAATAAAAGGTGGTAAACAACATGACGATCCCCTTTCTTGTCACATGATGATGGATTATGTTACCGATGAGGATGGTGGTTCCTGCACAGCAGGTTCATCTTTGATAGGATCATCTGATTGTGGTGGTGGAGAAGGTGGAGCTGAATAATCTCTCAACGAGGGTGGCTTTATCAGGTCGAGATCCTTGGTCGGCGATGTCTTTTCTTGTGAAGTATATGAACTTGCAGCTGACGTATGATCACTCCTCGTATCACCACTACTATCTTTCTTTGTTGCTGACCGAAAAGTACGCTTGGAAATGGAGCCGCCCTTACGAGCAAACTAACGAGATATAAGGGAGAGCACAGTTGGGTTGGTCTGTGTGTTTTCTTTTGTGTATGCGACACCTTTTGAACAAAGAGAAAGAGAAAGAGAGTGGGAGAGAAAGAGAAAGAGAGAGAGAGGATAGTTGTGTGTACTTGAATGGGGGGATTCCCGAAATCGTTTGGTTACTGTCTCATTACCTTCTTGAGCAGCAAGGCTAACGTGATCGCAGTGGAAAGGCTCATGGCAATGTCATAAAAGAGAAAAAAGGAAGGGAATGGGGACTTTGTGTTGCAGGTCAAAAAGTAAGTAGTTGAGTGAGAGAGAGAGAATGAGTAGTGTGTTTGGAGCGGGCGATAAACCTTGGCACCAAAAAGTTGCAGGTTAGAAGACTGATTGGATAACAGCAGTAGCTAAACACACCCACACACCCACACAATACGGTACAAACAAACAAAAAAGAAAAAGAGATATATATCATACTTGTCGATACAGCGTGATTGTACCTAAACAAGCAGACAGTAAGGGGATATGAGAGAACAAGGAGGACATACACCACCATGGTCCTTTCTTTTTGTGTACCCATTAGAATTCCACAATGTATCCAATATAAACAAGCCTGTTGTTGTTGTTGTTGTTTGTATCCATGTATGTACAATGGCAACACGACGTTGATCATAATTGAATGAGGGTGGCCATTGTCTTCGATAATGACCGGATTCATTATTCCAGAACCATATGAAATGAGACGCAGCACTAAAAATGAATGAAGGAGGAAACTTTTTTAGATTGTACAACCTTCCAAAGGACTATTAAAAGTATGTGTTTGCACCTCCTCATCTTCCCCACAATATTACCTGTGTTATGTGCTCACCTATCTCCCTTTGCTTATGAGATCAACAGCAGCGCCGAGCGATCATGTGGTGGCACATGAATGCAAACACAGATAACACCGAGAGTGATACCATAACGCTAACTTAGTGCGGTGATATGCGCGCTTTTACCATACATCCATTCATGTTAACAGTTGGCTCACTCATTGGTACGTGCACGACTTTAAATAATTATTTAATTGATGTACATTTTTCACTAACTAGCACCGTGAGAACGGCTCAATCCTCGCACTGTTCACTGGTGGTGGTGGTGGTGTTGGTCGATCACTTATCAAGATTCCTCCTTATCCTGCTCGGATAAAGAAACCAATCATGCCCTTTGTTCCCAAGCAGCCTTCAGCGAATGCAGTAATAGATCATATTTCCCATCCATTTCCTTTAATCATATACAGCTCCTCTATAGCTTGGCATCTATGTAAAACCACTTATCATCATTGCCTGCCTTCTTTTCGTCTTCATTGGGTGATGATACCAGTGCCTAATACGTGTGTTAGTGAGTGTCAATTTACGATCATGATGGGTTATTTCTATTTTACCTGACCCAATGGCGAGGGGATATTAGCATCAGCCACCTTGTAAGGGGAACCTTGGATCGTCGAATTCACCCTAGATAATGATGCACTTGTTAACCACTGTCATTGCGTTCTCCCCTTTTTCCAACCCGTGATTCTCTTCCTTTTGCATAGTCCTTACACGCTAAGATCATATGCCTCCGTTTTACATGGTACTTTGCCCTGCACAAGTCTCTTCCATGCATCATGGGTTTCTTCAATGATATGTGTCGCATAGGCCTACATCGTTGAATGAGTCCACGTCAATGGATACCATGACAAATCAGATCCTACCTTGTTCTTGCATTCACCATCAAAAGCAAATTCATTGGCTGGTTTGCCATCAGGCATCTTGTATATTTTGAACCAATGTCGGGTGGCATGGATCAAACCAGGCATATGCTTCTCCACATCTTCAATATCTGTTGCATCGAATCGAGAGCTCGTTACACACATGTACACTATGCATCAAATATGCCCCCCCCCACTATTTACCATTCAACTTGTCGGCAAGAGGATCACGTGAATCAATGACCAGGACTTTCCAATCGGTTTCTCCTTCATCCAACAACGCCATGATACCCAATGCTTTCACTTGCTTGACCTCGCCTGGTGTACCAACGCATGAACCAATTTCACACACATCAATCGGATCATTGTCGCCACGTGCTTGCGTATCTGGATGTGTAGCTGTGGGATCTTCCCAAGTCTAAAGATCAGCGTTAATGATGGTTTGAATTGATTGAATCGATCAATCGCTTACTTGTGGCAGGCAACCATAGTTCCAGATATAGCCCTTGTAAGGAAAACAATTGCGTACAAAGCGAAGTTTGCCCTTTTTCACATCTTGCTTCAAAGGATTGAAAGCCTCTCCAGTAGCTATCTATAATACACTCCATGAGATGAGCTATCCATTACCACCACCTCCATTATACGCTACCTCTACTTTGGCGTTTGACCACCGTGGGATCTCAACCACCATGTTGTACAATGTCTTTTCTTCGTTGGCATACAATGGAATATCATGGAAAGGTGAAATCGTCTTGCCATCCTTTTCTATAAACCCATTGAGCATCGGCACAGTGACATTGCAATCGTTACTCGCACGTACGGAAACCCACTCGGTAAGAAGGCGTAAACTGCTGGCCAATGCTGGTAGCCTTGTATGCCGACGATGAATACGACACGCGTTGAATTGAAATGCGAGCAATGCTTGTTCGAAGCGTGCTGAATGGGAACATGGTTCGTGTTGTGTATGTTGACAAGAAAGCGGTAAACAATGCAAGCCTCTTTTTGGACACAGCGTGGTACAAGATCCTTCCAAATGCAGCCATGGCAACCACCACAACGGATGATCAATGATGTAGTTTGGAATCTATTGTAACAATCAATATCAATACAATAAATAACGCTGAGATGCGTGTGTGTTGTGAAGAATGGATCGTCATTTGCTGACGTGAGCTGCTGTTGTTATGTTGATGTTGTTCCTGCATTTGAACTGATGACTACTCCCCCCAAGGTTAAACCAAAGTCAGGTGTCGTAGGTATATTCCAAAGCATTTCCATACTCAATGACCGTGCGGCCTTAACCCACTTTTGCGGCACCGGTGCCGGTCATTTGCATAGCGTCAATCGCACTAGCCGCCATTTCATAAACACATGCATATCATTTTTCTCCTTGTCCCTCGCCTCCAAATTGCATAAGGGATAGCTCGAATTGTAGTTCTAGTAGGTAATCCATTTTCAGGAGGCGTCGATGAAAAACAATGAACATGATGATGATGATGATGATGGCTTACATTCAATTTGGAATGAGATGTGTACTACTACGGATTCCTATGCAGCATCTTGTTGAATTTTTATCCGAGTTGTTATCAACAATGGAGGTCGAGGTAACAAAGCAACGATCTACAACATGCGATTTTTTGTGGTATTGGAACAAATTTCCCGCGCGCCACTTGGACGAGAAACGCGCCATTTCTTTTATACAACATGCTTTTTTATCTCGTGTGTGTAACGCTAAACCTGACCCCCCCTCATTTTCCATATTCCACCATGACTACCCCCCTCGGATATAGTTGCAGCAAGGGCATCCACTTATCATTCGTAGATCAGATTAACAACAACAAAATGAGAGAGAAAGAAAGAGGGATATCGCCCCCTAATAACCTGATTTCTCTTTTCATTCAGGATACAACGACTTGGAGACTAGATAGTTTGGCTCAAGCACACCACAACAAGATTAACTCACTTAGACTACTTTGACGACGTGCACCATGTCCACATTCGTTAGGATATCCCGTTCCCCGCTCATGAACGTGGCCAGTAAAAAGGCATACGGTCAAGTCGGGGGTGACACCCGTTCCTTTGCTGTACTTCAAAATTAACGAGATTATATCTTTGTTTCTTTTTCCTCTCTCTCTTTTTCCTCTTTTTTGCTTTCCTTATCAGCTCTGTGACGCTATTTGACGACGCGTCTACTTTCGTCCTTCCTATCTACTTGAGCTTATCCACCGACAAAGGATCGCATTCCCACAATGTAAGTTTAGCGTCATGCGCGGCATTCGTTGAGTGGTCTGCATGTTACCCTATCGACCGGCTGATCTCGAAAGAGAAGCAACCGGCAGCCATTTTTTCTATTCAGAAAATCAAACTAACCATGGAAACCTTAGTATGGCTTCCTCTAGGTAATTTTCCATGGCAACCAATACATCATATACCTTCCCCTCCCCCAAGGTGGTAAAAGGATCATCATCATGATGCTAATAGACTTATAGCTTATTGGATCCACGAACATTGGAATCTACCAAAAATGCCATTGCCGCGTTTATGAAGAATGCCTTTAATCGTTCCAACATTTCCACCACGGCTATCGTGTGCTCTGCCGTCGTTGGTTTCTTTGCATATGAACAATATTGGTATTTGAGCAAGAAAAAGTCGCTTCCCGGCCCCAAGTTCAAGATTCCCATCATCGGCGCATTTTTGGATTCTTTGTATCCTACCTTTGAAGGTTACATGTCCAAATGGAAGAGCGGTGAACTTTCGTGCGTGAGTGTATTTGACAGGTAATACATATGCAATAGCATGTACTTCCCAAATCCCCATTCTTTAACATACAAAACACTTTTATTGCAGATTTGTTGTGATTGCATCCACCTGTGAAATCAGCCGCAAGATCCTCAACTCGCCTGCTTTTGCTGAACCTACCGTGGTGGATTCCATGAAGCATATCCTGTGTCCTGACAACTGGGTGTTTTTGGGTGGCAAGGCTCATGTGGATTACCGTAGAGGATTAAATGTGCTTTTCACTCGAAGAGCTCTTGGGTAAATATACTACGCACTATGTTACAATTTTTTTGCTCACACGGGCTTTTGTACTCACTCTCACCTTCTCTTTTTCAGTATCTACATTCCTATTCAGGAAAAGGTGTACGAGCGTCACTTTAATGAATGGCTTTCATTGAACGGCAAGGTGGAGCCTTATCAGTTACGTTTCCGTGAAATCAATATGGAAGCTTCTTTGCGTGTGTTTTTGGGCGACTTTATGTCCGACGAGGTTGCAAAGACCATTTCTCAAGAGTACTTCAATATTACTGCCGCCCTTGAGCTTGTCAACTTCCCCATTCCTTTGCCAGGCACCAAGGTGTACAAGGCCATTCAATCTCGCAAGTACATTGTCAACCACTTTATTGAGAGTATCAAGGATGGCCGTCGTCGTTTGAACAACAACGAGGAACCCAAGTCAATGATGGATGCATGGTTACGTGCCATGAAGGAGGATGAGATTGAGGCGGAGAAGAATGGCAAACCTGCACCTCGCAAGTTCGATGACCGCGAAATCGCCCTCACCATTCTCACCTTTTTGTTTGCCAGTCAAGATGCCACTTCCTCTGCTCTCACTTGGGCTTTCCAATTACTTGCTGATCACCCCGATGTCCTTGATCGTGTGCGTGAAGAACAAATTCGTCTCCGTGGTATCGATAACCTTAACCAAGCCTTGACCCTTGAATTGATGGAAGAATCCACCTACTTGCGTCAAGTCGTCAAGGAAATCTTGCGTTTGCGTCCACCCGTTTTGATGGGTAAAGTATTCAACAACATGCACATGTCATCCATCATAGACATGCTAACATGCATTGTTTTTGTAGTTCCTTACAAGACCGTACGTGAATGGCCAATCACTGAAAATTACACTGTCCCCAGCGGTGGTAAGTATTAAGGGGAGCTATGAAGGAGAGTAATGCTTGAGAAACGTCAAAAAGAGAGAGAGAAAAGATCGAGATCGAGGAAAAGGAGCAAGCAAGCTGATGGTTTCTCTCCCTCCTATAGCCATGATCATTCCCACCACTTATCCTGCTCTCCACGATCCCGTTGCTTATCCTAACCCTGAAAGCTTTAATCCCGATCGATGGGGTCCTGAAGGCCACGCTGAAAAATATCCCAAGAACTTTATGGTCTTTGGTAACGGTCCTCATCATTGTCTCGGCAAGGAATACGCTATTATGCATTTGATGGCTATCATTGCTCAAGCATCTCTTCAACTCGAATGGACCCATTATCGTACCGAAAAGAGCGATGACATTTCGTAAGTAGATCTCAATCTCTATTGCATAAATGAACCTCACATCACTCATCATCATCATCCCCACCACGTGGGCATGTCTCTCTCTATAGCATCTTCGCTACCATCTACCCGCAGGACGGTTGCATCATGAGCTTCAAGAAGCGTGAAATGCCCACATCTGCATAAAATGGGCAGAGGTTTATCGTTTTATTTTGTTATGTTATTCTTTGTTCTCTCTTCTTCTCCCTCTTCATTATTCTACTAATGCTCACAGTTCACGACTCAACTACGTTTATCATTCCCACCCTCACCTAATAACATGTTTCGCGTATTCTCTACTTAATGCTAATATTCGCTATATGGATTATCACACTGCTGATCTTGCCACATTGGGGAAGGGGGGAGAGATGGTATATTCAATTTGGGGGTGGGGGAATCACTAACATTAGCTATGGCGTTATGCAGCAACCATGCAGCACGTTGACGATCTTTGGTATGTGTGTGTGATGGGCTTGTCGTCGTCGTGGAAACCAAATGAGCCAATGGTTGCTGATATTAAATGTTTGAGTAACGTGAGAAGGGCCAATGCTCAACCCTTTTGTTCTTGTTCCAGGCACATTCAATGTCGTACGAGGTCGCATTGTGTTATCCTACTCAATTGTTTCTTTCTTTCCATAGTGTCTCTTTCTCTCTCTCTCTCTTTTCCCTTATCCTTTTCCTCTTTCCATCGTTACAAGACGTTGATTCGCATGACACATGCACATTGACAAGCCAATGTACCCCGTAACACTTGGCTCATTCAAGCCCGGTCCCGTCATTCACAAACGCGTTGTTGACTCCCTCTCGGTTTCCGCTTCTCCTTCAACAACTACCAAAAAACCTTCGTCCACCGCCAAGTCATCCAGTAAGTCCACTTGATCCGTTTCCAGTGCATAAACTTGGGATTCATGGTTGGCTTGTATTAGAACCATCCGCTAGTGTTCATCCATCACCATCATCATCGCTTTCCTTTGCCAACGACCCAACGCAGAGCGTTATTGCATTTCCAGATCCAACAACAACAACAACCAGCTCCTCCACTACATCATCTACATTGCCTAGTTCAGATTTGTTCCCATCTACTACTGCATCATCACCATCATCATCCGCGATCGAAACGGCAGCAGAAACGGCAGCTAATAACGATTCTTCATCTCCTATATCATCGGGTGGTGTTGCTGGTATTGTCGTAGGCGTGGTCGCTGCAGCTGCTATTGGTCTCGTGGCCTTGCTCTTTGTTCGAAGGAAACGCAAACAACGACCCATAGACAATCGTCGTATTTCATCTTTTGGTCAAGCCGAGTTTTTTGCTGGTCCATCACCTGCTGCTGTACCGCCACCCAATACTTATGGAAGCACTGCTGTCATGACTTCACCACCACCACCACCAATGGCTAACAATAACATGATGATACCGTACCACGATATTCAAACCACCAATTCAACTTTTGCACCTGCTCCCTTTATTCAACCACCACCTACTACCACGCAACAACATGATGATCCATTCCAACGTCAACCTTTGGGTACCTATACCGTGGTGTCGACTTATACACCTACTTTGGATGATGAAATTATGGTGCATCCAGGAGATCACGTGCAAGTGTATACCGAATACGATGATGGTTGGTGCCTTGGTGTGAATCTTTCTAGAGACTATATTCGTGGTGTATTCCCAAGCACTGTTCTTCCACAATCACCCTCTCTTGCTTCCACTACTACGACTACTCATCCTGATGGTAGCGCAGGAGGAGGTCTTGCGGTCGATAACAAACACCTCAGCAAGCGTGGCAGCTCATTGTATAGTGGATAGTGTATAAGTATAGTAGAGCATACATATTATGTATATCCCATCCTCCTCCATAAAAAGATATTTTGAGATCTATTATCATCATCATGATACTATTATTATATCTCCTCTTCCCCTTATCTCCTCCCACACACACACACCTTTCCTTTCATCTTGATTTATTGTAGTATGAAATAAAAACTTTCATCTTTGATGGTATCTTGTGTGGCTGTGCACGATTTTTATATGTAAAAGTACTAGGAGGAGCAATCACTATGATAAGATACAAAGATCAAGTTGCACATGTTGATTATTACCTGTGACCAAACTAGCAGTTTTCGTCGTGCTTTCCGAGAACTCAACACCACCAATGAGATTGGTCGGCTTAATTCATCACTTTTGTTGAACGTTGACAAAGGTGACATGTAATCCCTGAATACATCTACATGCGATGCAACTCATTTATTGGCTGTTAGATCACATGATGTATGGCTCTTTTGAACAACCGAGTCATCTCGCGTTCGGAGAAAGATGGTTCATCAAGCCGCCGCCAACTCTTAATACAGCTATACGTACATCCACCTGGACCAAGAACCTCAATACGTAGCATTTTTCCTTCTGACAGGTATTGCACATGGCCATTTACCAGCTGGACATCAATGACTGAACACGCTCAAGGTGACAGGGACGACCACCACCAATATGACCTCAATGATGACTTTACAAGCATTATGTAAGAGGTATCACGGCATGTGGCAAGAAGACCGATTGCTTTTTAATCATAAACGTCGCTACTATCCATTGCTATGGGATGATGCTGGCTGCATTAAAATACTACGACTCACGTGCGCAGGAGCCCACGAATACATTATCATACCATTTCAGGTACACAATCTCTGCCTATCTCTTTATTCCCCGCTAATCGACCTCGCTGGATATTAGCATCATCCTTGATCCAAGATGTTTAGCACTCGCTGCTCTTATAAAGAATCAATGGAATACGGGTAAAGAGTTATACAAGCAATGACTCATATCAAGTATGTATGAAAGAGAAGAGTTCAAGGTCTCCTTACTGATAAAGTCAGAGTATTACGGTCGATCGGGCATATGTATGACACATCAAGTTGCGCGGGCTGACCGTATCATGACTCAGCATATCATCTTAATAATCAAAGCGTAGACTTATATCCGCTTTATTCGTTTCTTTTTCTTTCTTCTACTACTTTTATACACTTCATGGCACTCCAAATCAACCCCGATCGTCCTCTTCTTGTTGGTCCCGATGTACCCGAAGCTCCCTTTCCACACAAGATCTCTGGCAAGGTCGTGAGCGGTTTTGGTAGAGGCTCCAAGGAGCTCGGTATTCCCACGGGTATGTGTGTCTAAAAGTGGAGGCAGTACAGAATAGCTTATGGAGAACCCCAACCCCCATTAGCCAACTTGTCAGACGAGGCATTGGACGCCATGTGCACTGAATTCACATCGGGTGTTTACTATGGATGGGCACAGATCGGCGATGCAGGTTCTCAAGTATACCCTATGGTGATGAGTCTTGGTTGGAACCCTTATTACAAGAATGAAAAGCGTTCAGGAGTAAGTGTCAGAGAGAGAAGAGGATTGCATTGTATCATCAAGTGAATTGAACGGTATGGTTACCTAGGAAGTGCATATTATCCATGAGTTTCCAGAGGATTTCTATGGCATTGAAATTCGCGTGATTGTATTGGGCTATGTGCGACCTGAACAAAATTACCCCTCTCTTGGTAAGTGGAAAATGGGCATGGATAGGATGGGATAATGGAATCAAGCATTGACAATGGGGGATACGGCTTTTTTTTATAGATGCTTTGATTACGGATATTCGAACAGACGTCGAGGTGGCAAAGAAATCCCTTCAACGACCTTCTTATCTTGAATACAAGCAAAATCCCCTTTTCCTTGGTGCTTAGATCTTCTCCATATTCATCCCTTTCGCCATGTACATTTCCAACTAGAAGATGTGTATATAGTATTCCCCCCGAACAACACTTTTTGGCGGATGATTCGTTTAGACAATTGATATTTTCTTTTCTTGTTCTGGTGCTTTCCGATGATTGCGATAATAAACCCACCCTCTCTATCTTCATGGTATTGGTATTTCTATGGGATGATGATAAGGATAAAGGCACATGCTACAATGGTAGGCTAAATGCTATGCTCCGAAAGATTGTATGCCCAATAAAGTCAATGGACGTACGTGGTTCCTTTGTACCAGTTGCTATCCCTTTCAAGAACAAAGAACACGCTGTGACAATTTCCATGGCAACATGTCCTGTTCACGTGATTGGCGACTGAATGCTGGGGAGCGGGGATGAGCAGGAAACTTTCGAGTCGCCGAGTCGCCGCCTTACCTTTTCACGTCAAACCAGCACGATCGATCGCCTGCACCATGCGCGAAGTCATTACCCTACAATTTGGACAAGTAGCCAATTACGTTGGCACCCATTTCTGGAACACACAGGTCAATGCTCCGTGTCATCGCTTTTACCTTCGCATTCTGTTGACATTTCAGTATCCAGGAAGAGTACTTTAACTATTCCACTGATCCCAACGACAACCTTCCCCCGAATCAACTCGACCACGATGTGCTCTATCGGACAGGACTATCTTCAACGGTAATGATATTCAATGAGTGCGACCTTATTAGTATATGACTTTAACCATCAACTCTTAGGGCGTCGAGACCTATACTCCACGTGTCTTGGTATACGATCTCAAAGGTAAGTTGTCACGCCAACATCTTGTACGGTGAAAGCTCACCTTGATGTTTTTCAGGTGGATTTGGATCATTGAATAAGTATAATGCATTGTTTGCTGCACAAGACGATATGTCCATGCCAGTGCAATGGTAAGGCATATTCCGACTCAGATCACGTGTCATTCATGCTAATACGATATATGTATAGGGAGCAAGGCGTGAATAAAGTAGTGTCTGAAAGGTATCCCAAGAATGCCTACCAGCAGCAGCTTGATCGAATGGAACAGGTATGGATATCCTATCTTCCAAGGGGGGGAAAGAGGAGATGTACTTATTTGTTAATAGGATCCCAATACTGCTATGGAGATGGATGCTATCACTTCTTTGGATCGATCCGTACAGACATGGTCAGATTACAATCGAATTTATTACCATCCCCGGTCGATGAATCAGATCACGACGCACCATATGGATGACACTATCAACCCCTTTGATGCATACACCGTTGGCCGACAATCATTCAGTGACTATGAACGTGTAAGCCATGATCGGGATGGGTACCCAGCAACTTTGATTCACGCAAACTTTTATTTGCAGGAAACCGAATCATACGAGGACAATTTCCGGCACTTTGCAGAAGAATGCGACAATCTTCAGGTATGTGAGAGCAATGTCATTAGGATAATCAATTATTCATCCATCTCAAAAGGGATTCCAAATCTTGACCAGTGTGGATGATGCATTTGGCGGCTTTACAGAGGGCATGTTACAACTTTTACGCGAGGATTTCCCAAAAACACCCATCATGACCTATGGTCTTCAATCATCGAATATGCCAGTAAAGGAGGTGAGCATTGTTTCAGGCACATACACAATGAAGCTAATGTGTCTCTGTAGCGAGCCATACATAGGATCATGTTGAACCGATCCCTTGCAATGACAAGAATCCTGGACTTATCAACAAGCTATATCCCATTGACGACTCCCACATGGCAACAAATTCAGAGTTCGGGACTTTCCAATTATATCCATCCGAATGTAAGTTACATATTCAAAGGTTCGTCAAGGAGGGGCTTTTGGGTTAATAAATACACGCAACATAGTGCAATTTGTTGTTTCATACCAGTGCTATACTTTCTGCTGCCGTCGAGACCGTATCCTTGAGCTGGAGGTAAGGACAAAAGTCACGAAGCAATGTACATCTCATAACATGTTTTGTAGACTCAAGAGGAATCCTGTAACAATGGCAGATTTGACAAGCAAACTCGATGGACAAGGTTCGACTAAACTTTCAGGTCTTGCTCTTGCACTGCCCTTGCTTTATGACCATGATGGATTCTCGGCCACCGTGGATCGTTTCAAAGACAAGCTTACGCCACTTTTAGATTTAACCAATTCGGGCAGACATGATGTGGTATGGATGAAACAGGATAAGGTTGGGGAGGGAGGGAGGGGGACTTTTGCTCATGGTTTTGAAACAGTCTGCAAGTGTCTTTGCTGAGGATGTTGTCGTACGTGGATTACCAAGATCAACTGTGCATCCAAGTGACCAAGGGTTATTCGATTATACACGATCTCTTTATGGCCAATTCTCTCATTGTGAACCGTAAGTATAGCCCTTCGACATTTGAAGAAAGGAACCATATATTGAACACCCACCCACTCTAGACGCTTCATGGATCAGGTGCCCTATCCTCTTCCTACATCATACCCACAATTCTTCTCATCTCATTTGAATGATTCTGGTTACTTGTAAGTTTATTGGGGGCTCTTTTGTGAGAAGAGGACTTCTTTTTCTAATGGATGTATTTTCACAAGAACGCAACAAAGGCTGGAGACATCACCTAGCTCAGTGCCTATTTTGACAAGGATGTATACTGGATCCGAATTATCACCTGGGATTGAACAACTCACGAAACGACTGAAATCGATGCCCTTTAGGCAAATGACAGAGTATACTGAAGGCGATTATGGCATGTCCTATGGAGATTTGCTTGAAGTGAAAGAGGATATGATGCATTTATTGGACATATATACACATGATGAGGATACAATGCTAGAGTAAAAAAATAAAAAGAAAAAGGTTTGCCTAATGATCCAAAGCCGTTGCCCATATCCAATTTGATGGAGGTCCAGGTTCAACCCATACAGGCGGGATCTTTGTACCAGCGCTCTCTCCTTCTTCCTCTTCCACCAAGTAGCCATCCCATTGATTTCGTATCCTTCGTAGGGTATCAACATCTTGTTCTCCTTGACACCAATATGCATATGCCTTGTGATCCAAACCTATGTTGTGCCAGTGATCATCAGGGTGGATATAGAGTTGCTTCTCTTCTTCACCTTCTTGTTCCTCCTCCTCCTCCTCTGGTTGCCTTTTCTCTTGCTCTTGGATCTTTGCATAAAAGTCGTCACCCGTTTCTGGAAAGAAATGCCCTTGTGTTTCCAATCGCTTCCGTCTCAAGTCCCGTAGTTGTAAAAGGAGATCCAAGGTACGCTCAAGCTCACGCACTCTGCTAGTTGATTTACGTTTGCTGGTCTTCTTTTTCTTCTTGGTTGGCGTATCCTGTGCACTTTTTTGTTGCTGCCATAGTTCCGAGTCGGCTTCCAGACGCTTTCGTCGCTCATTGATTTGTTCTTGTCGTTTTAATGCATTGTCGACACGTCGTTTTCTCCAAGCCTAAACCCATTCATTAATAAAGAATACTACAAACTATACCCTAGTGCATTATTCACCTTATGCCTTTGAAGTTTATGTTGTTTGGCATTGACACGCTTCAAAAATAAAGGATCTTGTAATAGATTCAGTTGGCTGTCCAGATTGTCCTTTGTTTTTGCATGAGCTCGTGATTGGAACAAGCGTGTTGTTGAGTGGCGTTTACCAGTGTGGATGCATCGTCAGCCGAAAGGTCGTTTGAGCTCTGAGCCGCAATACGATCTACTGTGAGGATAGCTGCTGCAAGCTGATGTTTAAGTTCGGTGATGCGAATGGGGCGAGTGGTGTTGGTGGCCGCCATGGAAGAAAAGAGAGAGAGAGAACAAGATAGCTGAAATGGAGTTTATCTGTAAATGGAAATTAACGTGCCGACTTGTAGATGCATTATTGTTTACCAATCTTGCCATTACCATTCATATGCACAATAAAATGTTTGATGCAACCCATCCTTATGGATTAGGGGACAGAGACCAGGGTAACGGTAAATGATGCGTAATGCAAGGAATAGATGGTGCCACTTTTTCACTGTAGCATCCAGAAACCAATGAGATCAACTACCTTGACCCTTTCTCTTAATACAGTATCAATGCGAGCTTTTTGATGTGGGTGTGCAATCACAAAACAACCATTTACATGATGCTGGGGTATTTGACGCCAATAAATAAACTTCCAATACATATACAAAAAGGTTTATAGTCGAAACTTGTGACGATCATGTAAACAAAAGGACAAAAGATGATGCATGCAGTGTGCCTAGATCCTGCTTTTGCATGCTTGACAACCAACAAATACACATTATGTACAGCCGATCGATGGTACCAAAGATCCTAGAATGGCTGTATCAAGCCCAAGCACATAATAGCGTTGCTATGCAACTCATTTACTGGAATTTGGCAATACTACCAGGATATCCATTGTACGACGTGAGCTTCAATAGAGCACCGTGCGCTTTCTGTGTCACCTATTACTCTTGAGCATCCAGATTTCTGGGAAGCACCCGTTATCTCTGTGCAATACCACCCATAACAATGCATGCAAATTACCATCAATCTTGATATTGTCAAGACATGTGATAAAGTATATGAAGGGTGGTTCACTTTGTGTAAGGGAGGCAAACAAAGGAGATTGAAAATGGCGTTATGCATGAAAAGAGCAAGTATGGGAAAACCGTTATGATTATCATGAATCAAATGTAAATGGAAGTAGTAGTGGTGGCGCTGTTTTTTATTGTGTAGCTCCTTCGTCTCCACCACCCCGAATATACCTTTATTTGATGCTCATCCCCCACAACTCAACTTTAAAAACGCCTATTTGGAATGGGCTGCAGAGACCAGTTCTTCAATACGACTACGCCGCAATATGCCTAATGTCGCAATGAGCAATGAGCATTCAACTTTGGTGGATTCGGCGGTCGTGTTTTGTGAGGCAAGTATCCCGAAAAGAGAGTTTGAACAATAGCATGATGTGCTGACAAAGTCTATTCCGCACACCACTTTTTGACCCATAAAAGGATGCGTGATGCAACATCGACAAGCAACAAAGACGTCATGCAGATACTCTGCTGATCCCTTGCAACATGAGGGGAGGAAAGAAGGAGGTGGAAAAAGCAAGATGACAGTTGTATGTATGCACACCATAAGCATATGATCTGGTCCCATCTCTTAAGGAGAGAGGTATGTGTGTGTGTGTGTGCGTGTGTGCATTTGTTATTTGGACACTCACTCGGGTAAGCGGCGAAATCATTAATTTGGACAACTGCGTAGTCTGGACTTGAACTTGGCTTGCAACCTACGGGATTACTTCATGACACCCAAAGACAAGCAAATGATACGATACAACAAGTGGCATGACATACAAGAGATGCTATGATGATAATGATGATGTGAGTTGCACCATGTCAAATGCAGAAATCAAACACCGTCCCTGATACACAGTTTCTTCTAGAACTGCATATCCTCCCCTTTGCTTACGGAGTAAGGGTGGCGTTACAAAGGGAAAAACAGCCAATGAATCCTTGATGGGAAAGAGCCAAGAGTCAATCAACTATTTAAGTTGGGTGGGTTGTTGTTGTTGGCATCGCTTCCAGAAGGTTTTCTTCTCAACTGCCATATTGGGTCGGTCACTCTCTATCTTTCGAATAAGCAGCCCATCACAGCACCCTTGCGTTGCAAAAATTATATGTGAGCTTCTTTTTCCTCTATCTCTCTCTCCTTCTTTCCATGTTTTAAAGCCTTCCCTCACATTCCTTACCTTACAGCGCGGCCCCCCCTTTTTCTTATATATATACCTTCCATTGATCTCCTATCCTATCACGTCCACCATCATCACCACTCTTCTTTAGCCGAAGCACAGCAGCAGGTGGGTTGATAAACAATGCTCTTCATAAAGCATACCATCATTAACGCTTTCCTTTATCCACTTTTCTTCTTCCTTTGATCGAAGCGAGTGAAACAAAAAAATGACCATGACGCATTCAATCTGCTTTTGGGGCTTGCTCTCTCCGGAACAATTCCGATTTATTTATGTACCTAGTTTGGTGGACAAAGTCTTTATTGACGGCTGTGGGCAATCGATCGCTGACCTTCTCCTTGACAAATCCTTTCTGGATATGATCCACCCTGATGAAAGATCCATGGCCTACGCAGACCTTGTTAGTTTTTCAAAGGCTCAAACTTTGGCCGGCTCCATTACCAGGTTAGTACTACGCACAACACAAAGGACTCTCTCTTTGATGATGACGATGAAAAATAGATGCAGGCTTTTGTCTTTCAAGGATATCGCACTTCAACAATCTAAGCCGCAGGTTCCTACTACTACCACCACCACAACTCCATGTTTCATTTCACATCAAGTTGGGAGAGCCAAGTGGCGTGATGATGATAAAGTTTGCTGATCCGTGTGAGACACACTACCATCCATTAGGTTACCTTTGAATCCCAAAAGGTCGAACAATGGAAAATAGTGAACGTGGTCATGTACATTGTTACCGATTCTCTCATTCTTACTTTCTTCCATGAAGCAGGTATATAATATCTACTTTTTTCTTTTCATGTCAAATCATCCTTTCATTCACTACAACATACACTTTAGACCCATCATCACCCGATGCAGACAGCGGCACAATGACCGACACCTCCTTTTCGTGTGGTCAATATGGATGCGACACCTACGTACGTATCAGCTTCTATATCTTGTAGCCTTTTCCGGTGGCATTGCTGATGATGTGTGTGGTGTATGTCATCCTTCTTGTTATTATAGAGCATGTCCTCGCTTGTTCATACGCTGCAACGCCATTATCAATCTTCATCAGCATCATCATCCATCAGCTATCAACATCCACAACAGCTCTTTCGGATTTTTGACAGTGAACGTCCAATCGTTTCATGGCCCATGCACCATAGCGAGGAGGTACTCGATACGACCAAGCACATCATGCTCAAGGATACGTTCATGTGCTCGGACAATCGCTGCAACAACGCCCAAGGTATCTGTACACACCATCATCATTCAAGTTCCATTGTAGCGTTATCACACGGTCTCCATCGCATCGAGAGAATCATTGTACCTTATGGTGGTATCGTGTTTGCAGCATTTTGTATCACGCCTATTGTTCCACGTCATTCGCAGTACATGTCAGCTACTGCTACGGCTGCTCAGGATCATCATCATGATACGTCGTCGTATCAGCATTATATCCATTGTAGTGCGCCCATGTTACCATCTTCTGCATCATCACATCATGAACAGCAACCACAAGACCAACTCACTTATAGCCGCTATTCAACCAGCACAATTGGATTTGGGTATACTGCTACTGGAACATTCTTACCCTATAACAATGACTCATCCCATTTCATTGTATGCACATAGACAATATCCAGTTACCTACATGTCGCAACAAAATGGGTCCTTGATGATGAGCGATGAAAATGAAGCCATTACCAATAGTGCCCCAGCTGAATTGCGCGTATGCTCAAAGTGTCGAACCACCACTAGTCCCGAATGGCGGAAAGGTCCATCAGGCAACAAAACGTGCGTATAGATGCTTTTGATCATCGCCGTATGTACTTATTGGGGTTTCACAGGTTGTGTAATGCGTGTGGTCTTCGGTTTGCTCGGCTTGTGCAAAAGGAGAAACGGCGTTTGTCTCGTTCACGATAATGATAACGTGATCTCTCTCTCACTCACTTTGACGATTGACAACGACCTTATCATGCAATGCTGGCTCCTTCCCATCTCACTCTACTATCCGGAAATGCTATCATTATCAACATTATACGGCTCGTTTTATATTCCACACACTCTCCCACTCTCTAGTAAATACCGCTTGGATGATCACCATTATGCAACAGCCCACCAGAATTAACACGCCATGCTAATAAACTATTGCTGTCACCATGTAATGCTTATTATCGATATGGCAACCATCACCATGACAACGGTAACGTTGCTATGCTACTACCATTACTATCTTGGTGATGCAGCATTAGTAGGATCGTGCCGAGCCTAACGAAGTCCGCTGCTGCTGTAGCCAAAAACACAATGCACCACCTCTTTGGAGACTTATCCGGATTACAACCGATGCCTATTGTTAACCTCCTAATTCACTCTTGCATGTACATAATCGAGCCATGCAAATACATTCCCTTTGTGTAACAGAAGAATAAAAACGACAGCCGCCGATCTTCATTCTTTACAACTTTTTCTTGGTTTCTTTGTAAGCACCCCAACCTATTATGATGCGTTCCTAAATTTGACTACGTGTGTCGTCGTGCACTTCTCAAAGGAGACGGTCTAATGCCGGATCATATCATAACATGGATGATGAGAGTATTCATTGCTATGTATTGTTGCTGTTGTTGTTCTTCACATTAATATCTATATATGACATGCTACTATGATGCTGCTACTCTTGGCCAACAGGGGGAGCTCGATTTCTTTTTCTTCTGCCACCCAACGAAATGGAGTCTGGGATACGAGCACTTTGTAGTAGATTAATGAAGGAAAGGATAGCAATCATGTAATACACCAAGTGGCGATCGAATGGGAAGGGGTTGCCTGTACGCAACGAGAATGACCAAAGGGTACCGCCTACCGTGGGTCCTATATAAGAAAATGTGTAAGTACAAGGGTAGATTTAGATTCATGTACATTAATGAACATACCCAAAGCACGCATCAGCGATAAACAAGATTGGCAAATGCTATAAGGAGGATGTTAGCTGTCATTTGTCATTGAGTCATTCATGCATCTCATGTACTACATACCCATTCACGGTGCCAAGGATACGTTGGTCGGCTGAATTGCTCACCAAGATCATCATGCTTGTGAAAGCCAAGGTGTTTGCAAAGAATCGAACAAGGAGCAGGACCATGTACGATAAGCGGAAGTACCATATTGAGCCTCCAGTAGTATCAACCATGTCTTTGACCGTGGCAAGTTGAGGAAACAAGATGTAGCATGGTATAAAGAGCAAAAATGCGAGCCGTGTCATTTCCAAACTTGAAAGGTAATGATTGAGCTTGGGATAGAGCACAAACTGGCAATAGAGTTGCTCAATACCAGCAATTGAAAGTGCCTTGGCAAGCTCTGTTGAATCGGATCCAAGACCACCTGCATAGCCAGGGGCTGAGAAATACAATGGAAGGACTTCGTCAAATACCATGGCATGGAATGCAAAGATCCTACATACATAACATCAAATGTCAATCATGTGCAACGTCATCGTCGTCGTCGTCATGGAGACTTACGAATAGGCAATAATGCAGATAACGGTGACATTGGAAATGTTGGAAAGGATACCGGTTTTGGTATTGGCAGCTTTGCTGCTAGTGGCACCTTGTTGTTGGTCAGTGGTTGTCATGTTGCTACCTTGACGATGCAATAATGAGGCACGTTCATCTGTATCCGCTTGCTGCTGATGTCGTTGTCGTGCAAGAGCAGCAGGGTTGGATTCTTCGAGAAAAAAGTAACCAAGGATGAACCCAATGAATGAACCAATCGAGGATACAAAGCATGGTAAAAAGTAAGGGTACTCCTTGAGAAACTCGTTGCCACCAAAAAGTGAAGGAAAATGGTCAACAGGGTTACATAGATATCCACCGATGCCAGGACCTATTTTACGTGTGAGTGGCAGATGCATCTTTTCTACTCTAAAAAGTGACTTACCAGCTATTGAAAATGAAGATGACCATGTTTGGAATAAAGTTAAGGTTAGTGTCCCACAATATTCAGGGTATTGTTCGTTGTATAATACAACAGGGATCTCTACATGTAGAGCTTATAAATAACGTACCAATCATGCCAATGCCCCAGCAAAAGCCAAACAATGAAAAGGCCTTTGCACGATTGGTTTCGTCCGTGATCTCGCTCAGCATACTACGTGCAACGCCTCCGTTACCTAATTGGGCACATGTCAAATGAGCATATGTATGCATACATAATACATCGGCATGCATCATCATCACCATGCACACACACTTTCCCACCCCACCCCCCACCCTTTTGATCCTCGGGTAAAAAAAGAAAATGACGAACCATTCACAATGCCACAAAAAGCGCGTGTGCCGATCGCCCACCATAGATTCTTGCTTAAACCAAAAGAACAAGCCGAGATGGAGTTGCCAATCAATCCTGTCAATAATACAGGTCGACGACCTCGTCGATCCGAAAATTTGCCCCATAACATGGCTGTACAAAATTGAGCCAAAAAGAAAATGGATGCTGCGGACGGCCATCAAGATAATACAAAAAAGTTAAATTACCCCTGATCAGTATATATGCACCCTAACCAAGCCTCGACCCAGCACATCGACTCGTTTTCCTTGCCACGTCAAGCCATGAAACCCGGTGATATGGTGATGCGTAAGCACCAGCAGCAGCAAGCCCCATCACCACCCCCTTTCCCCTTTCTCGCTCTCCCTCTAATAGCTTACTAATCCAGCCTGCATAGGTTCCGATTTCTTTTTCATCATCGGACAAATGGAAATCCTTGAGCTGTTTTTTTTGTGTCCAGTGTGGAAGGAACAAAGAAAAAATAACGCACAACATGTGAGCATGAATGAAATGTGGATGACTTGCATCTATTGTTACGAAATCAATCAACTGTACCATGAAATAGATAAAGGGCAAGAGGATGGTGGATGTCAGCGGTTCGCTAAAGAGGATGATGCTGAGAATGAGCATTTGCAACTTGGGTAACGGCGTTGGATCAAGATTGGTGTGATTGGTGGTAGCTGTAGGTGTGCGTGATAGGCCATCAGGCGGAATGTAGAGATCGGACATGGATTGATGCTTGTTATCCCCCATTGTTGATTGATAATAGGATGATCGTGGTATACTGTAAGCAGCCGTGCTTAGATTGGAGTGAATGGATGCATACGAAGGTCGACGATTTGAATCAACAAGTGGATCATCATCTGGGTATTGTGCGGCCAAATAGCTGTGTAAGCTATCAGTATAGCTTTTTGATAACACATCCGAATTCATTGTCTCTCTCTTTCTCTCGCTGTAAAGGGGGAGGGGAGGGGAGGGAAGAGTGTGTGAAAGCAAGGCAAGAAAAAGAAGTGAAAAATGAGTGACCCCTTTTGTATGCCTTTTTAACCACGATCGTGGTGGAGCACAACGACGGCTTTGCAGCTGCTGTTATCCTCTCCGACACCCCACTAGAGACACTATATAGCATACAACTCGATTATACACCGCAACACGCTTTCTTTTTTCTTTCAGCCTCCCCTTTTCCCCTCTCTCTCCTTTTTCTAAGATATGCACAACACACACACATGCACACTCTATCGGTAAATCTTTTACATGAGGTTCCAGACGCTTCAAGATCCTTACATTTCATTGATTAAAGGCACGATGGATGGCCCGTGCAGCAAGGAACATCCAATTCTGACTCATTTGCCACTCATATAGCATTTTTCAACCCCGCGGATGCAAACATTCGCACCTCTTATCGCGCAATGCACTGCCCATCATCCCCCCTTGTACACGTTCCACACATGCATATCAACTGCATACGCTTGATCCGATCCAAAATAGCATAGATGTATAGTAAAGTAAGTAGCATCATACAATAATTGTCATGTACACCTCATGAAAATGAAGAATGATGGTCGCCATTATTATCTTATTTGGATGATCGTTGATGAATAAGACCAATGTTTATATGAAATGCAAATAAAACGGTACACCGAGACGTCGGACGAGACCGTGACAAAGTTGATCATTCACCCTTGGAACAGGGCCAGTTCTTATGGCAACAACTTTCCACACTCTCTTATTGACGAGCCCCTAATAATTCCTTTTTGAATCGCATGCAGCAGACAACACAACATGTCAGATTTAATCGTTGCTCATAGTAGAGCATTTTAACAAATCAAAGATGCCCTATTGGGGACGATGTATAATTTCTTCTTAGTCTCTGGGTGGAATGGAGACACATGATATAACATCTACATGCATGATTTCATTGGTGGATCGCTGCTTTACATGATGTTCTTCGTTATTCAGAAACCACCGCCCGCAGTTAAGAGATGGGGGAGGGAGAGAGCCAAGACAATGATGATGCATCATGTTGAAAACTCTAACGTGAGTCGAGATGATGGGCGATCTTGATTCTCCTAAAGAATGTCGGGGGATATGCGTGCTGTGGCGCCTTTTATTCATCACTGGTGCCAAAAGTAATGCACATTTACGTTTTGTTCTCACAAAGGTGCATTGGTGTTGCCGTCATTGCTTGTAATCTTGATGTTCATGACACGTTTGTATTACATCAACATGAAAGATGCAGCACATGGCTTCATTCAAACATGGCCCTTTCTTTCTACTAATGATATGGGCATAAGGTTTGCAGTCAACCAACCGTGCGTTCTCAAAGAAGGTTCATACAAGTGTTAAACCCCAAAAGGCAGTATATGACGACATGTAACACAGGTGTTGGTTTCGCCTCTTTGTCTCCGCCCATCGACTCTCTCTTTTTTTCAGTTTTGGCAAACGAGCAACTTTGAAACGGTGCTCTTCTTTCACAACCATGAGTGTCGCCTATGAGTCACCTACACACCATACTCAAAATAAGGAGGCATACTTTACGCCATTGAACATGCCAACCATCGCGTCATCATCGACGGCCATGACCGATAATAGCAACACAACAAGCAACAATGGAGGAGGATCAACCACACCTTATTTCACAGCTCCCATTGACCCAACCATTCACCAAGACTTTATGAACGCCATCAACGCACGCCATGCCAATCAACCCATGTTTGCTATGAATCTAGGGTCGCCTAAAACGACGACAACAACAACAACTACCACTATGAGTCCAAGTTCACCACCCCCAGCAGTAGCAGCAGCAGTAGCAACAGCACCAAATGGAATGCGACTGTCATTGAATGGTAGCATTGGTGGTGGTAATGGATCATTGGCTGCTAGACGACTATTACGATCCACATCGGCCATGGCATCACCTCGACAAATGCTATTATCGGCTATGGAATGTAAACAGCTGACCGAGATCCTTTCATCATCATCCTCATCTTCTGATTCAACAACTCGCACTTTGTTACTCGATGTCCGATCGTTTGTTCAGTACTCACATGGCCGTATTCGCCACGCTATCAACGTATCAGTCCCCAATACTATCCTGAAACGTCCGACTTTTACAATGGAAAAGCTGTATGAAGCCATTGTCGTGGATGCTGATCGTGAACGTCTGCAACGTTGGCCAAGCATGGATCGAATTATCTTGTACGACCAGACATCCCAATTTCTACCTGATAATTGCGCAGCGGCTTATCTGGGATCCAAGTTAAGTCAAGCAGGTTTCAAAGGTCAATTGTACTATCTCAAAGGTAACAACAACAACACTATAAAACAAGCTCCATGCATGCATGATACCAATAAGGGACATTATACATAGGTGGATACGATGCATTTCGTACAAACAGCCCTTCTTTATGCGAAGTCCCATCATCACCAAGATCACCCATGGATCAACAACAGCAACAACAACAACAAAATGGAGGCATGTCCAACACAATGAGACCCAAACTCGCCGCACCCTTCACCGCACCCATGCCACATTTTGAAAATCAGGCGTTCAATCCCTTCTTTTCGAACATTCGACAAAATATGGAGTTATCGCATGGACCTATCCGAGAACGATTTCCCATTCGACTTGCAAAGGATTATGAAGCCAATGATGCTGGTCTAGTGAAAACCTATGCAACCTCCAAACCATCGCCAAGATGTTTACCTGGGATCAGCCATGTGGATGATGAAGGCTTTTTTGTCGGTCCCAAATGGTTAAGGACGACGCTGATACCAGATACAGGTGCTCAACAATTGGCAGAGATGTATGAGGCAAGTATTATCGCATATGGGATGCACCTTGTGATCCATCCACAATTGGTCAAGATCTTCTATTAACCCCACCTTTTAGAAAATAGAGCGAGTCGAGCAACGACGATTACAAAACGTCATGTATTATCATTCCAAGCACAACCATACCAATCCCAGTGATTTCCCTCTGAGTATCGTTGCTGGCATCGAGATGGGAAGCCTCAACAGATACACCAATGTTTGGCCCTTTGGTAAGAAAGAAACGAATGCGGAGGTGGTGGTGGGGGGGATGTAGAGATTACAAACTCCTCATGATGTCATGGTGATGTAAAACAGAGTACACACGTGTCAAGTTAGCTCGTCCAGCCAATGGATCATCTTCCTCATCCACCGATTATATCAATGCGAGTTTTATTCAATATGTACATCCTGAAGACGACGAAGCTTCTGCTGCTGCTGGTGAGAGCCCATCATCCAACAACAACAATCATGTGAGCCGTGCCTCCTTGCGATGTATGAATCAAAGGCGGCATAACAACGAGTTCCGACGCTACATTTCTACCCAAGGACCGCTCCCAGATACATTTGGGGATTTTTGGCAGATGATATGGGAACACAATTCACGGGTGGTTGTCATGCTGACCAAACAACAAGAGATGAACAAGGTTTGTTTGTTCCCCCCCCCAACCTTCTTCTTTCTTGTCAAAGTGGGATCTTTTTATTAATGACGATCGACCTATCTAGATAAAGTGCCATCAATATTGGCCCAGTGAGCTTAATGTACCAACACGTTATGGCCATGTCACCGCCACCTTGATTTCAGAGACCGAGCAAGCTGTGGGTCGATCCACGATGATGATCAACGATGATATTGTGATTGTACGCCAAATTCAACTGGAGCAGGAAAATGCGCCATCAAGAACCATTACACAGCTTCAGTACACAGGATGGATGGATTTCGGTGTTCCTGATAGCCCCGAAGGGATTTTGCATTTGGTCAAAGCAGCCGATATAGCACAAGTGGAATATGAATCTACGTGTGACGCTGCTGTGGGACCTATGGTGGTGCATTGTTCAGCAGGATGTGGTCGTTCAGGTGCTTTTTGTGCCATTGATACAGTGATCCGGCGATTGACGCAAAGCAAAGAGGGTCAAAACAAGGATCTTTTATTCGATACCATTTCACGGTTCCGAGAACAACGTGTGAGCATGGTCCAAACATTACGGCAATTTGTTTTCTGCTATGAAACTATCTGGTGGTGGCTTTTGGGTTACGGCTCGGATCCGGTTACTACAACTACCCATTAACCCTACTCCCCTTGTAAACATCATCCTCTTTTGGCCCCTCTCCCTCCTCATTGTCAACACCCTTTTTGTATTTATTTCTTTTGTTACCTTGGCACGTTTGACATGTGTGTGTGTGTGTTTTCTTACAAGAGGTCGTCCTATAATACCCACTCTCCCATTTTAGATATCGAGTCCTTCACAAGAAAAATGAAAGTGTTGAAAGTTTCACCTTCACATGGCATGGTCGATTGCTTCTTTTGATCCCATTTGTTGGAACCTCCCGCTCCCCTGAATGTGTGTAGTCATTCCATCGATGGTAAGGGCCGACAAAGCATCCGTGTTGTTGTGGTTGTTCAACCGCGTGTTTGTATGCTGCTGAGTAAGCGAATAAAAGGATTGCTACTATAAGGATGATTAAAAGTCTCGGCCAACAAAATGCTGCACAATGATAAAGTATGTTTACACGCCTTGTACATCGATTTATGCAGGATATCGTCCCGCTCCCCTGCTTTTTTCTTTTTCGGATCACATAGCTATTGGATCAATACACCCACCCTTTGTCTTGTAGATGTATGTATATGTATTCCAATAGGGGGTTACATTGTAGTAGAAAGAAGAAGAATGAATCATTGTTGAAAAGAATACAAACGCTCATAGTATATACACAATGAGTGTAAGTTGTATGCTACTTTGTTTGTTTCGTGCGTATTGTATCTACGAATCGGACTTGAATGTTGATAGGTGTTGGAACGTGCACTGTAAATATCGGTGTGCAACCCATCAGTTTCGATACCGCGAGTTTGATCGTCGAGTGCATGTACTTTTTCGGTGTGAAAGGGCTACAAACCGGTCCCTCCTCGTGCTCAGCGCCCCATTCATTGAAACACGCGCTTCCATTTAAAACATGTCGGCTATGGTGCAATACCAAAATCCAAATTGCAGCACTCTATATTACTATTTACTACTATTGCTAAATCATTACCATCATCATCATTCATCAGCTGGTGTGTCACATTTTTCTTGTCGATCGGAAAGAAAACGGGGTTCAATAAACATGTATGTAGGATGATAATGATGCAGCTCCTTTGTTGATGATGGATAAGGATAATGGGGTATCAACAACCCCCCCCTTTGCTTGCCTGTATGCTTCTTGTCAGGGACACATTCTCGTGTTAAATGACGATGATGATGATGAGAGTGAGTGGCAGGGAAACAGGGGGTGGGGCTTGAATTATAGACATCAACCAATGTTGTAAAGGGCTATATTCACATGTAAAACAAAAAAGAAGGTTGCCACACACACACACCTATTCCATACCCAACACGGGTTGTTAGGGATGGGTGTGAACTACCCACAGGTGGGATTACCGAAAAAGGGATATAGATCGAATGAACCATTTGCTTTTACCCCGCCAGAAGAACGACTGGTCAATGGACCGTGTGTGGATGATGTCTGCGGAAGGCGTAAAAAAAGGGATATGCCTGGCGTGATTCATTACAAGGCAGACTTCCTTTTTCGAATAGCTGCCCCCCTCTCGCATTGCCCCCAACGGCGCACACACACACGCATTCACTCACAATTGCGGCAAAAAAACTGCTGCTACCATATCCCCTTGCTTCTTTTTATATAGACGTAATTCATTCACACCCCATTCATCTTTCACTCTCTCTCTTTTTCTTTTTTTTTTCCTCTTTTCTCTTTATTCCTTCCTTCCATCCCACCTGGTGCGGGAAAAAAGTCATTCAACCTCTTTTTGCTTCATCGGCTCTTTATTGCAGGACATTTTGTTGTATATATACTACTTTTAACGACAACGTCGATCTCTCCAATCCTTGTTCATGACCTCTTTGCAACCTACATCCACGCACCATTATGCAATGCCCTTTACCTTTTTGCCGTTGCCGTGCCGTCATGAAAAACCAGACTTGTCTTCTTATACATCATCATCCTCCTTCAACAAGCCGTTAGCATCATCCACATCCTCCTCCTCCTTTTCTTTGCATCTACCCAACAACAACAACAACAACAACAACAACATTAGCAGCCAATATGGTCCTTGGTGCTGTGCACCATCACATCCGTTTTCTTTTACTAGTTTACCTGGTAAAGACCAACAGCCTGTTGCATTGTCGACTACAGCAGTGGATGATCCCGAAATGTATGCATTGCAGACCATGTTTGCTGCCTTGGAAACGAGAACCAATCACTCGGAGCATGTCGCCATGTCGGTTGCCAAGCAACGCCAACAGCAACAAACGGCAGGAACCCATCCCGCGTATGTGGAGGCATTAGTCGGTAAGTTGAGAAAAGAGTGCGAGAGAGTGAGAGGGGAGATGACCAAGCTATATTGGGCAAGTCAGCAAGCTAACAAGAAATGTGTCATCGCGTCATGTGGTACACACTCGCGTGTCTCATCATGCTCTCTTCTCCGATATTGTATAATTATAGATACCACTGCTCACATTATCGAAACTATTTGGCCCTCATCATCATCCACCTCGGCATTTTCTCCAGCAAAGCATGCAACAACATTGCCTTGTTCACCCCCTTCTTCACCCACTGCATCGATGCCAACAACACCAGCACCTGCTGTAGTATCGCTTAGGACGTTTATTCAAGAAGTGCTAAAGAGATCGCGTACTACGTATTCGACATTACAAACAGCTCTCTTTTACTTGTTCCGTGCACGACCTGCTATCTTGTCCCAGCTATATTACACGTCGTCACCAGGTGTTGTTACACCTCCATCACCACCACCAGCCGCTTCGGAGAATGCTGCTGCTGTTGCTATGGAGATGGGAGGAAGCTATTTTGCATGGCAGGATGCCTATATCCATTGTGGAAGACGCATGTTTCTTGCAGCTCTCGTAACAGCATCCAAGTTTGTGCAAGACAAGACATATCGCAATTCGACATGGGCTAAAATTGCAGGCTTACCAGTTGCCGAGATCAATGCCGCTGAGCGGATTTTTTTGAATCTTATCAGCTATCGCTTGTATATAGCCCAACCCACTTTTGAGCGATGGCACCACTTGTTGCATATGCATGTTGAAGCAAGAGCTGCTACTACGAATACTTCTTCGACTCATCCAACCACCACTACAACCACTTGGCTGCATTATAACCATCAACATCATGCATCAACCAATACCACCACCACTACTACTACCAAAAACAGAAAACGCCGGTCGACCTTATCTTCTACTACAACATCATCTCATCAACAAGATTCTTCAAAGAAACGAAAGGTCGCAACCATTACAGAGACCTCTGGTAGGTCATACGCCGCTACTGCTGCCAACAACAAGAAGTCTAAGCGGCAATGATGATCCATTCAACAATCACCACCACTACTTTATCCATCCCTGTTTTCCACCACCACCACCCCTTGTATGGCAAAAATCGCAGTAGTCGTTTACATTCCTTTTCCTCCTATCCTTTTTCTTAACCACTCGCTATCATTTGCCATTATGCTCTTCTTGTTGTTGTACTAGTATTCCTTCTTTTTTCGGCGTAGAAAAGCATTTCTCCATTCATTCTCTCTCTCTCCCACTAACACTTTATTATATATCTTACTCCATTTCATTCTATATATTACCCCCACCCACCCA